AATTTTTAAGCTGCACTTCCCAAGATCCAGACCTCAGTCTTGTGTTTTCCCTAAGTCCCCTAAAGCATTTTCATTGTTTCGACTGCCTGTAAGACGTGGGAAACCTGAACCATGAATGCAGGGGGTCATCTTATCGAGTCGTTCATATCAAAGCTAACCGGCCTTGCCAGGATTGTGTTAGTTCGCTAACACATATACTAAAATTGGATACGATACAGAGAAGATGAGCATGGCCCCTGGTGCAAGGATAACGCGCATTCGTGAAGCGTTACCAATTTTTCAGCCCCATATCACATTTCTAAACTTCCACGATAAAAAAGGAAAAGGCAGCACCCCTGAGGCGAGAGCAGAGTACCACGCGAGCAGCAGGTCACTCAGTGCCGTCTGACACTTAACAAGGATGACATGAATCGTTACAAACCCCTACTGCGAGAGCGGAGTACCATGCAAGCAGCAGGTCACTCAGTGCCGTCTGACACTTAACAAGGATGACATGAATCATTACAAACATGAGTTTAATTTTTGAAAACAGTCCCCCTGATCTCAATTTTTAAGCTGCACTTCCCAAGATCCAGACCTCAGTCTCGTGTTTTCCCTAAGTCACCTAAAGCATTTTCATTGTTTCGACTGCCTGTAAGACGTGGGAAACCTGAACCATGACTGCAGGGGGTCATTGTAGCGAGTCGTTCATATGAATGCTAACCGTGCTGGTAAGATTGTGTTAGTACGCTAACACATATACTAAAATTGGATACGATACATAGAAGATTAGCATGGCCCCTGCGCAAGGATGACAGGCAAATTCGTGAAGCGTTACCAATTTTTCAGCCCCATATAACATTTCTAAACTTCCACGATAAAAAAGGAAAAGGCAGCACCCCTAAGGCGAGAGCAGAGTACCACGCGAGCAGCAGGTCACTCAGTGCCGTCTGACACTTAACAAGGATGACGTGAATCGTTACAAACATGAGTTTTATTTTTGAAAACAGTCCCCCTGATCTCAATTTTTAAGCTGCACTTCCCAAGATCCAGACCTCAGTCTTGTGTTTTCCCTAAGTCACCTAAAGCATTTTCATTGTTTCGACTGCCTGTAAGACGTGGGAAACCTGCACCATGAATGCAGGGGGTCATCTTATTGAGTCGTTCATATCAAAGCTAACCGGCCTTGCCAGGATTGTGTTAGTTCACTAAAACATATACTAAAATTGGATACGACACAGAGAAGATTAGCATGGCCCCTGGCGCAAGGATAACACGCAAATTCGTGAAGCGTTACCAATTTTTCAGCCCCATATAACATTTCTAAACTTCCACGATAAAAAAGGAAAAGGCAGCACCCCTGAGGCGAGAGCAGAGTACCACGCGAGCAGCAGGTCACTCAGTGCCGTCTGACACTTAACAAGGATGACATGAATCATTACAAACATGAGTTTAATTTTTGAAAACAGTCCCCCTGATCTCAATTTTTAAGCTGCACTTCCCAAGATCCAGACGTCAGTCTCGTGTTTTCCCTAAGTCACCTAAAGCATTTTCATTGTTTTGACTGCCTGTAAGACGTGGGAAACCTGAACCATGACTGCAGGGGGTCATCGTAGCGAGTCGTTCATATGAATGCTAACCGTGCTCGTAAGATTGTGTTAGTACGCTAACACATATACTAAAATTGGATACGATACATAGAAGATTAGCATGGCCCCTGCGCAAGGATGACAGGCAAATTCGTGAAGCGTTACCAATTTTACAGCCCCATATAACATTTCTAAACTTCCACGATAAAAAAGGAAAAGGCAGCACCCCAAAGGCGAGAGCAGAGTACCACGCGAGCAGCAGGTCACTCAGTGCCGTCTGACACTTAACAAGGATGACGTGAATCGTTACAAACATGAGTTTTATTTTTGAAAACAGTCCCCCTGATCTCAATTTTTAAGCTGCACTTCCCAAGATCCAGACCTCAGTCTTGTGTTTTCCCTAAGTCACCTAAAGCATTTTCATTGTTTCGACTGCCTGTAAGACGTGGGAAACCTGCACCATGAATGCAGGGGGTCATCTTATTGAGTCGTTCATATCAAAGCTAACCGGCCTTGCCAGGATTGTGTTAGTTCGCTAACACATATACTAAAATTGGATACGACACAGAGAAGATTAGCATGGCCCCTGGCGCAAGGATAACACGCAAATTCGTGAAGCGTTACCAATTTTTCAGCCCCATATAACATTTCTAAACTTCCACGATAAAAAAGGAAAAGGCAGCACCCCTGAGGCGAGAGCAGAGTACCACGCGAGCAGCAGGTCACTCAGTGCCGTCTGACACTTAACAAGGATGACATGAATCGTTACAAACCCCTACTGCGAGAGCGGAGTACCACGCAAGCGGCAGGTCACTCAGTGCCGTCTGACACTTAACAAGGATGACATGAATCGTTACAAACCCCTACAGCGATAGCGGAGTACCATGCAAGCAGCAGGTCAATCAATCAATCAATCAAACTTTATTTATATAGCACCTTTCATGCTTTTAAGCTGCAACACAAAGTGCTTTACAAAGAGGTAAAAACAAACAACGTTAAAAAAAGAAAAAACAAAACAAACAACAGTAAATATAGGGCACTTAAATAGGCATAAAACCCGTCCCTTCCCACCCACAGCAGCATATACAGGCATGCACAGCAGCCCACCCCACACACACATACACGCACACACGTATCCACACACCCACACAGTAACTGTCAGTAAAAACATGGCAAGGCACTGATGATTCTGGTAAGGAAAGACCACCTATGGGAGCCGTCCACACCGAGAGGAGCCACAGCCCACCCCCACAGGGAGCACCGCCCCCGAGACCCCCCGACCCAGACAGCCCGGGTGCACCCTGCACATAGTGCAGAGCCCCCTAACCGTCTGGGCCTGGATGATCCCAAGGACCGCGCCCCCCGGGGGCGGACCAGACATACCTCCCAGTGTGGAGGGCCCCCACGAGGAAACTCTGGAGCTAAAAAGACTAGGGCATAGAAGGAATTACAATAATATTAAAATATCTAAATGACGTAAAAATGTGATAAAAGTAAAGGATAAAATAAACTAAAACCAAATTAGAATAATGTTAGAATATCTAAGTGACATAAAAATGTGATAAAAGTAAAGGATAAAATAAACTAAAACAGTTAAATCAGCTAAAAGCCAAACTAAAAAGGTGGGTCTTGAGCCTCCTTTTAAAAACATCAACAGTCTCTGCGGTCCTGATGTTCTCTGGCAGGCTGTTCCATAACTTTGGGCCATAATGGCTGAAGGCAGCCTCTCCGTGAGTTTTGGTTTTTGTATGAGGAACAACTAAAAGGCCGGTGCCAGAGGACCTCAGGGTACGCGAGGGTTGATAAGATAAAAGCAGTTCAGATAAATAAGATGGGCCAAGACCATTAAGACACTTAAAAATTACTAAAAGAACCTTGAAATCGATCCTGAAACACACGGGGAGCCAGTGCAGGGATTTTAAAACCGGTGTAATGTGCTCCCGCCCTCTGGTCCTCGTCAGCACACGTGCTGCAGAATTTTGTAGCAGTTGTAACATGTGGGTGGTCTTTTTGGGAAGACCAGAGAGCAGGGCATTACAGTAATCTAAACGACTAGAAATAAAAGCATGCATCAGCACCTCCATGTTGGCCTGAGAGAGAAACGGGCGGACTCTGGCTATATTCTTAAGATGGTAAAAACCTATCTTTGTTATGTTCTTGATATGTGGAATAAAATTCAGCTCAGAGTCAAAAATTACGCCCAGATTCTTAACAGATTGAGCAGGTTTAAAATCTTGTAGTTTTGGTAAAAGTTTCTCTCTCTTGCCTTCAGGACCAATAATTAAAACTTCTGTTTTGTCCTGGTTGAGCTGTAGGAAATTCTCTGCCATCCATGACTTGATATCTAAAATGCAGTTAAAAAGGGCATCAATAGGCCCTGTGTCCTCAGGAGACACGGCAATGTACAACTGTGTATCGTCAGCGTAACTATGGAAGCTGATGCCGTGTCTCCTGATGACGTCCCCAAGGGGAAGCATATAGAGATTAAAAAGTATTGGACCTAAAATTGACCCTTGGGGCACCCCACACTTAATTTCATGAGTTTTTGAGGAACAGGTATCCATACTTACAAAGAAGGATCGTTCCGAGAGATAAGAAATGAACCAGTTAAAAACAGTCCCAGAGAGGCCCACCAGGTGCCTGAGTCTGCTTAATAAAATCTGGTGATCTACTGTGTCAAAGGCAGCGCTTAGATCCAGTAGTACCAGAACTGTGAGTTTCTGTTTATCGGCATTACACCTGATATCATTTAAAATCTTTAAAAGGGCTGTCTCGGTACTGTGGTTCATCCTAAAACCGGATTGATACTTCTCTAAGATATTATTACTTTTTAAGAAATAATTTACTTGGTTAAAAACCAGTCTTTCTAAGATTTTACTTAAAAACGGTAAGTTGGATATGGGTCGATAATTATTAAAAACATCAGTATCCAAATTTCTCTTCTTCAGAAGGGGCCTCACCACCGCCGTTTTAAAGGCAGTGGGGAAGACCCCTGTCTGAAGAGAGCAATTTACTATGGTTAAAATCTGTTCCTCAAAAAATTCGTAAAATGTTTTTAAAAATGATGTGGGAATCGGATCTAAAAGGCAGGTAGTTGGGTTTGCTTGGGAGAAAACTCGACCAAGTGTCCTTGCGTCAACCAGGGCAAAACTCTCCAGTGTTTCCTCAGGTAAAATCAGCTGTTCAGATGTGTTGGAAATCACATTCTGATGAGTTAAAAGACTGGATCTAATATCATCAATTTTGCTCCCGAAGTGGTCTGCAAAGTCCTCACAGAGGGCGTCTGTGGGGGTCTTAAAAGATTTTTTAAAATGGGAGTTTGTTAAGAGGTCGATGGTGGAAAAGAGGAATTTGGAATTGTTTTTATGGTCTGTGATGAGTTTTGAGAAGTGGGCTGTTCTTGCCTTTTTTACTGCATTGTTGTATTTTTTGAGTGAGTCCTGTAGTATTTCGAGGTGAACTGTTAATTTGGTTTTTCTCCATTTGCGTTCGGCACTCCTGCATTTTCTCTTTGTGTTTCTGATTTCGTTGTTTTTTCTCCATGGGGGTAAGGGTTTTGTTTTAATAGTTTTAATTACGGGTGGAGCCACTGTGTCCAATGTGGTTTTTAATGTTCTGTTAAAATGGTCCACAATAAAATCGCATGGTGCAGGTAAAATTGCGGCAGGAGTGCTCTGTAAAATCCCAATAAAATTTGCAGCCACTTCGGGGGTTAGGTAGCGTTTCCTCACCGTTCTCACCGGGGCCTCCTGATGGTTAAAACTGGTGATATTAAAATACACACAGTAGTGATCCGACACAGCCAGGTCGACAACAGAGGACACACCAGTGGATAGGCCGGAAGTTATGACCAAATCCAGGGTGTGCCCTCTGTTGTGAGTCGGCTGTGCCACATGCTGTTTAAAACCCATGCAATTTAAAAGGTTTAAAAACTCCTTAGACATTGGATCAGACGCTGTATCAATGTGCAAGTTAAAATCACCAGTTATTAAAATCCTGTTATGGGTAGTATGTAAAATGGATAATAGATCAGAAAATTCGCTGATAAAAGAGTTGGAGTAGTGGGGTGGTCTGTAAATTGTAATACAGAGAGTAGGAGGACTGCTAAAAACAAATGCGTGGTATTCGAATGATGTAAAACTGTTAAAAGAAACTTCATTTGGGCACAATTTGTTTTTAAATATTGAGGCAGTGCCTCCTCCCTTTCTACCCCCCCTTGTTGAAAATAAAAAATTAAAATTAGGGGGGCAAGCCTCGGTGAGAACAATTGAAGCATCAGTGCCAAGCCATGTCTCTGTTAAAAGGAGAATGTCTAAATTATTGTCTAAAATCAGATCATGGATGATAAACGACTTATTTAAAAGCGAGCGCACGTTCAGCACGGCCATATTAGTGTTTGTGCCGAGCATGCGCTCATCCTCAGGCAGTGGTGAAATGGGAGCCAATGTGACTGGAGTTAAGTTGATGGTCCGTGAAGGGAATGTTCTGTGGGCTCGGTGTGAGATTCTGACTGGGATGCAGGATATGGGGGTGAACTGTAAGTGAGGTGTTGGTGAAACTGACTGTATGCAGGCAGAGGATGAGATTGGAGGAGAAGTGGCAGTGGTATGGTGTAGTACTGGGGGTGGGCGGTAGGGGGGGCTGGCGGCGGTAGTGGCTTGGGACAGTGACACAGAGGAAGAGGGGGAAATCAGTCACGTGTGTGTGTCAGGTGTTTGTGTGGGTGTGTGTGTAGGTGTGTATGTGGACTGGACAGCATGTCGAATGTTGTCGCCGAGCACCCTGCTGCCCAGGCGAGAGGGGTGGACTCCGTCAGCCCTATAGAACGGGGATCGGTTCCAAAACAAGTTAAAATTGTCGATAAAACGGAACCCGCAAGGGCAGGCGGAATGGAGCCAGGTGTTCAGGCTGAGGAGTCTGCTGAAGCGCCCCATGCCACGGTCGAAGGAGGGGAGGGGCCCCGAGATAAAAACAGACTTACCGCAGTCGGTGAGAACCTTAAAAAGTTTCTTAAAATAGTCCTTGGTCACTTCAGACGGACGGGAGGAAGTGTCGTTAAAACCCAGGTGTAAAACCAGCCTCGTGATGGAGGATGGGAGTGAGCCCAGCAGCTCCGGGAGTTTATGGAGGAGAGTTGGGACAGTGGCGCCTGGGAAGCAGTGGGTGACTGCGTTAAAAAAACGGCCGTGCCTCACGATGGAGTCTCCGATGATTGCCGTGGTCGGCGGGAACAGTGGGCGAGGACGCGGCGGTGGCGGTGGTGCGCAAGTGGGGGCCGGAGAACCTCTGTTCCCAGCGGAGTGCCTTCGCAGAGGTTCCCTGAACGGTTTGCACCGGGTCGGGGAGTATGCATGACGGGGGGGAGGAGGGGGGCGCCGAGGCCCCGTGTGCATACCTCCGTTCACCTCCTCGTTCCCAGCAGAAGACGGAGGTGAGGCTGCGCTTCGTCCGACATCAGCTGGGCCCGGATCCGGCCTTCCTGGCAGCGGAGGAAAATCCGCAACACTGAGTACATCGTACCTCGAGGACAGCTGGAGAGCGAAGTGGGATTTCAGTGGTTTCAGGCTGGTCCTCCTCTTTGTAGCCGCTGTTGACCGTGGGGTGGAACTCCGAATGTTGAACCTCGGGTGAGGAGTGAAGTCCAGTGCGGGAGCCGGCACTCGCTTTGGCCTTGCCCCCTGAGTCAGCCAAGGTTCCCCGGGTTGAGGATGAGCCGGCTCAGCAGGAGCCTCCGCGGTGGAAGGTGGGGAGCCAGAGGCAGCAGCAGCGCTCGCTGGGGCCGGTGGAGCCTGCGGAGCAGCGGCTGCCGGGATGGTGGAGTCCAGCTCGGCTGGGTTCACAGGGAGGCCCGCACCCAGCGTCAACATCGAGTCCAGGAGTGACTCCTCGTTGCGGATCCAGTGGAGGCTGGAAATACGTCGTTCCAGCTCAGCGATAGTTTTGGATTTTTTGAGGCAGCTGTTGCACTCGTGTGAGGAGGTGAGTGTTTCCATGGTTTAAGGTTCAGTGAGCAGAGGTTAGCAGCTTTAACCGCCGGCTACATAAAAACCGGCGAATCAGTTCATTTAAAAGCAGCTTAAAATCCGATTTAAAATTCTTGGCCGGTTAAAAGATAGAGTAAAAAATAAATAAATAAAACAACTGAATCCAATGATTGTAGCACAGTTTTTGTGAGATTTTGGGCAAAGTTTTCGAGAGCTGTCAAAACCGGCGTCTGCTCACCAACCGGCGTCACACACAGGAAGTCACTCAGTGCCGTCTGACACTTAACAAGGATGACATGAAACATTACAAACATGAGTTTAATTTTTGAAAACAGTCCCCCTGATCTCAATTTTTAAGCTGCACTTCCCAAGATCCAGACCTCAGTCTTGTGTTTTCCCTAAGTCCCCTAAAGCATTTTCATTGTTTCGACTGCCTGTAAGACGTGGGAAACCTGCACCATGAATGCAGGGGGTCATCTTATCGAGTCGTTCATATCAAAGCTAACCGGCCTTGCCAGGATTGTGTTAGTTCGCTAACACATATACTAAAATTGGATATGATACAGAGAAGATGAGCATGGCCCCGGCGCAAGGATAATGCGCATTCGTGAAGCGTTACCAATTTTTCAGCTCCATATAACATTTCTAAACTTCCACGATAAAAAAGGAAAAGGCAGCACCCCTGAGGCGAGAGCAGAGTACCACGCGAGCAGCAGGTCACTCAGTGCCGTCTGACACTTAACAAGGATGACATGAATCGTTACAAACCCCTACTGCGAGAGCGGAGTACCACGCAAGCAGCAGGTCACTCAGTGCTGTCTGACACTTAACAAGGATGACATGAATCATTACAAACATGAGTTTTATTTTTGAAAACAGTCCCCCTGATCTCAATTTTTAAGCTGCACTTCCCAAGATCCAGACCTCAGTCTTGTGTTTTCCCTAAGTCCCCTAAAGCATTTTCATTGTTTCGACTGCCTGTAAGACGTGGGAAACCTGCACCATGAATGCAGGGGGTCATCTTATCGAGTCGTTCATATCAAAGCTAACCGGCCTTGCCAGGATTGTGTTAGTTCGCTAACACATATACTAAAATTGGATACGATACAGAGAAGATGAGCATGGCCCCTGGCGCAAGGATAACGCGCATTCGTGAAGCGTTACCAATTTTTCAGCCCCATATCACATTTCTAAACTTCCACGATAAAAAAGGAAAAGGCAGCACCCCTGAGGCGAGAGCAGAGTACCACGCGAGCAGCAGGTCACTCAGTGCCGTCTGACACTTAACAAGGATGACATGAATCGTTACAAACCCCTACTGCGAGAGCGGAGTACCACGCAAGCAGCAGGTCACTCAGTGCTGTCTGACACTTAACAAGGATGACATGAATCATTACAAACATGAGTTTTATTTTTGAAAACAGTCCCCCTGATCTCAATTTTTAAGCTGCACTTCCCAAGATCCAGACCTCAGTCTCGTGTTTTCCCTAAGTCACCTAAAGCATTTTCATTGTTTCGACTGCCTGTAAGACGTGGGAAACCTGCACCATGACTGCAGGGGGTCATCGTAGCTAGTCGTTCATATGAATGCTAACCGTGCTGATACGATAGTGTCAGTACGCTAACACATATACTAAAATTGGATACGATACAGAGAAGACCCCTGGCCTCTTGCAAGGATGACACGCAAATTCGTGAAGCGTTACCAATTTTTCAGCCCCATATAACATTTCTAAACTTCCACGATAAAAAAGGAAAAGGCAGCACCCCTAAGGCGAGAGCAGAGTACCACGCGAGCAGCAGGTCACTCAGTGCCGTCTGACACTTAACAAGGATGACGTGAATCGTTACAAAGATGAGTTTTATTTTAGAAGACAGTCCCCCTGATCTCATTTTTTAAGCTGCACTTCCCAAGATCCAGACCTCAGTCTTGTGTTTTCCCTAAGTCACCTAAAGCATTTTCATTGTTTCGACTGCCTGTAAGACGTGGGAAACCTGCACCATGAATGCAGGGGGTCATCTTATCGAGTCGTTCATATCAAAGCTAACCGGCCTTGCCAGGATTGTGTTAGTTCGCTAACACATATACTAAAATTGGATACGATACAGAGAAGATTAGCATGGCCCCTGGCGCAAGGATAACACGCAAATTCGTGAAGCGTTACCACTTTTTCAGCCCCATATAACATTTCTAAACTTCCACGATAAAAAAGGAAAAGGCAGCACCCCTGAGGCGAGAGCAGAGTACCACGCGAGCAGCAGGTCACTCAGTGCCGTCTGACACTTACCAAGGATGACATGAATCGTTACAAACCCCTACGGCGAGAGCGGAGTACCACGCGAGCAGCAGGTCACTCAGTGCCGTCTGACACTTAACAAGGATGACTTGAATCATTACAAACATGAGTTTTATTTTTGAAAACAGTCCCCCTGATCTCAATTTTTAAGCTGCACTTCCCAAGATCCAGACCTCAGTCTTGTGTTTTCCCTAAGTCCCCTAAAGCATTTTCATTGTTTCGACTGCCTGTAAGACGTGGGAAACCTGCACCATGAATGCAGGGGGTCATCTTATCGAGTCGTTCATATCAAAGCTAACCGGCCTTGCCAGGATTGTGATAGTTCGCTAACACATATACTAAAATTGGATACGATACAGAGAAGATTAGCATGGCCCCTGGCGCAAGGATAACACGCAAATTCGTGAAGCGTTACCAAGTTTTCAGCCCCATATAACATTTCTAAACTTCCACGATAAAAAAGGAAAAGGCAGCACCCCTGAGGCGAGACCAGAGTACCACGCGAGCAGCAGGTCACTCAGTGCCGTCTGACACTTAACAAGGATGACGTGAATCGTTACAAACATGAGTTTTATTTTTGAAAACAGTCCCCCTGGTCTCAATTTTTAAGCTGCACTTCCCAAGATCCAGACCTCAGTCTTGTGTTTTCCCTAAGTCACCTAAAGCATTTTCATTGTTTCGACTGCCTGTAAGACGTGGGAAACCTGCACCATGAATGCAGGGGGTCATCATATAGAGTTCTTCATATTAATGCTAACCATCCAGGTAGGATTGTGTTAGTTCGCTAACACATATACTAAAATTGGATACGATACAGAGAAGATTAGCATGGCCCCTGGCGCAAGGGTAACATGCAAATTCGTGAAGCGTTACCAATTTTTCAGCCCCATATAACATTTCTAAACTTCCACGATAAAAAAGGAAAAGGCAGCACCCCTAAGGCGAGAGCAGAGTACCACGCGAGCAGCAGGTCACTCAGTGCCGTCTGACACTTAACAAGGATGACATGAATCGTTACAAACCCCTACGGCGAGAGCGGAGTACCACGCAAGCAGCAGGTCACTCAGTGCTGTCTGACACTTAACAAGGATGACATGAATCGTTACAAACATGAGTTTTATTTTTGAAAACAGTCCCCCTGATCTCAATTTTTAAGCTGCACTTCCCAAGATCCAGACCTCAGTCTTGTGTTGTCCGTAAGTCACCTTAAGCATTTTCATTGTTTCGACTGCCTGTAAGACGTGGGAAACGTGCACACCATGACTGCAGGGGGTCATCGTATCGAGTCGTTCATATCAATGCTAACCGTCCTGGTAGGATTCTGTTAGTTCGCTAACACATATACTAAAATTGGACACGATACAGAGAAGATTAGCATGGCCCCTTATGTTTTCTCTGTCCTGACAGGAGTGGAACTTTGTATAAGCCTATCGGCTTTGTTCCCTCCCTGCACTGTTTTTAATCTGTGCTAAAATAAACAAACAAATACAAAAAATGCAGCACATAGTCATTTACAATTTAAAACAATGAGCCTCCCCATATTCAGCCCGCCACCCCACCCCCCCAACCCTCACTGAGAGCCCACCCCAACACACACACACACACACACACACACACACACAATGCAATCTAAAAAGCGTGTAGCTGGGTACAGAGTAGCCAGGTCAGGAATCGTCAGGAGGCCGACTGCACTGGAGGCCATTCACGGCCCAGGGCTGGGACACCTCCACCTGGGTGCACACCCCGCAACAGGCCAGTAAGGGGCCCACAGCAGCAAGCACTGCTGCAAACCACCACCTGGCCGAGCTGAGTGCACACCACAAGGCAGAGAAACCCTAGACAGAACCAGTTACAGCCTCCAGTGCAGGTGGCCCCCACTGAGGAAACACTGGAGAAAGGCAATAAAAACATAAACCAAATCAGCTAAAAACTTCTAACTAGATAAAATATTAAAATACTGATGAATAGCTAAAATACCATTTAAAAATAAGTGAATAAATAGAATAAACACAACATGTAAAACGAGGACTACAATATATTTCAAGTTTCAAGTTTATTGAAAAAAAAAAACATCATTGCATAACAATAAGAATTATGATGTTTCTTACATTTTAAAATACAAGAGGACCACTCAATTAATTGGGAAGGAAAAAAACTATAATCAACTGTCCACACATCTAAAAAGGTTTCTATTACTTCTGGTACAGCTTGTAGGCTCTTGGGAGGAACGACATCTGATGTCTTTTTGTGTGACTCCCAGGTTGTGTGAGTGTCCTTCCATTTCTCAATGTGTAGTGGCTTGAATTTGTAGACAGGCTCTGGATCATTGGACTGGTCCCATCTTTCAGCAGCCGATTGAACTCCCTCAGGGTAGCCTCCTCTCTCCTCGCCTCCAGAGTGGGAAAGGAGTCAGTTGGTATCCCAATGATGCAGCAGCACCGTCTCTGCAGACTTTCCAGTTCCTGGATCAGGTGTTTTGGTAGGCTGGCCCAGACAGGTGAAGCATATTCCAGCACTGGTCTGATGAAGGTCACATATACCTGGGCCAGCACATCTGGGGGGAGCTGTGCCCGTTTGGCCACACTCAGATAATGAACCCGTGGCTGAGCCTTCTTCAGCATAGACTGAACTTGTGCATCCCATTTCAGGTCAGAGGACAACTGGATTCCAAGGAGCTTGAATGTATCCACCCTCTCTACAGCCTGGTTGTTCAAAACTATGGGAGGGGAAATTGGTCTATTTTGAGGCTCCCTGAAACTAATAACTATGTCCTTAGTCTTCCCAGCATTGGCTGAAAGGCAGTAGGTCTGGCCCCAGGCTGTAACTGCGTCAACAGCTGCTTGCATCTGGCCCGGCAGGGATCCCATGAGAGAGTTCATGCAGAGAACAAACAGGAGAGCGGATAGAACCCCACCTTGAGGAACACCAGCTAAAACTGCCTGCAGCTTGGAGAGATGGTTTCCCCATTTGACGATTTGCCTCCTATCCTCCAGATAGCTGCTCACTGTTTGCCAGATGTTCTTCGTTACGCCAAGCATTTTCAGTTAATGAAGGAGATGACCATGGCTGATTGTGTCAAAAGCACGAGTAAAGTCAATGAATGTGACATGCACATCACATTTAGGTCTTGCATCAACAGCATCATGCCAGCTCTGCAGAACGTGCAATAATGCTGACACAGTGGATCTGTTCTTCATAAACCCATGCTGTGAATTAAGTATAGATTTTTCAGTTTCCCGCAGAAGTTGGTCCTTTAGGATTCCCTCGAATACTTTGCCAACACAGCTCAGAAGAGAGATCTGTCAATAGTCCTGTGGGAACCGTGGTTTACTGCACTTAGGAACTGCACAGACTAAAGAGACTTTCCACTGGGTAGGGCAATATCCTTCCTTCAGTCAAGCATTAAACAGATGAGTCAGCACTGGAGCGAGCTCTTCATTGAAGGTCTTAAGAATCCAGGCAGGGATGCCGTCCTTCCCAGCTGCCTTTTTCCCATCAACTTTACGAAGAAGCATCTTCACCTGCCCGATGCTGTAAAGTGACATTAGTAGTTATACCGGGTAGGTTGCTGCCATCATCGACCAGGAGGGGGCGAGGTGTTATATTCTCCCACACAGAGGAGAAGTGGAGACTCAGAGTTTCACATTCCTCACCAGTCTTTGTGTGTTCAACCTGGGATTCTGCAGCTCCCATCAACCTTTTGATGGACTTGAACCAGTTGCCACTGTCGTTGTCCCTGAGATGAGAGACTTCGTCCTCATGGTACCATGATATGGTAAGGTATGATCGATCATACTGGGCTCTTAACTCCAGTAAATGCTGGCTCCTGAGATCTGATATCAGAGGGTAATCTCTCAAAACTAGTCTGATGTTCTTCGTAGTGTTGTTTAATGTTGCTACTTTCACAATAGCTATGTGCTGGGTGCATAAGAGACACACAGGCTGTGTGCTTCCTGCGGGTAAAATGAATGCAAATGACTCGGTCCACTCATCATGTTCTCATTTTCTACCTTTCCTGGTTTTTAAGCCGACATATTTAGTTGCTGCTACAACTTTCTCCTCAGTCTGCCGCCTGACAGTTTTCAAAATCGGGATTGCTCGGTAATCTTCGTGTGTCGAGTAGGCTAAGAGGTCTGATTTGATTGTCAAGTCAAGCAAGTAAGCAAGTGATGTAATGCCTTGCCGAAATTGCATGAGCAGTTTACTGAACCAAGCACAAAGCAAGAGAGAAAAAAAACGGGGGGGGGGGGGGGGTACAAACGAAGCACAACCTGTTGCCTCAGCAATGAGCTCTCTGACATTTTCCTCTCTAAATGCCTTCTGTCTCATAGGGATCAGGGGCCTCATGTATCAACACTTGCGTGGGACTCATACCAGAAAGGAACGCACGCAAGGTCCGTCACACTGAAAAAAATCCGTATGTATCAATGTGTGCGGGTGTCGAAAGCCACGTGTGTTTCCTTGATAAATCCCAATCAGCTTGGAATTGAGCGCAGATGTCGGAGTGACCGGGCCCGCCCCCATTACGCCCTCCTATAAATATGCAGATTTATTTGAATAGGGTCTCGCTGTCCTCGCACGCAGACAAAATGACAAGAAAAACTAAATTCAGGGCGTGCAAGGTGGAGGTGCTGGTGGCGGAGGTGGAGGAGCGACAGCGTGTTTTGTTTGGCAGCCTGTCCAGTGGCGTCAGTGCAAAACGAAAACGCTTGGAGTGGGAGAAAGTTTGCGAGAGGGTGAACGCAGTGGGTTCCGAGACACGCACCCCCGCGGAGATTAAAAAAAGTGGTCGGACCTCAAGGTGGAGGTCAAGCGGCGTACAGCTGCCCTCCGGAGGAGTACCGGCCAGACAGGTGGGGTTCCGGGGGAGGAGACCCTCACGCCGTTTGAGCAGTCACACAAATGTCCACATGCTTTGCCATCCCACTGAGCAAAGGACGTATATTAGACGTCTAGTCTAAGTTTATACTTCATTTCAATGTCGGGATTCAGTCTATTTTTAGACGTGATTTATACTTCGCCCTTAACTTCATTTTTTTATAACTTTTTATGCAATAAACAACTGTAATGTGCATAACTGACCTCTAAATACTGGATTACATTACCTATGATACCGTGGAGAGAGATGTAAACGCAACAGATACACAGAAGCAGGAATTGAAATGAACCAATATTTTTATTGTGTCACAGAAATCAATGTGTCGGCCGTGTCACCGGCTTGCGGAACCCCGGCCCGCGACAGCCCATCTGCCGGCTTGGAGTCGTCGGCCAGGACCAGCGGCATTCAGGCCAGCCCGGCCCCCGGCCCCAGCACCAGCATCAGCACCAGCGCGCCGACAAGCGGTGGAGCGTCCACCAGCCGTGGCGTTTCCGCTGGACCACCAGGACGCAGTGGAAGGGTCCTCACGGAGGCGGTCCTGCAATCGCAGGAAGAAATCATCAGGGGGATCGCGGGGATCAACGAGCGGCTGGACCGGCTCGTAAATGTCCTCGAGCGTCTGGTGGCGAAAATAAATTAATTTGGCTTATTGAACTGTGTATTTACTTCTTACCCATTCACACTGTGGCTATGAGATTCTCCCGCGCGAGGACGGCGGCCCGGCAGGGATCAGCTCGCATCCCTCCGTCTGCTGCTGGTTCGTCATGTGGGGCGACGTGCTGATCGGCCACGGGGATGTGGTGCACGCTTGTCACATAGTGAGTCACCAAACACTGCCACACAGCGTCGCCAAAGTGCCGTCAACGCAAGTATCGGCTCAACGCCAACTTCTACACCACCTCCTCACTTTGCGTAGATTTGCGTTGGAACCGACGCTCGTTTCGTGATGATAAATCTGGACGTGTGCGCCGATCTTGGCGGACGCAAGGTTTTCTGGCGCCACCAGCGTTGATACATGAGGCCCCTGGTCTTTGGCCCTCATCAGCTCCTTGTACGGGATATATGAGTTTATGATTGCGATGTTGAGAAAATAATAAAAAAAAACAACTTGTACCAGCGCATTGTTTTGCTGAGTACTGAGTAGTACTGAATGAGGGCATCAGACAGGTCAACACCACCCATGTACTGATTGTAGTCTTTGATAGGATCAGGGACTGGGACAGGGATCTTGGACCAGCCATCAGCCTCCTTCAATTTTCGCATCACCAAGTTCCCACAGTCACCTCTCTTGGGTCTTTCCACTTAACAAAAAGAACACCATCGTTCCTCAGCCAACACACATCACCTCATCTTGCATTCTTTGGGAAGTCGTTTTCTTTAGTTTTTGATAGCCAATTCTCATCTGCCTAATAGTCCTAAAGGCCCCGATTTTCTTCTCAGCCAGGTCCTTGTACAGGAGAGGGCTGGTTTAAAAGTTGTCATTATAGAGATGGTATCCTTTCCCCAGCAAAGGAAAGTCCAACAGTCTCAAAACAAAAGCATAACTCAGACCCAAATCCGATGTGAAAGCACCTTTCCCTACACCAGTGGTTCTCAAGTCCAGTCCTCGAGCCCCCACTGTCCTGCATGTTTTGGATGTTTCCCTGCTCCAACACACCTGATTCAAATGATCAGCTCGTTATTAAGCCATTCCAGAGCTCAACTCATGGCAGCGAGGGAATGGGAGACCAAAGGGGAAAGATGTCCTCCACAAGTCAGGCCTCTCGTGGACTCTGAGCAGTCCATCAAAAACAACAATAGCCAAAAAAATGAAAAACTCCCTGGATGTAAGAGGAAACCACTTGAATTTCTTTCCGATGTTTTTAGTTTTGTGCCTGTTTGTTTGTGTGCCTAATGAGGGTGGCAATGACTGATGTAGAAAAAAAAAAGTGGTAACACTTCCAAATAAAGGGCCACAATAAACAGTCAAGTAGCTACTAACTAAGACTTAAGTAACGGTTGCTAATTATTACCTATGTGTCTATTTGGCACAAGTTAATAATTTTCCCACTATTATTTGAGTATTACTTAATTGTGTAATAACAACATGTGATTATTAAAACAAAAAGCAAAGAGTCTATTATCTAATGTTATGTTGGATGTTTGGTTGTGCATAACTAATAGTTAAGTAATGTATAACTATTGGTGTTTGGGACCCTTATAGTAGAGTTGGCTGAGCATAACTAATAATTATGTAATGTATTACTGTTGGAATTTGGGACCCTTATAGTAGAGTTGGTTGAGCATAACTAATAGTTAAGTAATGTATTAGTAACTATTGGTTCTATTTGTTACACCGTTTATTATTAATATGTAACATCTGTAGCACTTTAATGGGGGTATGTGTCACAACGAAAAACGACTTGGGCTGAAAAATTTATGTATTTTTTTATTTTGTACAGTTTACCATGTCTGTACTATTGAAGAAGATTTCTAGCATTGTTACATTAACATTAACATTCACAATTTGCATACAAATAACATTTAGACTATCACTCCAGTGGGTATGAAAACCACGCCCTTCACAGAGGTAATGATGATGGTTGCTAATGACAGTTATTTCCAAGGTGCCTAACATTTTCTCAGTCAGTTTCAAGATATTTTCAGCAATATTGTTTCACATATTTTCTTACCTTTCTTTTGTGTCTGAAATGGCTCTCATCAATCACCACATACTCTCGTCTCCCCCTCAATTGTTGTCCTTTTTGTCTCTTTCTTTTCTTTATTGCCCAAAGACAAACTTGACGTAACTGTTTTGCCATCCTTGTTAGGGATTGTTGACTGCGTGAGATGTCGTCCATCATCATGTCCACTTGATGGAAATGTAGACCTTGTGAGAACCTGAAACATAAACCATGTAAATTGTATGTCTTTGAATGACTATGTTGTGGCATTAAAACTGACCATAACCAACCAGCAAGGTAGGCTACATAATGTATAAACATACACTTCACATATTTAGCCTACCACATAAATGTTATTATGATATTATGGTGCCATAAACCTACCTGTAAATGAAGTGTGACCAATCAAAAAGGGATAACTTTGACTGGCTGAAAATTGATTTGTGCCTCACAGACTTCTTCACTTTCGCATTGTGATTATAACCCTTTCGGCATATCATGTGAATTGCAACAACAGGCTTTGAATATTGCCAAAAGAGTAGTCTATTGAATCAAGTCATTTTAGGAGTAAAATTTTAAATAAACTTAAAAAGGAAAAAAAACTTACCATTCATAGTAGTCCCCACCAGTCTTCTTTGCCAACTTCATTTTTCCTTTGCAAACTCTGCATTTCATTTTATGTTTCAGAGTGTGTTTTTTCTGAAGCCACTTAATTAATTTCAAATGTTTTCTGGGCTATTGGGGCCCTCACTTAACATTCGAAACTCTCTGCTTAAGGGTCTCATTTTGCACGTAATGCCAGTTGCGCCCCAGAAATGGCTGTATCCTGCCCGATCCCGCCATAAAAACCCCGGCTTGACAGCCGCAGCGTCAGTAACGTCTTGGTAACCATGGTAACCGGCAAACAACTACAACTACATCACGCACGTCGGACCCCTAGCATAGCTGCCCGCTCGGTTGCCCGCGCCGGTAACTCTGACAAAGTTACAGATCAACAAAAAATATACAAGAGATAAGACTGGCAATATTTTTTGTTTAATTTGTTGAAAAATTAAGATGTCAATTAAAAAAAATATCAGGTTGTCCCTCAATGGGTATCATCTAAATGACTCCTCCGCCTGATCAAAACACGACACTCAAATGCGCAGTGATTCTGTCGGTGACCTCGTGTTCAACCAACATGTCTACCAGATCAGGGAAAGTGCGTAAAATAACAACGAAGAAGAATGTCAAAAGATGCGACATTAACCTCGTTGAAAACAGCAATGAGCAGTCAACACAAGAAATGACTGAAAACAAGCCAAAGGAAGGCAAGTGCAAACAGCTAATCCCAAATATCATGGCGGCAGCTAGCCTAATCTTTTTTTTTTTTAACATATTCAAAAAATTTACAAACTCTCAATGGGAGACAAGTACATGCGAACAACATAATGTAGAAAAGAGAAGAAATAAAACACGAAACTTACAGCAAGGCCTGCCTTTGGAATTTATATAAAAAGAAAATGACAATATTAGAACTCTATTTGAATTTTGAATGTTTTATTTGGTTTTGAACTCAGTGAAGCTAAGGAACTGACCATGACCATCGAGTATGTCTGTGATGAAAATGATATCTTTTTCATACCAACTTTGAATGAATAAAGTTTTTCTGTTAGATGTAATAGCTCTGTTATTCCATAGGGTGGAGCCATGTGGAGAAAAGTTATGGGTAAACACCATCTTCCAATAATGGAGAATCTGTTTGTGGTATTCAGACAATTTTACAGGCAATTTGGATATTTCAAAATCACACCTCAAAAGAAAATCCAGTCCTCCCACTTGATCAAAAATACCTTTGGGGATAGCAAACTATATGGAGTCAGGGTTAGCTAAAAATGACTTGATCCAATTAACTCTGAAAACACCAACCATGCATTCAAAGTCAATAGTTTTTAACGGGGTCCAGGATCTCTGAGAGTCAATTTGAGGACCTGGTGGCCGTTTTGGCTCAAACTTCATCTTGGCAGGCTCTTCATCCTTTTCCTCTTGAGAGCACCACCTCTCACTCCCTCCATTAGATGAAGGACCTGACCTTCTTTGCTGCAGGGCAGCTGCCTTCTGTCTTGCAGGGGCGTCGTCTGCATCCTCCCTGTATGCATCCTCCTCACTGTGACACAATCAGAACATTGTGAATGCAGCTCCTTTATTCATATTACAGGACACACATCAGCTTACCTTAATGGAGGGCTTGACAGCAAGGGTGGACGAGAAGCAGGGTGTCTGCTGCTTCTTTGTACACTCTGGGGAGCCTTTGGGGTTGAGCAGCCTGCCTGTGCTTTAGTGGGGGTCAGTGATGGAGGGGTTGCCTCAGCTCCTCTGTCAGAAAAAGTGTAATCCATGATATAAGTCATCATATAATACGATATGCTGTCTTATTTCAGTGTGTGTTATAAAAATTAAATGCTAAAAACAATGCTGAAAAACACCTTGCCCTCAACACTGAGAAGTGAGATGATCCTGAACTGTTCCATGGTGGTTGAGTTTTCCTCCTTTGGGATCCAGACCCCTGCTGCAAACTGCCACTGTTCCATGACTCTCCCCCTTCTCCAAATGACTTATATGATCTTCCAGAGTAATAATAATAATAATAATAATAATAATAACAATTATTATTATTATTATTATTATTATGATTATGATTATTATTATTATTATTATTATTATTATTATTATTATTATTATTATTTATTAAATTTTCCCATATGTGTTTGAGGCAAATATAGAATTAAGACTAATGTTGACAGTAATTATGGAACACTAAGATATCCTCGTTAGAAATTTTGAACATACTCGAAATGAAACAGTGAATGTAAGGGTCTAATGACTTTAAAAAGTATGATATGATCTAATACAATATAATTCACTATTTTATAAAACTTACTTTTTATACCAAACCTTTGAAGTTATTTAGAAATATTCATGCACATTTATGCTTTGTGTGCTCAGAGGTAACTATACAGCATGCTAATATGATGTTAGACTGAACAATATTTTTGTAGTTATCATAAACTTAAATCTGCCCAAAAACAGGCTCAGCTAATAACGAGGAAGCTGCAGACAGGAAACCCACAGAAACAGAGAGAGAGAGAGAGAGAGAGAGAGAGGGTTGATCCACCATCATAACTTTATCCGTCTCACTGCTTGTTCTGTATTTTATTATATTTATATTCAGCTTTAATGTTATGTTTTTTTTTTTTTTTTACTGCTGTTGATTTTATTTCCATTTGTACTTGTTGACTTTTGCCGCAGTATTTTGTTCTTGCATAGTTTAAACTGTCTAGACTCCTCTCTGTGTAGCCTGATGATTAAATGTTTATTCGGCTTTTCTCCTCAGTATTTGCTTAAATTTGTCTCAGCTCTTTGTATTTCTTAGGTGCCAGTGAATAAACTTATTACCATTCTAGTGTTTATCATCATCATCATCACTCAAGTATAATATCTCCCTTTGACCTCTGAAACTACACTGATATCTAGTGGATAAAAACACACACTACAGGAAATCAATGCAGACCCTACTCTAAAAAAAAGAGCAGCAAAAAAGTCGAGTCAGTGAAAAGACAGAACTCAACCTAAAATTAAACATAAAAATAGTATCTTATGACAAGAAGATAAATTTACCAAAGTTTTATTATGTAAATCAGAGGTCTAAAGTGGTTATGTAAATCAAATGTCTAAAGTGTGTGATTGAATGTAAAAAAAAAAAAAAAAAACATACCCAGAGCAGCCAGTGACTGTCTGCAGGAAGACAGCAGTCAAACTAAAGACGACATCATTCACCTCGGACGTTCAGTAGAATCGAGGAAGGACAGTTCAGACACCGACTATCCTCTTCTACAGACTCAGAACTTAGAACTTGATTTCTGTAATTTTCTCAAAGCAGTGAAACAGTCCTTTAAAACGTGATAAGACAAACAGGACTTTGGGAGTGAAGGCATCCCAACAGTTTTTATAACACCAATAAAGCACTGGAACTGTTTCAACACCAAACAATAGGTACATATTTTTAAAGTAATTTATTATTAATTTGTTTTCAGTTATGTTAAATCAAATTTGTACATTTTTTTAAATAAATATAAACTAAATCCTAAACTGAGCACCTGACTGTTATTAGAAAGATTGTTCACACCTTCTTGATCTACGCCTGCTGTCAGGTGTTTTTACCGGTCTACTTCTGGGGGACACCTCTGATTGTCCTCCAGGTAATAAAAACACTAAAACTACAACTTCATAATAATTGAATCAATAGAAATAATTTTATATTTAAACATTAAAATAATATTTCAAGACTTAAAATAAAATGAATCAAAGAAAATAATCTGACTGGACCAAAATATTAAGACCTGCACAAAATATAAGAAGTGTATTTGGAGGTGTCAGGGTTGATGATTTGTGTGTGTGTGTGTGTGTGTGTGTGTGGGGGGGGGGGTTATAATGTTTTATTATTAGTTTTATTAGTGAGACAAAAATCTTCAATACAAAAATAAGATGGAGAGAAAGTTCACTTAGCTCACTCAGTTAACTGAACTATGACTCAACCCAAAGAAACACAAAAAGAATGGTTTTGCTCAGAAAGATCTGACTGAGTAAAACGAGGTCAAGGTTTTTAAGCCATAGACATAAAAAAAACGAAAAAAACGAAAAAACAAATGAGCTGCAATAGATCCCCTCTTTAAGAGCTGATCCAGGTTTAAATCCTTGACCAAGACTGACAGACTCTCAAATGTTGCAGAAACAGAAGAAAACCCTCGGTGTGACTGAGTTTCATCTTCAACTGTTTCACTCAGGTCATCATCAAGTAACTCTGGCAGAGAGATGAAGCAAATAAAACTGAATCAATGTCTGACATTATGAATTCTGTGTGTTTGTTTTCACAGTAACAAAAGGTTCCTGTGTACCTGTGGTGATTTTAGGTCTGTTCATAAGTTGGATGAGAGCGGAGTGTGGTCACATTAACACCTTTTTATTAGCAGCAGCAGACAGGAAACAGTCCTCCATCTCCATGGTAACAGTGCTCTATCACTCCTCCTTTCAAAGTCCCTCTGCCGGAAACCACACAGTGTAACCAAGCTGTCAATCATCAACAGGGCTCTTATCTGTCTGCAGCAGGGGCTGATGGGAGCTCTGAGGACCTGTTAGAAAGCAGCTGGTCTTGCTCTGATCTCTCAGCTCATCCTGGTTTGATCTCACTCCTCCTCAGGTTCAGTAGAGGAAACATTGCAGCACAAAATGCTTCTCTTCCCAGCTGCAGCTCTGTGCTGTGTGTGCTCAGGTGAGTGTTTCCAGCCAATCAGGAGCCAGCAAACTCCGCCTTTCCCAGATGCAGCCTGTCTCTGTGAAATAGAGTTCAGAGACTTATTAGCCGGTGATAAGATGGCTGTCTTCAAAATAAGTCAAAGTTAAATTTTTGATCAAGCATCGCTGTCAAACTCACCTCCACCTTTCTGTTTGTCTACAGTGCTGGTTGTCATGGCAGCAGAGCTTCAACAGGACACTTTACCGTTGACCAGAAAAGTTGGAGAAAGAGTCTCCATCAGCTGTGGAAACATTGACCAGTGTTATAATCAATATGTGTACTGGTACCAGAAAAAAGGCACAGAAAGTTTCAAAATAGTTCTGAGGATTGATAAGACAAATGGTGCCATAGAGAAACAAGCGTATAACCATCCTCAGAAAGAAGATTTTACTGCAGTAAAGACAAAGACTGGCTGTGAGCTGCAGATCCAGAGTGTCAAAGTGTCTCATTCAGCGACCTACTACTGCAGCTGTTGGATAACACAGTGATACATTAACTAAGCAGGCTGAACAAAAAGCAGCAGATGACTAGATATCATATAATGTTAAAAAAAAAATAGCAGTAAACTTCAGCGCAGGGTCATGGACTTCATGCCCAATTGAATTTACATATATATATACAGATATACACTACAGGCCAAAAGTTTGGAAGCAAGGCCATTACAGGCCGAACAGTTGGGAGTAATCCAGCATGAGTTGTATGTATTTTGGGATGTATTTACTCCATGATCAGATGTTGCTTTCATGGAAATGCACCATTTTACTCCATTTACCTTTAGATATACATTGATGTTAACAGACCATTGCTAAATATATGTCAGCAAAAGATAATAAGGGCTTAGTTTTAGGGTTGAAAACATTTGCAAGAGTCACAACTTCAGTGCAAAAGCAAAAAAACAAATCACAGTTGGATTATTCACTTCAACTTTTTGGCTTTTGAGAGCCTGCATACAAAAATCCTAATAAATCTCAGCTGCGCTCAAACTACCGCAGAAATGGCTAGAAAGAAGCAACTGAGTAAAGAAACAAAAGTACAGAATTGTCCATTCAGTAAAGAAGGATACGCAGAAAGAGAAATTGCAAAACGCCTAAAGGTGTTTAACAAAGGAGTCCACTACACTCTGAAGAGACTAGAGGAACCTGGAAGTTATGATGATAGAAAAAGGCCTAGATGAAAGAGAGTTACTACAAAAGCAGAGGATAAACATAGCATTGGCGAAAGACAGCACAACAAATAAGGGAGCGAATCAACATGACAAGGTCGAAACCCATATCTCTGACAACTGTGAAATGACATTTGAGAAAGGCTGGTCTGAAGGGTTCTGTATAAAAAACACTACTTCGTCCACAGAACAAGAAAAAGAGATATGAGTGGGCAAAAGCTCACAAAACTTGGACTCATGATGACTAGAAACAAGTTTGCACTGTTTGGTTCACAACACAGAGTCTATGTCCACAGATAAATCTGAAAGCACCAGCAGTTTATGAATTTGAACATTAAATATCTTGTCTTTGTAGTGTATTCAATTGAATATAGGTTGAAAAGGATTTGCAAATTTGTATCTGTTTTTATTTAGGTTTATCACAATTTCCCAACTTCAATGGAATTGGATTTTGTGTATTTAGTATATATATATATATACATATATATATATACAGTGGATATAAAAAGTCTACAAACCCCTGTTCAACTGCCAGGTTTTAGTGATGACAGAAAATGACAGCAAGATAAATATTTTCACAACTTTTTCCACCTTTAATGTGACCTATAACCTGTACAATGCAATTGAAAAACAAACTGAAACCTTTAACGGGAAATAAAAAAGTAGAAAAGTTAAAATAACCTGGCTGCATAAATATGCACACCCTTAAACTAAAACTTTGTTTGCACCTTTGGCTTTTATTACAGCACTCAGTCTTTTTGGTAGGAGTCTATCAGCGTGGCACATCTTGATGCGGAAATATTTGCCCACTTTTTTTTTGCAAAACCACTCCAAATCTGGCATCTCCTATGCACAGCCCTCTTCAGATTAAGGCTGCAACAACAGATCGATTAAGTCGATTCGTCGTGACGAAAAAATCTGTTGCCAACTACTTCTGTGATCAATTCGTCGGGTGAACATCAGCAGGATGCACAGGAAAGAAACAGCCATGGCCGAGGCGGTGGCGGCGGAGAAAAACATGGACACAACCCAAACCAAATCCCAACCTAAAACATCTGTGGTGTGGGAAAACTTCACCAAGATTGAAAAGGAAGGCGTTCAGTGCAACATTTGCAAAGCCCGTTTTGCATGGCACGGGAGTCCATCGATGATGCGTGAGCATCTGAAGAGAAGACGTGTTTCTTAGCCTGGATGAAGGCAGTGGCACTTCAGCAGACACAGGGTAAGTCATGCCGATATATTTAAAAACTACCGTAGTCAGAAAAAAAGGCAAGAAATAAACAAGGTATCGTGGTAGTGGATGGGTGACTGGGGCGCTATGTTACCGGAGCAATCATGTATAAGAATAAAATACATTAAAAAAATATTGTTGGCTGGAAATTGTGGGAATAATACACAGTTTGATAGCTGGCCTAAAACCGGAGCTGGGCAAAGACAGTAACTATTGTTGCGTCCGAATCATTGACATAGAACGTTGGCTCTTTCCACACATTAAAAATCGACCGCCGAGCAGCTAAGCTAACTAACCTCCGGTGAAGTTAGAACATAAATAATGTACATGAAAATGTAATGACAATGATAATGTAGTCATACCATGTTCTTATATACACTCTCTTCTTATTTCAGTGGAAAACAACAAAAGCTTGATGGCTATTTAGAGAACAAAACCTGCACACCAAAGAATCAAGATACCATGAAAGTGAAGGCTGCAATAAACAGAAACAGTAGCAGCATTGCTCTGACTGCTGACGCCTGGATAAGTGTGGCCACAGAAGCCTACCTTGGCATCACTTGTCACTACATAGGTGACAACTGGGAGATGGAGTCTGTGTGCCTAACCACATTGCCACTGCAGGTAAAAGTCACTCACTCATCCATCGACTCCCTGCACTCACTTTTTTTTCCCCACTTAAACTCACTGACTCTCTCTCTCTCTCTTTGCCTTTTCATTTTCTTTCTCTCTCTCTCTCTCTCTCTCTCTCTCTCTCTCTCTCTCTCTCTCTCTCTCTGTGCAGAACAGGCATACTGCGTCCAACATTGCAGACTGGTTGGAGGAGGTGGTAGCTAAATATGAAATTCCAGTAACCAGAGTCGCTGCCATTGTCCACGATAATGGAGCTAATATCGTGGGGGCAGCCAGATTACTGGAGGAGAAGCATGGTTGGATGTCCGTTCGCTGCACTAGCCACACCCTGCAGCTGGTGGTCAACACTGCCATAAAGGCCCACCAGAGCACAGAGAGAGCCCTTGGAGCCGCTAGGTCATTGGTGGAGCATTTCCACAAGAGTGAATTGGCCAGCACCAAGCTGAAAGCTAAGCAGCTGCAGATGAACACACCTCAAAAGACGCTGATTCAGGACGTAGCCACAAGGTGGAATAGTACCTACTAAATGGTGAAGAGCCTACTCCAACAGAGGTGGCCGGTTACAGCAACATTGTCGGACTCCTCTATCACACCCAAGGGTAAATGGTAATTATTTCCTTTGCATTTACTTTGACCACCACATTACTACAGTACTTAACCTCAGTAATACCCAGGATGCTTTACAATTCTTTCATTCATGCTTTCATTCCCAGATACCTGGATTTGAAACCAGATCAGTGGAGCCTGCTGGAAGAACTGCTGAAGGCCCTTAAGCGTTTTGAGGTTGCCACTGTTTTTATGAGTGGGCAGAACTATGTTACCATCTCTGCAGTACCGACTCTTGTGAGGGGGCTATTGAAGGCCATCCAGAATGCTTCTTTCGAGTCACCCCTGATGAAGGCTTTCCAGGCCACGATGACAGAGCAGCTTAAAAAGCAATGGGATAGGGAGACATCCTTCACAGATACGGCATTAAATGCTGTGATCATGTCAGCTGCCCTGAACCCACGCTTCAAGAAACTTAAGTCTCTTACACCCCAAGATCTACTGAATGTGCAAGCCAAAGTCCAGACACTGGCACTACTAGCTCGAAGGGAGGAGATGGGTGAGCAGCATAATGGTGCTGACCAAACCACTGCCTCCACCACACCACCTCCTCTTGAAGCTCCTCTGTCTTTACTCGACACACTCCTGGACTCTGACAGCAGCAGTGAATCAGAAGACGGGGAGAATGAAACTGTCGACCTCAACACCCAGATAAGGAACAAAGTCCATGCATACTTTGCAGAGAAACCCCTTCCCAAAAAAGAAAATCCACTTCAGTGGTGGAAGACCAACCAAGAGAAATACCCTTCTTTGGCAAAGCTTGCAAGATCGTATCTTTGCATACCGGGAACCTCGACTCCATCTGAGCGGCTCTTTTCAGCCGCAGGCAACATCGCCTCAAGGAAAAGAGCAAGCTTAAGCCAGGAGCATGTCGATATGCTCACTTTCTTACATTGCAATTCCTGATTCATGATGTAGAAGACTACATGAGATGTAGTAGATGACTTGAAGTTTGTTCACATTGAGTAGTTCATAGTGAGTGCCCCTTCATTTATTTTTGTTGTCTTTTTGATGCCTCACACATGTTCATAGTTCCATAATCTACAAGCTCAAGGCATAAATCTTTATTTTATCTTGTGCTGCTCATCTACTGTTTATTTTGCACTAGTTCCTCCCATACGTGTTGGAATCAGTGTGCGGTTTGATTTATTAATTTTTTATTTATTTTATATTGTTGTGTCAAGCTGCTGTTCAGGGGAAGCTCAGGTGTTTGGAAAATAAAAATATTTTTGGAATAAGAAAAAAAAAAGTTTCTGTGTTTATCCGATTAATCGATTAGTTATTAAAACAGTCGACAGATTAATCGATTATCAAAATAATCGTTAGTTGCAGCCCTACTTCAGATCACCCCACAAATGTTTGATGGGATTCAGGTCTGGGCTCTGGCTGGGCCATTCCAAAGTCTCAATCTTATTCCGGTGAAGCCATTCTTTTGTTGATTTAGACGTGTGCTTTGGGTCATTGTCGTGCTGAAAGAGGCCGAAGGTTTTGTTCCAACACTGACTGGTATTTGGAACTGTTCATAATTCCCTCCACCCTGACTGAGGCACCAGTTCCAGCTGAAGAAAAACAGCCCCAAAGCATGATGCTGCCACAACCATGCTTCAATGTAGGCATGGTGTTCTTTAGGTGATGAGCAGTGTTGATTTTGCACCAAATATACCTTTTGCACTGATGCCCAAAAAGTTCAACTTTGGTTTCATCAGACCATAACACATTTTCCCACATGTGTTTGGGAGATTTCAGATGTCTTTTTGCAAAATCAAGCCAGGCTTTGATGCTTTTCTTTGTAAGATAAGGCTTTCATCTTGCCACCCTACCCCACAGCCCAGACATATGAAGAGATTGTTGTCTCATGTACTACACAGCCAGTACTTGCCAGAAATTCCTGCAGCTCCTTCAGTGTTGCTGTCGGCCTCTTGGTAGCCTCCCTGACCAGTTTTCTTCTTGTCCTATCATCAATCAGGACGTTCATTAACAAGAACGTCCTGTTCTTGTTAATGTCACCGTTGTGCCATATTTCTCCACTTGATGATGATGGTCTTTACTGTGTTCCATATTTAATTCCTTGGAAATTCATTAGCAGCCCTCACCTGATATCTGAATAATGAGATCCCTCTGATGCTTTGGAAGTTCTCTGCAGACCATGGCTTGTGCTGGAAGATGTGGCTACAAAAATGTCAGGAAAAGCAACTAGAACAGCTGAATTTTTGAAATTCTGAAATATTTGGGGTTGATCAGAGGCACTTTAATTGGTGACAGGTGAGTGCTGACTCCAATTTAACCTGAGTTTGAATGTTATTGGTTAAATCTGAACACAGCCACATCCCCAGTTATTAAAGGGTGTGCACACCCTTATGACACCGTATAATCTCAGTTGTTATTTTTACTTCGCCTCCCTGAAAGATTTCTGTGTGTTTTTCAATTGTGCTGTACAGGTCGTAGGTCACATTAAAGGTGGAAGAAGTTATATATATATATATATATTTATATATATATGCACACACACACACACACCCTGGGATTACAATTAAATTTAAAGGTGGGGTAGGCAGGAATATGAGGCAGATGCTGCTCCCTTGTGCTGACTTGCTGTGACGCTTCATACGCTGCAATAAGATGTACAAGCCCTGTAACCTTTCTGCTGGACAGGTAAACCGCTAGGTTTATTTGACCTTGCGTCCTGTAATATGTTGTGTTTTAGTCGTACAGAAGCTGAAAGCATTGTGTTTGTAGCCTGTTAGCATGCTGCTCCATTAGCACTGGTGCTATTTACATTTAGTTTGACTGGTGCTATTTATATTTGGTTTGACTGGGCCTTGTTTTATGAAAGTAAGCTAAGTGTCTGTGACAAAGTGTCACATGGGACCTATTGCATTTTGTCGTGCCGCTAAACTGTTTATCTCGGGTCTTGAAATATCTTGCTTTATTCTAGTTGTCCTGCAAACATTGTGTTTGCTGGTAGTCTGTTGCCATTTACAGTAGCACCAATGCTATTTACTTTCACGTTGACTGGGCTCCATTTGTAATTATCTGAAGTAATTATCTGTATTATATCTGAATTTAATTGGAAGCACCTTTGTTGTTTAAAAAAAAAAGTCTGTGTATAGTGGTGTTGTTGACTGAAGAAGCAGCTTGGGAAGCTTACAGGTAAAATAAATAATAAGAAAAGATATTTTAGACAGACAAATATCTTCATACCACACTCTCCTTTTTTTTCAGGTACCACAAGCTGTGTTAAACAAAGTCCAGAGCAAGGAGTTTGAACACTATAAAGGCCCCACAAGACTGTACATTTGACCAAGAGGACATGAAGTTTGGATATTATTTTTTCAGGGGCAAGATGGCGCCGGTGTGTGTGGCCTGCCGTCTCTCGCTGTCAGCGCTGTTCGTGTTTGTGCTGTTTGTGTCTTTCGTTATCAGTAATGTCAGCTCACTGTATGTGTATGACCACCAAACCCTGCTGGATCTTCGCCCCTCTGCCAAGGATTTGGTGAAATTAGATCCTGATCACCGTGGTCATACGACGTCTAAGCCGTTTCACCTCTCCGGTATACCTGCTCACCTTCGCTGCACTTTCGCTCCATTTCCCCGGCGTAAACGCCGGCGCCGCCGTGGCAAATGCAGCGGCAAGCTGGTGAAAGTTAAAGCTCTCTTGGCTCGATCTTCCGTGGTTTCCCTGAGGAGAAATGGACTGGGATCTGGTCTCTTTCCTCATCTGCGATCGCTGCACCCTGTCGACTCCTGGCTGTTACCTGTCGTCGGTTCGGATGGGATGGTCCGTCCCCACGGCCCCTGCTCTCCTCGTCCCCGCCGGCGTGGGGTGAATCCCCGCCATCTACGGGCCCTGTGTCGGGCTCCGCGATCAGCTGATGCCTCGGATGTGCCGATCTCTGCAAAGGTTCGGCCTTGTCAATGCCAGATCACTGGCAAACAAAACTTTTATCCTGAAGGATTTCTTCATGTCCCGTGGATTGGATTTTCTCTGTGTGATGGAGACATGGCTGAGTACCGGTGAGTCCAGTCCTCTTATTGAACTCTGCCCTCCGGATTGCTGCTATTTTAATTCCCCGCGGTCGTCTGGTCGAAAAGGAGGTGGAATAGCAGTTATTTTTAAAAGCGACTTTAAATGCCGGCAGATCTGCCTGCATTTCTCATTCACAAGCTTTGAAATGTGCTTGTTTGAACTGGGCTGCTCTCATGTTGTCCTGTGCGCTGTCATCTATCGACCACCCAAGTACAATAAGGATTTTATAAGTGACTTTTCTGAATTTCTGGCCGAAATTCTGCCGAAATACGACCGTGTCCTTATTGTTGGTGATTTTAATATTCACACTTGTTGCCCTGAAGAGCTGGTCTCCAGGAGCTTTTTAAATCTTATTGACTCTTTTAACTTCGTGCAGTCTGTGTCCGGTTCTACTCATAATCTCGGGCACACACTAGACTTGGTGCTCTCGCATGGTCTGTGTGTGTCTAACCTTGTCATTTGTGACGCTGTTTTCTCGGATCATATGCCGATTTTATTTGACATCCCCACTCAGTGTCCGGTTAAATTGCGCGCTCCACCTAAACCGCGTCGCATGTTTAACTCTTCCTCGCCTGCTCTGTTCTCCTCTACCTACGTTGGTCTCTGCGAGGATGACCCTGCAGCCTCTGTGTGTGTGGATACTGAGGAACTGGTACTGAGATTTCACTCCACCTGTCTACAAACACTGGACATGATCGCTCCTCTGAAGAGCCGGCGCACCAAACCTACACCCCAGCCCTGATTGAACGACATCACTCGTGCAGCCAGGTGTGAGTGCAGGAGGGCGGAGCGCAGGTGGAAAAAGGACTGACTGCACGTGTCTCTTGGCATCCTTAAAGATAGTCTGAGGAATTATCAGAGGATTGTGAAAGCTGAGAAGAATAAATATTTCTCTGAATTGATTGCTTTTAACTGTAACAACCCCAGAGCTCTGTTCAAAACCATAAACACTGTCCTCGAGGCTCCCAAGTCTCTTGGTTTTGATGCCTCCACTGAAATCTGTGAAAAATTCCTCCACTTCTTCACTGATAAAATTATGTCAACCAGAGCCTGTATCTCTCAACCCTTGTATGACCCTTCTGCCCCTCTGCACCCCTCATCTGTCTTCTCTAAATTTGAGTCTGTGTCCCTCTCTATTTTAAAGGACATAGTCGGCCATATGAAGCCTTCTGGTTCCCCTGCTGATGCCATCCCCCCTCACTTGTTTAAAGAGGTACTTGCTACTATTGGACCAAGTGTCCTTAATATTGTAAATTGTAGCCTCTCATCTGGTACAGTTCCTAGGGATTTTAAACATGCTGTAGTACGACCTCTACTCAAAAAAACTGGCCTTGACCCATCCATCTGTGCCAATTTCAGGCCCATCTCAAATCTTCCATATCTGTCCAAGATTCTAGAGAAGGTTGTCTACAACCAGTTGTTACCATTCTTGGAAGACAATGGTATCACAGAGTTGTTCCAGTCTGGTTTTAAAGCTCTCCACAGCACAGAGTCAGCACTTTTAAAGGTTTCAAACGATATTCTAATGACAACAGACTCTGGAAAGTTTGTTGTCCTTGTGCTCCTGGATCTGTCTGCTGCATTTGACACTGTTGACCACAGCATTTTAATCTCTCGCCTGGAGCACTGTGTGGGCATTAAGAGTGTCGCCCTGGACTGGTTCCGGTCTTATTTAACGGACAGAAGTTTCTGTGTTCAAATTGACAACTCTGCATCCTCAACAGCTCCTCTTCCACACGGGGTCCCTCAGGGCTCAATCCTTGGCCCTCTTTTATTTGCCTTTTATTTACTCCCCCTTGGTTCTGTTTTTAGGAAACATGGCATCTCCTTTCATTTTTACGCTGATGATTGTCAGATCTATTTTCCACTTGCACAGAACAACTCCAACTCAGTCCAACAACTCACTGACTGTCTTAAGGACATTAAAGCCTGGCTTTCTTTTAACTTCCTCAGTCTAAATGAGAACAAGACTGAAGTAATGTTGTTTGGACCAAGTGGCGGCCACCCCCCCAACATCGACCTAGGCTCCCTCTAACCCTACCTAAAAGAGGTCATCACTAATCTGGGAGTTAAATTTGACCCTGATTTAAAATTTGAGAAGCAGATCAGCGGGGTGGTACAAAAAAGTTTTTATCAGCTACGTCAAATAGCGAAGGTGAAGCCCATTTTATCAAGACCTGACCTGGAAAAATTAATCCATGCTTTTATAACTACCCGTCTTGATTACTGCAACTCTTTGTACGTAGGGATTAGCCAGGCTTCCCTTGCCCGCCTGCAGCTTGTGCAGAACTCTGCTGCACGTCTCCTGACACAGACCCGCAGGCGTGAGCACATCACCCCCATCCTGGCGTCCTTACACTGGCTCCCTGTTCAGTACAGAATTCATTTTAAGCGTTTAGTATTTGTTTTTAAGGGCCTGAACAACCTTGCTCCACCCTATATTTCTGAGATGCTCCAGCCTTATTGCCCACCCCAACCCCTAAGATCAGCTGATCAGCTTTTACTGACGGTCCCCAGTACTAGGCTGAAGCTCAGAGGGGACAGAGCGTTTGCTGCTGCTGCCCCTAAGCTCTGGAATGAGTTGCCCTTGAAAATTAGACAGGCCTCCTCATTTCCTGTTTTTAAATCCCTTTCAAAAACGCACTTTTACTCATTGGCTTTTAGTACATTGTAGTGTTAATTTGTTTTTTATCATCTTAGCACTTGCCGTGAGCCTCCTTATTTAGCCTTTTGCATTACTGTATTTCTGCTTGCGTTATCTTGTTTTTTGATTGTTTTATTTGTTTTTATGTGTCATTGTACAGCACTTTGGCTACCCTTGTGGTTATTTTAAATGTGCTATAGAAATAAAGTTGATTGATTGATTGATTGATTTATATTATTTTTTCAATTAATGTATGTTATATCTTATCCTATGAGTCATCTTTTATTTACCATTACAACTGCTGACTCTGTTGTGACAAAAGTTGTTCAGTCTTTGCTGATGTGATTGGTAATGAAACACATGTATAGCTTTTTTGATTTGTTAGAAAACAATTTTATAATAACAATAGCATAATGAAAAAACCCGTGTATAAAACAGCATTTACATATAGATAAGGAACATTTAAGAAAAGCACTTCAATATTCTCCAGACAGAAACTGTCTATATGTGGCAAACCAGGACTACTTGCTACCTTCTCCAGGGTCATGGCAGTCTGTAGTAGCTCTAATGTTGTTCCAGACCCTTTTAACCAGGCTGTTCATCCATATGTGGTTGATTACTTAAGCTCTTCCAGGTTCAGTCTTCTAAACCAGGCCTGGGAATGTAAAAATCAGAAAATTCACAACAAATTACATTTAGAAATGGTTTACTTCATATTATGTCAGTTAAACTGTCATATTAGTCATGCAAACCTGGTCATCTGGTCACCCTAACAACATCTCCAATCTGCCATTTCTGTCAAAGATACTGGAAAAAACTGTTGCCACTCAACTCCATTCCCACCTTTACCGCAATGACATTTATGATCAATTCTAATCTGGTTTCTGCCCTCACCATAGCACTGTCACAGCACTACTCAAAATCACCAGCGACCTCCTCCTGGCAACGGATTCCGTTGTCCTCTCCATCCTCATCCTGCTTGATCTGAGTGCGGTCTTCGACACCATATCACACACCACCCTCCTTGACAGACTCCTCTCCAAAGGAATCACACACACCCCTCAGCTGGTTCAAATCCTACTTCTCCAGCCACGCACACTTCATCCAACTCAAATCATTCACATCACAACCACTCCCAGTCACTGCAGGTGTGCCCCAAGACTCTGTTCTGGGGCCCTTCCTATTCATCATTTGCCCACTCCTCCTTGGTTACATCTTCCAGAAACATTACATAAACTTCCACTGCTACGCGGATGACACCCAGTTCCATTTTTCCACAGAACCTGAGTCCACCCTCCCTCCCTCCTTCCTCTCTCCTTCCTCACTGACTACCTCCTTAAACTAAAATCCTGGTTTTCATCCAACTTCCTGAAACTGTGCAGCAACAAAACAGAAATTTTACTTATTGGCACAAAAACCACCCTGTCCAAATCTCCCAGTTTTACAATATCTATAGATTATTCCAGCATCTCTCCATCAAGAGTCTGTATGTCATCCTCGACAGCACACTCATATACCTCACATATCAGCCATATAACCCGCTTAGCCTACCTCCATCTCCATAACATCAACTGCCTCCACCCTTCTCTCACACTTCATACAGCTGCCATCCTGGTCCACATTCTTGTCACTTCCCGAGTCGACTACTGCAACTCCCTCCTGTTTGGACTTCTGCAAAAAACTCTCCATAAACTACAACTGGTACAGAATTCAGAAGTCCGTATTATCAAAAGGACCCCATTCAGTCATCACATCACACCAATCCTCCAGCAGCTCTACTGGCTCCCAATCACACACTGTTTTTACATACACCTGTAGATGCAGCTTAGACACATCATCAGTGATGTAAACTGGGGTTATTGAGTGTTTTAGGTCTTTCAACAGTTAGACACCCTCGTCCAGGTGAACCAGCCAGGATTAATCAAGCCCCAGCTTGTTTCTAAGCAGCTTGTGTCCATGGAGCACCCTGTTTGATCCAAAGCCATCTTGACACCTTCTCTGCAGCATCCATGATCTTCTCAATGGCTTTACTATTGTGCAGCACCTTAATCCCCAGTCTCCTCAGTGCTCTCTAGAGTGACTGGCGAGCAACGCCTCTGCACCCAAACTTGATGAGGTTGCATCAGGTTGTCCAACCATTGTTTTGGCACATGCTGGTCAGCTCCTCGTACTTGGCCCTCTTCCTCCTGAGGGCCTCCTCCATCCAATCTTCCCAAGGGACAGTTAGCTCCAGCAGGACCACCTGCCTCGATGTATCTAACAGCAACATGATGTCTGGCCTGAGTGTGGTCACTGCAATCTTGCGCGATATTGTAACTGTCTCCCGAGGTCAACCTTCAGCTGCCAGTCCCACACTGTTGCCAAAAAAGCCCCCTGGTTTAGGAGGTGCTTCTGTTTCTCTAAGAATGTGCTCCAGGGATGCTGGGCTGTCTACCAGGCCCCAGCTGAAGAGGTTGGATGGGTTGGGCAGGACATCGTATGTGGATTGGATTAGGAACCTTATGCGCTTTGGCTCCTCCTTCCACAGCTCCGGCAAAGAAATCTTCCAATCCACTGCCTGCTGCCATCAGGTCCACAACCCCTGTTGCTGCATCTCCACTGCCTTGCAGTATCAGGCTTCCTCAACCCCTGCTCAGACCTCCTCCTGGACTAGCTGGCGCCTCTCATTCCCCTGGGCCTTGTTGTAGCATGGTCTTGGGTTGCTGCCCAGCCCTGCTCACCCAGATGCCACCGCGCTCACTAGCACACTGTGCCGCAGTCGTGACTCTGCCTGAGCCTTCCACTTTCTGCCAGTCCTCACTTCAATGCCTGCTAAGGAGACCTTGGTGTCATGTGAGTCCCTGTCCCTGGGAGCTGTATCTTATTCTTCCTCCCATACAAGGCAATGCCGCTGAGAATCCAAGGTAGGCCCAACCACCTTCGCAGGTAGTGGCTGATCTTCCCCTCTAGGCCTTTGACCATGGTCAGTGGGACATTCTACACCAGCAGCAGCTAGAGGAGGTGTGGTAAGATGCTGTGTTGGTAAATCCAGGCTTTGAACTTTCCTGGCAGCCTTGACTTGTCCACTGCAGTGAGCCAGGCTCTCAATTCACTGCTGGTCGAATTCAGTGCTGCAGTGTCCCTCAAAGATCTTGCCCAAAGTCTGAACAACCTTACAGACCATACCAGTCATCCATCCTTTGGTTCAAGTCCAAACATGTAGAAGTCTGGAAATTCACTAAATACCAGCAGATATGTTGATGGTGATTATTATTATTATTATTATTATTATTGTCATTATTATTATTATTATGTTGCTGAAACATGTTTGTGGTTCGTGGTTTGGTTCTTCTGCAGCAGACAGGTTTTTGTACCAGCTCTTCTCACTGTGTGCCAGTTACTCCTTTTTCTACAACTCTTACTACTACATCTTTGGCTCTGGAACAACACTGTTTGTTTTAGGTAAGAATAATATTTCATATAATTTATTTAATTTATTGAACCAGTCTAAAGCAGGTGTGATCAAGTTTTCTCAGGTTATGGTGATAACTGTGAGTTTATTTAGATTATCAGAGAGAAATTTGCTGCCGAGCAGCTCCTGAGACAAAAGAGTTTCATTACTTTCTTTAGTATTTTATCGTCGCTGTTTTTCATTCAAAAATGTTTTACAATAATCAGATCAGTTGTAATTTTCTCATAATCAAATATGTTCCAACAAATGAAACATATTTGTCTTCAGATATGTTAAATTGCAAGTGTGTAATCGTTCAAAAGCAGTAAAACTAACCGCAGCTGTGGTAGTTTATATTACAGTGCTTGTCTTTATTGGTTACAAACACACTTATACCAGACAAAAGTCTACATCTTAAATGTGTTTATTTTATATAACATATAAAATCTTTTATCTCATTTCCCTTGTGGGACAAACAAACCATCTGTCTATAAACAACATTTTACAAACTAATAATCTAAGTAAGACAGTTTTCATTAATCATTTTAAAGATGTTTTCATTTGTACTGTCTAACAATAAAAACCTCTGTCATTACTTTGTAGCACCAGAAGCTTCATTCACATTTTGTATCAATGTATAATTTAAGAATGGAATAATACAAAACATGTAAAACTACTGTAGTAACTTTGTCTCTGTTCCAGTATGTTGAAATAATAAAGGAATATCGGTTATTCTGATAGTGCCATTTTTTCCACGTCCTAATTCAACATAAAATTAACTCATATACTGTAAAAAGCTATTCAGGATTTTATGAAGTGTTTAAAACTGTATTTTCGTCTGTGCTGATACATTAATATCTTGTGAGTGAATAATAACAATAGTTATTAGTTGTTGTAATGATAATAATAGAAATATTAACGATAATACTACTAGTAATAGTACTAGCAATAATAATAATAATAATAATAGTAATTATTATTATTATTATTCCTTAAACTAGGAGAAAATGTGTATCTTTAAAACTGCTGTATAAAGATTTAATTCACTGAAAACAGCAACAACTAACCCAACAGGTACTGCATGTATAAAATATCAAACATCTTGTTTTCACTGAGGGATTAACAAAGTAATTTTTGTGTCTTTATTTCCTAAATGATGTTTTAAAAATTAAAAATCAAATTTTCTTACTTCTGTTTTTTATTAAAAAAAAAAAAAACATTTAAAAAAGGTCAGCTCACATAGAGAGAAGTTAATCCAGACCGATCACAAAATCTTACTGAGCTTATGATTTTAAAAACACTTTATAAAGCATCTGAAATCATATTACATTTGTACAGCACTGTAAATTAAACCGTTTTCTTCAGTACTTGGCAGGATGGGTTTTATTCATATTTGCCTTTTCTAACCCTATCATTACAGTCCTGAATAATGAAAAAAAGAAATAACTGATGTGTTTATTGGTGTCTGAGTTAACTATGTTAAAGGGTTCAAAATGTTTGGATTAGTCTGAGGTTTTTAAATTTTCATTATGTGCTTAAGCCAAATATATAATTAAGACTAATGTGGACAGTAACTCTGGAACACTAAGATATCCTAGTTAGAAATTTTGAACATATTCAAAATGAAACGGTTAATGTAATAGAATGTAACCATGTAGTGACTTTAAAAAGTATGATATGATATCATGCAATATAATTCACTATTTTATAAACTTGACTTTTTATACCAAACTTTTGAAGTTATTTAAAAATATTCATGCACATTTATTTCTTTGTGTGCTCGGAGGTAACAATACAACATGCTAATATAATGTGAGACTGAACAATGTTTTTATAGTTATCATAAACTTAATATCTGATCTAATGTCTTTGGGAAGAGATCTAGTTTCAGTATATTGAACTTGAGTCCGTGTTGCTGAGTGTTTAGGAGCTCAGAGCTGGTTTGTTGTTCAGGATTAGACTGAATGCAGAGCTGGAAGCTGCTCCTGTGAATGTGTGTGTGCTGCTTGTTCCTCTTCAGGTGAGCAGGTAGTGGAGCCCGTGGTGAGAGTGTACCCGGCTGCATCCAGAGGCCAGCTGCTGTGTGTGGCCTCAGGCATGTTTCCTCCTCTGGTGAAATTATCCTGGAAAAGACAAAAGGAGCGTGGTGGTGTGGAGGTGCTGCCCTCTGCTGACAGTCGGCAGCAGAAGCTCCAAGAGACTGGATGTTCAGCCTCGATCTTACACATCAATCAGCAAGAGATCAGCTCTGATCAATACCTCTGCAACGTGCAGCACCAGGGAGGAACCAGGGAGGTCCCAGCACCAACAGGTAATGAAGGCTTGGTGAGCACGCTCAGTGGTGATTCAGCTTCTTATGAGGACTGACACTGTTTTCAACTCTATCTGTTTCTGAAGGTCCTGTGACTCCAGCACCAACACCATCACCTTCAACAGCACCAACACCGTCACCTTCAACAGCACCAACACCATCACCTTCAACAGCACCAACACCGTCATCTTCATCATCACCTTCACCTTCACCTTCTCCTCCTCTCCCAGCATCCCCTTCTGTCCCGTCTCAGCACCAGGTGAAGCTGCTCTCTCTGCTGTACTCACTGCTGATAGTGAAGAGTCTGGTGTACTGCTGTGGACTCTTTCTGATGACCATCCTCAGAGACAAGTGACCATCCACAAACTGTTCTACTCACTGCACTGACTTTTCCCTCAGAGTTTTAGGATCACAACTCTATCTCAGCTCTGTATTTTCTCAGCTTGAGCCTTTTTTTTCATATCAAAGTTTAAAAATCATTGCATGTCTGCGAAATAATACCTTATTCTATTTGTTTCACGATCTTTGGTTATTTTGAATGACATTATGCTGAGTACGACTGCTTTGTCAAATTCCCAAGAGAGTAAAAAAACTGTGTCTAATAAGAGGCACATACTCTCCTTTCACACATTTCCAAAATCAAATGTAGAAGATGATCAAAATATGAGCAAAGAGGTAAACCAGGATTAATAATCTGCTCAAAAACAGGCTCAGCTAACGACGAGGAAGCTGCAGACAGGAAACCCACAGAAACAGAGAGAGAGAGAGAGAGAGGGGTTTGATTTACCATCATCACTTTATCTGTCTCACTGCTCGTTCTGTATCTTATTGTTTTTAAATCCAGCTCTAATGTTTTTTTTTACTGCTGTTGATTTTTATTTTCATTTGTACTTGTTGACTTTTGCCGCAGTATTTTGTTCTTGCATAGTTTTAACTGTCTAGACTCTTCTCTGTTTAGCCTGATGATTAAATGTTTATTCAGCTTTTCACCTCAGTATTTGCTGTATTTTGTCTAAGCTCTTTGTATTTCTTTAACAAGGTGCCAGTAAATAAACTTATCATTAAAGTGTTTATCATCATCATCATTAAATTGTAATATCTCCCTTTGACTTCTGAAACTACGCTGATATCTAGTGGATAAAAACACAGTATAGGGGAAATCAATGCAGACCCTCTAAAAAAAGAGCTACAAAGATGGCGAAGACAGAGCTCAAAATAAATTTAAACATGAAAAAATTGTGACTTATGACAAGAAGATAAAAGTTTTATTATGTAAACCAACGGTGTCAATGGATAAAGTGTGTGATTGAGTGTCAAAAAAAAAAAAACACTAAAGCTTACTCAGAGCAGCCAGTGACTGTCTGCGGGAAGACAGCAGTCAAACTAAAGACAACATCATTCACCTCAGACGTTAAGTAGAATCGAGGAAGGACAGTTCAGACACCAACTATTCTCTTCTGCAGACCCAGAACTCAGAACTTGCTTTTTGTAATTTTTTTCAAAGCAGTGAAACAGTCCTTTAAAACGTGGTAAGACAAATGGGACTTTGGTGGTGAAGGCATCCCTACAGTTTTTACAACACCAATAAAGCACCGGAACTGTTTCAACACCAAACAAAATTTACAAATTTAAAAAATTATATATTTTCAATCTATTTTCAGTCATGTTAAATCAAATTTATACAGTTTTTTTCAGTAAACATAAACTGAATCCTCATCTGAGCACCTGACTGTCATTAGACAGACTGTTCACACTTTCTTACTCTATGCCTGCTGTCAGGTGTTTTTACCGGTCTACTTCAGACGGACACCTCTGATTGTCCTTCAGGTAATAAAAACACTGAAGGCTCACATTCAGACTCAGTTTGAAAGTTTACATCCAAACATGTCTCTGCTTGGCAGCAATGACGGCCAAAAATCTACAACTTCATAATAATTGAATCAATAGCAGTATTGTTATATTAAAATAATATTTCAAGACTTTAAATAAAATGACTGAAAAAAAATAATCTGACTGGACCAAAATATTAAGACAAGATCTAAGAATTGGAAAAAAAAAATCTTCATTTGAAAAAAAATGCTTTTTTAATTGAAGTAAAGTGAGTTAAATAAAATATTTGTAGTTTTAGGGTTGATGATTTATTGTGTGTGTGTGTGTGTGTGTGTGTGTGTGTGTGTGTGTGTGTGTGTGTGTGTGTGTGTGTGTGTACTTTTTGGAATAAAAATATAATGTTTTATTATTAGTATTGGTAGTAAGACAACATTCTTTAATATAGAAATGAGATAGAGAAAATGATCACTTTAGTCAGCAAACTGAACAATATTTTAACCCAAAGAAACACAGAGATAGTGTTTAAATGGTTTTACTCAGAAAGAGATGACTGAGGTCAAGGTTTTTAAGTTGTAGACATTGAAAGAGAAAAAAAAATCAAATCTCAAATTTTCTTTGCAAAGGATTTCCAGTAGATCCTCTCTTCAAGCAAACTCTGCTTTGCAAAAATAAATGTAATCTCTCAGAGGTCTGTAGAGAAGAGTTTTCTGTCCTCATGATCAAGCTGGCTAATAAAAAACAATTTTTCAGCAGCTGATCCAGGTTTTAATCCTCCACCAAGAGTCAGGTCAGTGCTGATGGTATCTTTCAGAGCAGGTCCAAGGTTCAAAGCACCACTGGACCGGTTTTGACTGACAGACTCTCAAATGTTGCAGAAACAGAAGAAAACCTTCAGTGTGACTGAGTTTCATCTTCAACTAAATCACTCAGGTCATCATTAAGTAACTCTGGCAGAGAGATGAAGCAAAGAAAACTGAATCAATGTCTGATATTATGAATTCTGTGTGTTTGTTTTCACAGTGGCAAAAAGTTCACAAGTGTACCTGTGGTGATTTTAGATGCGAGTAGATCTACCTCATGGCGGTTATTCTCGGGCAGCTCAACACCATGCGGCGGGTTAAAGTTTTGACCACAGCAGTGTCAGAAACAGAAAAACACTTTGATGAGTTTGAACTGCTTATGGTAAACCTGCAGCTTCTGTCTCCTGCTGCTGGTGCTCTCAAATCTAAAAAAGAAAAGCAAAAACTATGTGACTGTTGCTCCTCCTTTCAAAGCTCAGACTCTGCAGGAAACCACACAGTGTAACCAAGCTGTCAATCATCAGCAAGGCTCTTATCTGTCTGCAGCAGGGGCTGATGGGAGCTCTGAGGACCTGTTAGAAGGCAGCTGGTCTTGCTCTGATCTCTCAGCTCATCCTGGTTTGATCTCACTCCTCCTCAGGTTCAGCAGAGGAAACATTGCAGCACAAAATGCTTCTCTTCCCAGCTGCAGCTCTGTGCTGTGTGTGCTCAGGTGAGTGTTTCCAGCCAATCAGGAGCCTGCAAACTCCACCTTTCCCAGATGCAGCCTGTCTCTGTGAAATAGAGTTCAGAGACTTCTTAGCTGGTGATGAGATGGCTGTCTTCAAAATAAGTCAAAGATAAATTTTTGATCAAGCATCACTGTCAAACTCACCTCCACCTTTCTGCTTGTCTACAGTGCTGGTTGTCATGGCAGCAGAGCTCCAACAGGACACTTTACCGTTGACCAGAAAAGTTGGAGAAAGAGTCTCCATCAGCTGTGGAAACATTGACCAGTGTTATGATCAATATGTGTACTGGTACCAGAAAAAAGGCACAGAAAGTTTCAAAATAGTTCTGAGGATCGATAAGACAAATGGTGCCATAAAGAAACAAACTTATAACCATCCTCAGAAAGAGGATTTCACTGCAGTAAAGACAAAGACTGGCTGTGAGCTGCAGATCCAGAGTGTCAAAGTGTCTCATTCAGCGACCTACTACTGCAGCTGTCGGATAACACAGTGATACATAAACTGAGCAAGCTGAACAAAAAGCAGCAGATGATTAGATATAAGAAGATGTCGGATCATGTTCGACAAACTGCAGTGAACTCCAGCTTAGGGTCACTTCACACCAAATAATATATAAATGCCATACAATGTCAAGTTTACAAAAGACATGTAACATATAAATGTAAACCAAAATGAATATAGAACCAATACAAGTATCATACTCTGCCAAAAGCTAAAGTGAACAAGTCCGTCTGTGGTTGGGTTTTGAAAGAAGAGAGACTATTTGCAGTAACCACACTGAGGGGTAGTACATTCCACAAAGTGGGAGCTGTAACCGCAAACGCTTGCTCCCCTCTGGATTTTAAAAAAGATCGAGGCAAGTCTAAGACAACTCAGTTAGCAGACCTAAGGGCTCTGGAGGGTTGGTGTAGCTTAACAAGGTCAGCCAGGTACTCCGGGGCCAGTCCATTCAGAGATTTAAAAACAAATGACCTAGGTCGCAACGCGGCGAGATTGAACATGGTTGCGCCAAACGTCACAATCCTTCATCAGTGAAGCTAGCTCGCTGGCACTCTTCGCTCCAGTATCCTTCTTTAGGGTATCCACATACGATGTTCGTGGCCTCCCTCTATTTCTGTGGCCGTGTTTTGGTTCCCATAGCAAGACTTTCTGGGTGCTCAGCTCAGGGTGGCGGTGACAGTGTCCTGCAAGTTGGAGTCTCTTGGCTGCTATCTTGTCAGCGACTGCGGGCAGTTCGCCGTAAAGCACTTCGTTGGTTGTGTGAGAGCTCCAGTGTACATTTAGGACCCTGCGTAGCATGCGTGTGTAGGTACCATTGAGGGACTTCTCCATTGCATTATTCAATGCCCAACACTCGCACCCGTATATGAGGATTGACTCGACCGTGGCGACGAAGAAACGCTTCTTCAGACCTGGATTCATGTTGGACTTCCATATCCTGTCCATATCATTGAGGGCTTTCCAGGCCAACCCCTTTCTGACTTTGATGTCCTTCGGTGATTCATCTACCCAGGATCCAAGGTACCTAAAATCGTTCTTCTCCTCCAGAACAGTGCCGTTACGAGTGACCAGAGGAGAGTGCCGGGCAAGAGGAGGATGGTCATCGATGTTGTAGGCCAGGTATTTGGTTTTTGGGCCATTGAGTCCGAGACCTACTTTGTTGCATTCAGTCTCTACTCTAAGGAGGAGTTCCTGGGCTTGTTCCACGGTGTCAGATAGCAGGGCAATGTCGTCTGCGAAGTCCAGGTCAGCTAAGACTTCCTTCGGGTGCCTCCTAGATCTGCGGGGGGTGATGGTAAAGCCCAATTCTTCTTCCTTGCCATCTGCCAGCGCTTTCCTCAGGGCGTAGTCCAACACAATGATGAAGAGGAATGGGGCGAGCGTATCTCCCTGCAGAACTCCAGCAGTAATGTCAAACTGCTCCGTCTCTCCATCAGGTGTCATGATTCTCGCCTTGGTGTTATAGTACATAGCTTCAATTGCTCTGAGCAGGTTGGGTGGAATACCGTATGCCTTCAAGATCCTCATCATCTTCGCTCGGTGTATTGAGTGGAAGGCTTTCTTGAAATCTATGAAGGTGATGATGGCTGGCAGATTGTTCGCCTTCACTCCTTCAATGATTCTCCTCAGTGTGAGAATCTGAGCCACAGTGGATCGCCCAGGACGGAAGCCATTTTGGTTAATTCTGAGCTTCATGTCAATGACGCTGCGAATACGATTGAGGATCATCCTGTTGTAAACCTTGGCGACTATACATATTAGACTGATACCTCGATAGTTGTTGGTATTAGACAGATCACCAGTCTTGGGCACAGGGATAATGTTCATGAACGTCCAGAGGTCAGGCTTGTCATTCTTCATAAGCGCGTCGTTGCAAAACTGGAGGCAGATCTCATCGAAGTCACAGCATTTGAAGACTTCTGGGGGGATGTTGTCCGGTCCAGCTGCTTTTCCCAGCTTGAGTGAAGCTTTGACCTTCCTGAACTCATCTAGGGTGAAGGGCTCGTCGTTGATGTCCTGGGGCCTCATGTATCAACGCTTGCGGCGCAAGAAAACCTTGCGTACGCCAAAATCGGCGCACACGTCCAGATTTATCATCGCGAAACGAGCGTCGGTTCCAGCGCTAATCAACGCAAAGTCAGGAGGTGGTGTAGAAATTGGCGTTGAGCTGATACTTGCGTTGACTGTGATTCGCACTTTGGCGACGCTGTGTGGCGGTGTTTGGTGACTCACTATGTGACAAGCGTGCACCACATCCCCGTGGCCGAGCAGCACGTTGCCCCACATGACGAACCAGCAGCAGACGGAGGGATACGAGCTGATCCCTGCCGGGCCGCCGTCCTCGCGCGGGAGAATCTCATCGCCAGTGTGAATGGGTAAGAAGTGAATACACAGTTCAATGAGCCAAATTAATTTATTTTCTCCACCAGACGCTCGCGGGGATCAACGAGCCGGTCCAGCCGCTCGTTGATCCCCGCGATCCCCCTGATGATTTCTTCCTGCGATTGCAGGACCCCCTTCGCGAGGACCCTTCCACTGCGTCCGGGTGGTCCAGTGGAAGCGCCGCGGCTGGTGGACGCTCCACCGCTTGTCGGCGCGCTGGTGCTGGTGCTGGTGCTGGTGCTGGTGCTGGGGCCGGGGGCCGGGGGCCGGGGTGGCCCGAATGCCGCTGGTCCTGGCCGACGACTCCGAGCCGGCGGACGGGCTGCCGCGGGCCGGGGTTCCGCAAGCCGGCGACACGGCCGACATATTGATTTCTGTGACACAATAAAAATATTTGTTCATTTCAATTCCTGCTTCTGTGTATCTGTTGCGTTTACATCTCTCTCCACATAGTATCATAGGTAATGTAATCCAGTATTTCGAGGTCAGTTATGCACATTACAGTTGTTTATTGCATAAAAAGTTATCGAAAAATGAAGTTAAGGGCGAAGTATAAATCACGTCTAAAAATAGACTGAATCCCGACGTTGTAATGAAGTATAAACTTAGACTAGACGTCTAATATACGTCTTTTGCTCAGTGGGATGACAAAGCATGTGGACATTTGTGTGACACGCCACTTACCCTATAATAATAATCACCACCACCCGCTGCTCAAACGGCGTGAGGGTCTCCTCCCCCGGAACCCCACCTGTCTGGCCAGTACTCCTCCGGAGGGCAGCTGTACACCGCTTGACCTCCACCTTGAGGTCCGACCACTTTTTTTAATCTCCGCGGGGGTGCGTGTCGGAACCCACCGCATTCACCCTCTCGCAAACTTTCTCCCACTCCAAGCGTTTTTGTTTTGCACTGACGCCACTGGACAGGCTGCCAAACAAAATACGCTGTCGCTCCTCCACCTCCGCCACCAGCACCTCCACCTCGCACGCCGTAAATTTAGGTTTTCTTGTCATTTTGTCTGCGTGCGAGGACAGGGAGACCCTATTTAAATAAATCTGCATATTTATAGGAGGGCGTAACGGGGACGGGCCCAGTCACTCTGACATCTGCGCTCAATTCCACGCTGATTGGGATTTATCAACGAAACACACGTGGATTTCGGCGCCCGCACACATTGATACATACGGATTTTTTTCAGCATTACGGACCTTGCGTGCGCTCGTTTCTGGTATGAGTTCCACGCAAGTATTGATACATGAGGCCCCAGGTCTTCAAAGATGTTAGGAATCTCCTCATCTGGATCCTCAACAGTGGAGGTTTCTCCTAGCAGCCTCTTGAAATGTGTAACCCATGTTGTCACACGTTCCTCTGGGCTGTTACCAGAGACTTGACCCTCCTTCGCCCTCTTCCTTCCAGAGATCTCATTTACGACCTTCCATGCCTCGCCGTACTGCTGGGCTCCAAAAGCTTCTTCAATGGTGCGAGTCTGCTCTTCAAGCTCCTGTTCTTTGACCTGGTCATAGACCGTGTACAGCTCAATGAGTGCACGCCGCCAGGCGGCCCGGTTGTCGTCAGTGCTATCTGTGTCCCACTTGGTGTGGGCATCATCCACTCTCTCTCTCGCAGCTACGACTTGTGGGTTGGTTGAGGTGTGCACAGATTTCCGCTTGGGTTTAAGAGGTACACAATCCTCCATTGCCTGTCTGTTGGCCTCCACAAACTTCTCATATCTTGCTCCGTTGTCATCTTCCTCCAAGACTTGAAACCGATTCATGACCTCTACTGTGTAGTCGTGCTGGATGTCAGGTGACACTGCAAAACGTTTCCAGTCATATCGGGTTTTCTTGGGTTGCTTAGCTGTTCTTAGGCTGAGTCTTATCTTGGCGCAGACAACTCGGTGATCTGAACCCACTGAGCAGAAAGAGTTGTAGGCTTCAGCGTTCAGCAGGCTGTTCCTCCATTTTCTGCGAATCAGGATGTAATCAAGTTGATACAAGGCGTCTGTTGGGCTCTTGAACGTCCAAAGTTTTCCACGTCTCTTCTGAAACTGAGCGTTGGCTGCAAGCAATCCAAACTCAGACATGGTGACAGATAAGAAAGATCCATTGCGGTTTGTGTCGTCATGGAAGGTATGTGGGGCAACTTCGGTGCCAATTCTGGCGTTGAAGTCAGCCAAGATTCAGAGAAAGTTGTGTGCAGGAATGTCCTGCAGGGTGTTTCGCAACTTCTCGTAGAAATCTTCGATAACGCTCTCCTCTGCGCAATTGGTGGGAGAATAAGCAACAATGGTGGTTGTTCTGGGGTTGCCGTCAAACTCAGCACTCAGATACGGTCGCTGATTCTTTTTACGTCCAGCAGCGCTTTCTTTGCTTTCTTGCCTAGCATTAGTCCAACTCCTCCCACAGAAGCCTGTTGTTGGTTCCTCCAAGCTGATGAGATGACGAAAAAGCCGGATCCAATCGTTCTGTACTCGATGTTGTTTGGGTCAGGTAACACGATGCGGTGCTCCTGAACCCCGAGGATCTCGATGCCAGCATCGCACCTCCGCTGCTCGCATTCAGCAGCACTGTACTCTGTCCTCAGAGTGTTTGCGTTGAAGGTTCCCATCAGGAGTGGTGTCCTACAACGCAAAAGCGCCTTTCCACGTCTGCTATTCTCAGATGCCTCCCCCCGCACCAGCGCTAGCATAGCACGGTTTGCGGATGCATCGTCATTCTGTCTCCCTGGACCAGCAGTTCGACTAGCTTCTGTGTTGATGGCTGGGTTCCTGCACACTCCCGGTGCTGGAAGTATAGGATTTGTGGTATGCGTGTTATCCATGTTCAATTCTTGACAAGGCTATAATCCGCTGGGTCGCCAGGTCTCAACGGATGCTGTAGGCCGAGTTGGGATGAGTTCCTTCCTTCGCCCCTTTTTAGGATGCCAGCAACATCAGGGCTTCTTCCTCTAACGAGAGGATAACGCAAGAAGCATTGCGCCTATTATGAGTGATAGGTCACTAGGTATTGTCTAGGCACCAGGGCATGTCCACACGCCGGTGGGCCATGCATGCCGTAGACTATTAAGGGATACCTTCCCCGAGCGTGCGACTCTGTTACCAGATTAGCTAATAACAGCTGCAAAGCTGCGTTCCCCAGGGGAGCCGACGGGGACGGTTGCCGCACACTTGAAGGGCATGGCCTAAAAATAAATCCGTACTCCTAAATACCGGTGCTTCGAGATAGCGTTGGTAGGAGCCCTGTAGGACTTACAAGCAGATGCTTTTAGGTCATCCCAACCAGACTGCTGAAAGCGAGAAGTACTAAGCACTACACTCAGCACTACCTTTTCTTCAGTCCTCCAAAAACAAATAAAAGAATCTTAAAAACGATCCTGTACCTAACTGGAAGCCAGTGTAGAGAAGAGAGCACTGGAGTGATGTGCTCACGCTTCTTGGTGCCAGAAAGGAGGCGAGCTGCCACATCCTGCACTAGCTGTAGGTGGTTAAGCTCCGCCTGGTCAATGCCAAAGTAAAGGGAATTGCAGTAATCCAAGCGAGAAGTAATAAAAGAATGGATTACTCTTTCAAGGTCTCTCTGGTTGAGATATGGTTTAATCTTAGCTAAAAGCCTCAGTTGAAAGAAGCTGGACTTGACCACAGCACTGACCTGCTTGTCCAGTTTGAAGGCACCATCAATAATAAACCCAAGATTCCTGGCATGGGATTTTATGTATGGTGCTATTGGATCGAGGGAGCTGGCAAGGACCTGAACTAGGTCGGGACAGCCGAACAGGATAACCTCTGTTTTGTTTTCGTTTAGTTTTAGCAAGTTTAGGTCCATCCATATTTTAACGTCTTTCATGCAGTTAAACACAGCCTGGAGCGAGTCTTTAGTAGGTGCCTTCACCTGTTTTGCTTCACCGGCAAAACAATGAAAGGGGATACCGTGCTTCCTAAAAATGGACCCCAGCGGTAGCATATAGAGGGAGAACAGTAAAGGGCCCAGGACTGACCCCAGGGGAGCACTGCATGTCAGAGGGGCCACAGAGGAGGAAAACTGTCCCATGCGTACAGAGAAGGATCTCCCAGAGAGGTAAGATTTGAACCAGCTCAGGGCAGTCCCTTTTATGTCTACACAGTGTTCCAGGTGAGATAGGAGGATTGAATGATCCACCATATCAAAAGCCGCTGTTAGGTCGAGGAGAATTAAAATGACACAGTTTCCAGAGTCGAGATTAAACAAAAGATCATTAAAAACCTTTAAAAGAGCAGTTTCGGTGCTGTGAAAAGACTTAAAACCAGACTGAAACAATTCAGAAACATTGGCCCTCTGTAAAAATTCTTGGAGTTGGTTAAAAACGACTTTCTCTAAAACCTTGAAAATAAAAGGAAGTTTAGAAATAGGCCTAAAATTAGATAAAATCAAGGGATCCAGATTTTTCTTTTTCAGGAGGGGCTGCACCATGGCATGTTTGAAAGAAGATGGAACACATCCAGAGCACAGGTTAATCTGTGCTGAATTTGCTCCAGTGTCTGAAAAAAATAGAGCTCTTGCGATCAGCTGCAGAGTCTGGCGATCCACAGTGGAACGGAAAGAAGCTGGTTGAAACTGACACATTAACTTGAATGGTTACAATCAGGTACGATCAGCGGATACGGCCTTTTTGTAGCCGTTAACAATGCGGTGGAAATTGGGGGTAAGGAGACTGGCTGTGAATGGCCCTTTTATTCAGAAAGCAAAATCAAACATCACAACTGTTATAACTCTTAGCTAAACCAGACAAATGAAAGGTAAGCTTTTCCGCTATGATAATGTTAAATGGCAATAAAGTTAAATTGGCATTTACCGATGTTGTTTTCATCTATCGAGATCTTACTTGTGTTGTAATTGCTCTCAAATGTAAGTCGCTTTGGACAAAAGTGCCTGCTATATGGCACTATGGTATTGTAGTACTGTAAAAGAAAACATGTAAATCATCAAAGTGAGAGAATTCAATTCACTCTCAGGGGACCAAGATTGTCTAAACAACCTTTCAGACCAATACCATTCATCCATTTTTGGTCTGGAAGTCCACAAAGTACCTGCACATATGTTGATGAAGATGATGATGATGATAATGATTACTATTATGATTGTCATGAGTAATATGATGATGATTATTATTATTGTTGCTGTTGTTGTTATGAGTATATGATGATAATTCTGATGATGATGATTATACTTATTACTTTTGTTTTTATTATCATTATTATTGTTGTTGTTGTTGTTGTTGTTGTTTATTATTATTATTGCTGAAACATGACTGTGGTTCGTGGTTTGGTTCTTCTGCAGCAGACAGGTTTTTGTACCAGCTCTTCTCACTGTGTGCCAGTTACTCCTTTTTCTCCACCTACCTCTACTACATCTTTGGCTCTGGAACAACACTGTATGTTTTAGGTAAGAGTAACATTTTATTTCATTTAGTTGATTTATTGAACTAGTCTCGAGCAGGTTTGATCAAGTTTTCTCTGTTTACAAAGATAACTGTGAGTTTATTTAAATTACCAGAGTGGAATATACTGCTGAGTGGCTCCTGAGCCACAAAAGAGTTTCATTAACTCTCTTCAGTATTTGATCCTCTCTGTTTTTCATTTAAAAATATTTTACATAATCAGATCAGTTGTAATGTTCTTGTAATCAAATATGTTCCGACAAATGAAACGTATTTGTCTTCAAAAATGTTAAATTGCAAGTGTTTAATAGTTCAAAAGCAGTGAAATGAACAGCGGCTGTGGTAGTTTATATTACAGTACTTGTCCATGTTGGTAACAGACTCACTTATACCAGACAAAAGTCTACATCTGAAATGATTTTATTTTATAAGACAAATAAAATCTTTTATTGTCCCATTTCACTTAAGAGACTGAAAAAACATCTGTCTGCATTTATTATGACATATGGGACTACAGACAACATTTTACAAATTAATATTCCAATCAATACATTTAAAATTTATTATTATAATGTATTATTATTTATTTGTTCTGTCAAACAAAATAAAGCTTTTCATGATTTTATGAAGTGTTTGAAACTGTACTTTAGTCTGTGCTGATACATTATTATATTGTCAGTGAATAATAATAATAGTTTTAATAATAATGTTGATAATAATGATAACAAAAATAATAGCTCATACTACTACTAGTAATAAAAATAACAATTACTATTATTATTTCTTAAACTAATAGAAAATGTGTATTTTTTTAAACTGCTTTATAAAATGTAAATGATTTAAAAACAGCAACAGCTAAGAAAACAGGTACTGCAAATGTAAAATATCGCACATCTAATTTCCACTGAGGGATCAACAAAGTAATTTTTGTCTTTTTTTCCCAAATGATATTTTGACATTTTAGTTAACTTGACTTTTCTTACTTCTGTTTTTTATTTTTTTTATTTAACTTTATTTGATTTTTTTTTATAAACATTCAAAAAGGTCAGCTCACATAGAGAGAAGTTAATCCAGACCGATCACAAAATCTTAATGAACTAATGATTTTAAAAACCCTTTATAAAGCATCTGAAATCATATTACATTTGTACAGCACTGTAAATCAAACCGTTTTCTTCAGTATTTGGCAGGACAGGTTTTATTTATATTCGCCTTTTCTATGTATCGTTACAGTCCTGAATAATAAAAAGGAGAAGAAATAACTGATGTGTTTATTGGTATCTGAGTTAACTATGTTAAAGGGTTCAAAATGTATGGATTAGTCTGAGGTTTTTAAATTTTCATTATGTGCTTAAGCCAAATATATAATTAAGACTAATGTGGACAGTAACTCTGGAACACTAAGATATCCTCGTTAGAAATTTTGAACATATTCAAAATGAAACAGTTAATGTAATTGAATGTAGCCGTGAAGTGACTTTAAAAAGTATGATTTGATATCATGCAATATAATTCACTATTTTATAAACCTAACTTTTTATACCAAACCTTTGAAGTTATTTAAAAATATTCATGCACATTTATTTCTTTGTGTGCTCAGAGGTAACTATACAACATGCTAATATAATGTGAGACTGAACAATGTTTTTATAGTTATCATAAACTTAATATCTGATCTAATGTCTTTGGTAAGAGATCTAGTTTCAGTGTATTGAACTTGAGTCCGTGTTGCTGAGTGTTTAGGAGCTCAGAGCTGGTTTGTTGTTCAGGATTAGACTGAATGCAGAGCTGGAAGCTGCTGACTGTGTGAATGTGTGTGTGCTGCTTGTTTCTCTTCAGGTGAGCAGGTAGTGGAGCCCGTGGTGAGAGTGTACCCGGCTGCATCCAGAGGCCAGCTGCTGTGTGTGGCCTCAGGCATGTTTCCTCCTCTGGTGAAATTATCCTGGAAAAGACAAAAGGAGCGTGGTGGTGTGGAGGTGCTGCCCTCTGCTGACAGTCGGCAGCAGATGCTCCAAGAGACTGGATGTTCAGCCTCCATCTTACACATCAATCAGCAAGAGATCAGCTCTGATCAATACCTCTGCAACGTGCAGCACCAGGGAGGAACCAGGGAGTTCCCAGCACCAACAGGTAATGAAGGCTTGGTGAGCACGCTCAGTGCTGATTCAGCTTCTTATGGTGAGGCTTAAAGAGACGCCAGAGGACCAGACGACTGACACTGTTTTTAATTTCTTAACTCTGTTTCTGAAGGTCCTGTGACTCCAGCACCAACAACATCAGCATCACCTTCAACAGCACCAACACCATCACCTTCACCTTCACCATCACCGTCACCGTCACCTTCACCTTCACCTTCACCTTCACCTCCACCTTCACCTTCACCTCCTCTCTCAGCATCCCCTTCTGTCCCGTCTCAGCACCAGGTGAAGCTGCTCTCTCTGCTGTACTCACTGCTGATAGTGAAGAGTCTGGTGTACTGCTGTGGACTCTTTCTGATGACCATCTTCAGAGACAAGTGACCGTCCACAAACTGCACACATGCTGGGGGACTATTTTCTGCTCAGTGTTTCTCTTCATCAGCTCATCAGTTCATCTCATAGATCTCTTTGATTATCAGTATAAAACTTCAATCATGACTTGATATGAAACTGCCCTGACTTTGCCCTCAGAGTTTTAGGGTCACAGCTCTATATTTTCTCAGTTTTTATCAATTGTTCTTCATCAAAGTTCAAATAGTTAATAGTGTAAAAAAATCTGTGTCTCATAAGAGACACAGATTCCATTTGTAGTTGTTGACTTTTGCCGCAGTATTTTGTTCTTGCATAGTTTTAACTGTCTAGACTCTTCTCTGTTTAGCCTGATGATTAAATGTTTATTCAGCTTTTCTCCTCAGTATTTGCTGTATTTTGTCAAAGCTCTTTGTATTTCTTTTATAAGGTGCCAATAAATAAACTTATCTTCATAGTGTTTATCATCATTATCATTCGAATTTAATATCTCCCTTTGACTTCTGAAACTACACTGATATCTAGTGGATAAAAAAACAGTATAGGGGAAATCAATGCAGACCCTCTAAAAAAAGAGCTACAAAGATTGCGAAGACAGAGCTCAACATAAAATGAAACATAAAAAATAGTGACTTATGACAAGAGGATACATTTACCAAAGATTCATGTAAATCAGGGGTGTCAATGTATAACGTGTGTTATTGAGTGTAAAAAAAAACACTAAAGCTTACTCAGAGCAGCCAGTGACTGTCTGCAGGAAGACAGCAGTCAAACTAAAGACAACGTCATTCACCTCAGACGTTAAGTAGAATCGAGGAAGGACAGTTCAGACACCGACTATCCTCTTCTGCAGACTTAGAACTGAAAACTTGCTTTCTGTAATTTTTTCAAGGCAGTAAAACAGTCCTGTCAAACATGGTAAGACAAACATGACTTTTTTTTTTTTTTCTTAATTCATATTTTGATATCTTTTTCAGAACAGAAAAAAAATAGACAATACACTCATACACCACTTAGACAACATAAATCAACTAACTCATCATGTAAGACATTTTACACTAAACGTACATTTCTAGAAAATAGACACCTGGAAAGTGTGTGTGTGGGGGGGGGGGGGATCTTTTAACCAATTGTCAATGTTAAATAATAATACGCTTCACTGACAAAAAGGCAATTGTGATAATTCGTTGTGTCAGTGCTGACTGTATGTTTTTAACTCTAGTGCCACGAAGGCAAACTAATGGACAGTGTGGTATTTTTACTTTTAAAATTAAAATCAATGTTGAGATAACCTCATTCCAGAAACTCTTCACTGAAGGATAATGCCTCGCCACAGCCATGCCAGCACAAATGTGTGAGAGAATTGTCAATTTTCTTTAATCTGGTTGGTGTGATATATGACCTATGTAAAATTTTAGTTTGAATAATTTTATATCTCACACATTTGGATGGCTGTTGTGTTTTTTAAGAATAGTCTCCCACTGTACAGAGGTCAGAGATATGCCCAAGTCTCTCTCCCATTGATGTTTGATGGAGGATAAGCTGTCCAGGTAGGTAGTGGAAAACAGACTATTTAGGTTAGAAACTAACCTTTTCCCCAAAGCAATCTCCCTCAGTTTATTGTCAAAGTCACTTTTAAGGCCTGTGGATGTGTTTTTTGAGGCAAGTAGCTCCACAATTGATTTCAGTTGTAAATAAGAAAAGAATTGGACATCGCTTAAGTTGAAATTATTTTTTAACTCATTAAAATGCACCATTTCACCATCCTTGATTATGTGCTTTAATTGGTTTATTCCTCGAAGTTGTCATGTTTTGTTTTTCAGCATTCTACCACCAGCTGTTAATGAGGGATTGTTCCATAAAGGACATGATGGTAAAGATGACCCATTAAAGGATAAATGCTTCTGACACGTTTTTACTACATCACAAGAAAACTAGATTAAAGAGTTGCCTATTTTAAAATAGTTTTTTGGGTGAAACCATAAAGATGATAGCGGCACAGACTTATTATGCTCTTTCCTCTACCTATTTCCAGCTGCCTGCCTCACTCTTGCACGTGTAGGCCCATAACAGAGGAAAGCTGGCATTGAAAGCAAGGTAGTATGAGTAAACTTCAGGAACTCCCAATCCACCCTTTTTCCTTTGCATGATCAATCTGTTAAAGCGGACTCTGAGTTTCTTGTCCTTCCATAGGAAACCTATAAATAACTTTTTGATTTCCTTGAACCAATAAGGGGGGAATTTAAGAGGTAGGGCTGAAATAAGAAATAATAGTCTAGGTAGAATATTCATCTTTATCACATCTGTCCTGCCCCATTATGAAATAGGCAGGACTGTCCATCTCTCATCCCTGATCTTTTTAAGGAGATGTGGGCTGTTTAGGTCAAAAATCTCTTTTATGGGAGTCCTGATGTTTAACCCAAGATATTTCATTCCATTTGGTTTCCACTGAAAAGGGGCAGAACCTAGGTGAGAGGAGAAGGTTAGGTGGTTTAATGGAATGGCTTCACTCTTGTGGTAATTTACTTTATAACCTGAGAACTTTCCATATGTATAAATAATTTTCATCACCTGAGGAATTGACTGATTTGGTTATGATAGTGTCAAAGAGGACATGAAACACCTCACATTGGTATCCTCAGGTGGTAAAATAATCAATGAGGAGAGTCTGAAATATTTTTTTGTGTAAAAAATCAGCTGTTTAATAGGAAAACTGCTTTCAAGAGTGTATTTACGACATGCGCACAGCGCCATCTTGACTTTACGACAGTTGTGACGTCAGCGGTTGTGCAGGAACAGAGCGGTGAATTAGTAATTAGTGTACGTAAAATTATAAAACGTCCTAAACTCTGTCCACCACACATCCGAGCAGAGACATAACTGATCAAACCTTCAGGAATATGTTACCTTCACTCTGGAGTCTAAAACAGTCAGCATTATCAGTCATCCAGCTCCAGCAGTTTAATAATCCACCAATATTATTCACATCCTGTTTCTCACGGTCAGCGCGTTTCATCTATTTGCATTGTGTGAAAAAAGTTTCAGAGACCAGAAACGGCGCTAAAAACTTTTTTCACATGAATGGATGAGACTCTGACCACGAGGTTGTAAACGGGATTCAAACAGGATGTAAACGGGAATAATATCGGTGGGTTATTAACCTGTTGGAGCTGGATGACTGATAATGCTGATTGTTTTAGACACCAGAGGGAAGGAAAGACATTTTTCCCTCTGTTATTTTATGTCAGATCTCCGTTTAACAGTGGAGACTCTGGTGATGAAGTTTATTACACTGAATACTGATGTTTACATCTGATCGCTGCTGCTGCTGCATGCATGTGTGAGCTGCGGAAAAGCTGCAGAGAATCACCGGCTGTTTCAGCAGCAAATGTTGGAAATGCAACGTTTTTTTTATTTCTTACGTTGTAAAATTGGTTGGAGCAGCCTGGCGCAAAACAAAAAACCCCTCCTCTAGTGAGTTTACTCATCTTTGGCTCTTGATTCGCCATTTCAGCCACCCTAATCTGCTCTCATTCAATCAATCTCAATTCAGTCAATACACAGGCTACACAACCGATGATGTCACACGAGGTGGCACTGCTTTACGGTTCCCCACAGTGTCGCTAAAGCGGAACTTCTGTAACAGTTTTCTAGAAATGTATTACATTTTGAGTCATGAATACAGTGATTCGTGAAGTCGAGAGGCATTCTTAAAAATAATGATCTCTTAGGTCAGTGTTTCATGTCCTCTTTAATAACAAATCATCAGCAAATAGATTAACTTTAAGATTGTATCCCCAAATGTTGATACCTGTGATTTTGCTCTCTGCTTGTATAGCACATGCAAGAGGCTCAAGAGCCAGAATAAAGAGAGATGGTGAGGCTGGGCAGCCCTGCTGGGTGAATCTCTGAATTCGGAAAGGATCAGATATTAAGCAATTAGTCTTGATTGATGCAACTGGTTTGTCATAGAGGGCCTTCACCCAGCCAAGAGTGACTGGTCCAAAACCAAACTTCACGAGAACATAAATCAGGTGTCTTCATTCTACCCTGTCAAAGGCTTTTTCAGCATCCAGCGATATGGCTATAGCCGGATGCTGAAAAGTGCCCGCTCTCTCCATGACATGGAGAAGTCTCCTCATGTTGTTGGAGGCAAGTCTGCCTTTGATAAACTTGGTCTAGATGAATCAATGAAGAAATGACATTCTGTAAACACATGGCAAGAATTTTAGCAAAAAGCTTATAGTCATTATTTAGCATACTTATAGGGTGAAAATTTGACGTTTGAGTGGTCCTTGCCAGGTTTGGGTATCAAGGAAACGTTGGCTCGGTGGCATGGATTGATCAGCTAATATATCATTAAATAATAAAGTAAGTAACAGGGATACTTTTTGTTGGAAACATTTCTAAACTTCATTAGAAAAGCCGTCATTGTGCGGTGCTTTCCCTGTTGGGAAGGCATTCAATGCTGCAAATATTTCAGACTCTGTAAGGATGCCTAGCCCATGTTCACACATTAAAAAATGGAAGGTCCACACGAATGATCATTTTGACAAGCTTTACTGGTTACAGATCTGGGTTACAGCTTCATCATGTCGCAAGTGTAGCAAAGTGTAACAGAAGCATAACAGAAGCGTAACTGAGGCGTACCAGAAGAGTAACTAAGTGTGGTCTGAGACTGCTCAAGTATATATAGTCCTCCACGTTTCCAACCATTCTGCTTGCATCTTGTTGACCTACAGGAGAGTTCATATAAAGGTAATAACAAAGCACAACATATTTTAAGGAGCTTTAGGTGAACATATGGAGGGTCCATAGAAGGAAATACCATGACAGAACGTATTTTGGGGACCTGTGTGATGTAAAATATGGGTACAAGGTTCTTTGGTTGAGGATGGTTGTCGGAGGCCCATGGCTCCAGCAATCTAACACTGAAGTATCTGAGGTATTTGAGTGACACAGCTCCACCACTCTAAAGGCTGACATGACTGGCTAAAGAAACTCATCCTAACAGACTCTCTAACAGGTGTCTCTAAACTCTCTCTATCCTCTTCTTTTAAGGTTGGTAAGGAGATGTCCTTAAAGTATGTTTCTAACTCATTTTCATTAATATAACCTTCTGTCTGATAAAGATTGAAGGAAAAAAACTCTGAAAGCTGTGTTAATTTGTGTTTGTTTAACAATAACTGTACCCGTAATATCACATATGGATATTGATTGAAGACTCTGCTGCTGTTTTAACCTTAAGGCTAACATCTTACCTGCTTTATCACCACATTCAAAATATTTGCGGCGCAGCTTAAACAGTGCAAATGCTGTTTCCTCGTGTATAATTGATTGCAGCTCTGCCTTACAAATCATCACAGCATTTCTTAGTCTTACATCATTAGGGGACTGCATGTGCTGTTATTCTAATGTCTTGAGCTCTAACATTAAACTCTTTTTCTTAGTCTCCCTTCCTTTCTTTTTGGCTGTGGCATACTTAATTATCCAACCTCTACATGTTGCTTTAAATGCTTCCCATGCTGTTTGGATTGAAGGCACTGAACCTATGTTAACTTTGGGGGTTAAGGCATCTCAACAGTTTTTACAACAGTAATAAAGCACTGGAACTGTTTCGACACCAAACAAAAGGTACAATATTAAAAACAACATATTTTCAATTTATATTTATACCTTTTTTTTAAGTAAACATAAACTAAATCCTAACCTGAGCACCTGACTGTTGTTAGAAAGATAGTTCATACTTTCTGCTCTCAGGTGTTTTTACTGGTCTACTTCAGGGGGACACCTCGGATTGTCCTCCAGGTAATAAAAACACTGAAGGCTCACATTCAGACTCAGTTTGAAAGTTTACATCCTAACATTTCCCTGCTTGGCTGCAGTGACACAGTCAAAAATCTACAGAGCAAAGATCTGAGTGACGCATCACAAGTCCTGATCGGGTCCTCTCCACTGAGTCGCTCACTTTCATTGGGCAGCGTTACTTTTATCGGGTTTCTGAAACATTAAAACCTCTGAGTGCTAACAGAGAGGGAAACAGGAGGTGGAGCTTCAGTCTGGTGAGGCTGCAGGACGGAGCAGGGTGCAGTACTTTAGAGGGACCTCAAGGCCCACCACAGGACCCACCACGCTGAGCCACGTGAGCACAAAGTTCACAGGCCTGTTGGAAAAAGACACACATAAACACACAAAAATCTGCTGCGTTTTGTGCCTGTGGCAGAGAGCTGACAGTACTGGATGAGGTCTTTATAGGCCAGAGACTCTACCTGTGTCGGTGCTGAGCCTCCTGCAGCACAGGCCGCATAAACTCCTCTGTTCTGCACGGGTGGAGCATGAAGAAAGGCTGGCCCAGTAGGGGGTGCTCCTGATATACAGAGAGAGAGAGAGAGAAGGGGGGGACAAAGAAAGTAAGGCCTCAGGGAGGATTCAGGAGGGAAGATGATAGTCCTGATGGATCAAGGCTGATGTTCATACCTGCAGAGTGATGGTGTTCAGAGGACTGCTCTGAAGACGAAGTCTAAAGTTTGGATGAACAGAACTCCACACCTCCTCTAAAGACAGGCTCCGCCCCTCTGACATGGTGACAAAAAAACATACTATTAAAAGTCTGAACCCTTAATCCTCTCATTGGCAGATCCTTGGCAGATGACCTCAGTTGCCATAAACAAATAATTGAATTTGATATTTTGCAAATTATTTTAAACCTGCAGTTTATGTAACTGAAAATAGTGCACAGACAACATACCAAATATCAAAACCAGGAAATGTTTTTATAAAAAATCTCTGCTCATCTTAAAAATGACATCAAAAACATGTTTGTAAAAAGTTTGTACAGGATCATGTTTCTCATTGGCCCTGTTTACATGGGTCCAAAAATCCTATTTACAATCAGATTGAAAGGTCAATCAGATTAAAAATGTCTCACATAAACACCTTAGCCAATCTGATTCACCCGGATCTGATTGTATTTCGGGTCGGATTGAAAGAGGTAGTCTACACCGATTGATAATCCGCTCCATGCTCCATATATATGGCTGAGTGGAGCGGACTGGGTTTACGGAGAGGCTTGTTCGGTCTGCGCAGGCGCTCGGTAGCACGAAAGAGGCATGTAGTGACGTACGCAGAGCGTGCCCAAACGAAAACAAACATGGCGAACAAACAGAAAAACTGGACGGTGGAGTGTTAAAGTGTGTTGTTTCGCGCGACTGACGAAGCGTACACATCTTGTTGTGTAACCCCGCTGGATTCTACTTTTATTAAACTTCAACACATAGGGTTCCTTACTCTGCTCGGTCTGGTAACTCTGGCGGTGTCACACACAAACACGTCCGTGCGCAACTCTAAAACGGAACTAAAACAATGGTTCGTATTAACAATTCCCATTGATACACTACAATACAACTGGATTCAGCTGGGGCCATGAAAACGCGGACTGAACGTGGATCTCTTTACTTAAAGTTCATGTATACATATGGAATCAGATTCACTTAATCCAATTGATTTCAATCAGATTGACACCAGATAACCGATCAGCAAAGCAACATTGTGGCTCTTACAGATTAGTTGAACGATTTTTTAAATAATCATTAAGCTATTTATGTATTTGTTGGCTGCAGAGCTAGTTGTAACTTATGTCTAAATTTACATCATTAAGAGTGTGCAGAAGCGGTGACTGACTTCTCACTCACCCAGAGTGAAGGCTCTGAAATAAAGCACAGGAACACTGTAGCTGCAGGAGAACAGGATGTGATATTCATATTGTAGCACCAGGCTGCTGCCTGCTGCCTCTGAACAGACACTGTCATCTTCAACAACTTCTTCATCAAAGTTGCCTTTAAAGTCATCAGCATCATCAGTGGAAACAGGAGCTGACTGTGAAGGAGAAAGGACCCTTAAAAACAGCAGCCACCCTGCATTCAGAAGACACTTGGTCATTAGAGGTACAGAGTCAAAAAGATATGCTACAGAATGAGCAGTCTTTTACATCTCAGTCACTCACCTGGTCCCGCTCTGTATCCTGACAGCTCTGTGTTTCTGATTCTGAGTTTAATCCCTCAAGGTCCCACTTTCTGCTCGGGTTGATGTTGACCACCCTGAGAGCAGTTTTCTTCAAGTAGCCTTCATCTGAACCCTGAGTCCAAGTCAAAATCTACCATTAACCGCATACAAGGAGTACAAGCAGAACTGCACACACTGTTTCATCATTGCATCAGCACAAACCTCCTTACCTGCACAACCTCCCAGCTCCATCCATCGTTCAGCTGCTCCGACTGCTGCAGGAGGAGCTGACAGCAGAGATGGAAACTCTGCTCATCCAGCCCACACCAACTCATCGCTACTAGAACACAAGAAATAAAGAGGTTCATTTTGGATTTTGTCAGAAAAGCTTGGACAACAGTGAAATATTTCTATCTGCCGCATGGCTGTCATCAGTTTTCTACAGTCTGAATTTTGATTATTATTTAGTGCAGTGGTTCTCAAGTCCGGTCCTCAAGGCCCACTGTCCTGAATGTTTTGGATGTTTCCCTGCTCCAACACACTTGATTCAAATGATCAGCTCGTTATTAAGCCATTACAGAGCTTGATAACGAGCTGATCATTTGATCATGGGAAAAGTCTTCCCCGGGATGTGTCTTTTTCCCCCCGGAAAGTCGCAAAATCGCATTGGGCTTGATGTGTATAGTAAGGTAAATCAAAATTTGCCTCTGGATATTTAGCACTTTCGCGTTCTGTCTTCGTTAGCCCCAATGTGTAAGGACCTTAAGACTAAACAAATATACACAAAAATTGGAATATACACGACAATTTTGTCAGCTATAATGACTCACAGAGGGGACATAATCCTAGTGACTGATATGATCCCACCAGGGCAAGTCACTTGAATAGGAGGGATAAACAAATCAAAATCATAATAACAGGGTGTCGATCCCATAGTTATGACTCCTTTAAGAATAGTGGCCGAATAATGTCAGCACACACACACGCCAATAGTTACTGCACAGGCTTACTACTGATGCCCAGCCAGGGTGGCCACACGTCCAGATTTAGGCAAGACAGTCCAGAATTTACATTCCTTGTCCTCCTTTTTGGAGTTGCACTTGAACGCAATGCAGCATATCCAATGGTGTATGACTGGTTAAAAATGATTGCCTTAAAGCGGTGTCACTCAAATATCTGATTACTCATTGATTGAAAATGTAAACAAGCTGTCCCCTTTCCCCATGTGCTAGCTGTGTCAGCATCTCATCTACTTAGCAGAAATGATGACATCTGCGTGGACAAACGAGAGAAATCGCCTGGATGTGGACAGCGTTAAGGCAGAGGTTCAAATTTGTGTCAATTTCACCTCTCCCTGCACAAGCATGTACAAGAGGCTCCTTGAAAACAAAAAAACTCTTGGATGCAGCCAGAAAAGACCAGAAGTATTGCAGATAGAGAGTAAATTGTTCAGTGTTCAGTAGCTGTTCACTATTATCTTTATTTACTTATTCATTATTTTTATGTCAATTTAATTTGCACGTTTAAGGCCATAAATACTCTTCTTTGTGCCATTGCGCTTTGCAATACATGTGCACAAAAAACATTTTTTAAATTTAAGTGAAATGTGATTTTTCTTTGCATTTAATTCGGTCTTTTATATTAATTTAATTTGCACTTGCCATACATGTTCTGCTTTGTGGCACTGCACCATATCCTGCAAGACAAATGTATCGAATAAATACTGTGAACGGATACTTTTCACCTTCTCAGGAATGTTTTTCTCCTCTTCTTTTACACATACATCATGGATAAACTGTCTAATGATAAAAATGTTTTTCAGAATCAGAGTATCATGATTCTGTCTTTATCATGTACAAATTTGTATTGCATTGTCAGTCACGGGTAGTATATAAGATTTGTATGTTGTGAATGTGATTTTTCTTTCCTCACAAGTGTCCTGCTTTTAGGTGTTGTGGAAGTGGCCACCCTATATCACACGTACCCGAAACCAGTCAGTCTCTGCCATAAGGATATAAAATAAGCCGTGTTACTATAGAACACCTTTAAAGTTAAATATATAAGAACAAAATCAAGCTGTTATGAACGGTACGTACCGATTAACGCCAAGAATCACCTGAGTGGGAAAGAGGAGGAGAGGCGAGCTTCCTGCTCACCCAGCTGCAGTGGCCGAGCACATCGGAGCGGGGATTCCCGCTGTGTCCGACACACACCGAGCTGTAAACAACCCCAACGACTGATAAATAACGTGTAAAAACATCACTGAACAGCCATAAAAACCCAGGCAGCTAATGCTACATTACCTGCACCAGTGCAGCGGTGGAGAAACCGGAAGTGAGGCAACCAGGAAGTGGGCGGACCAGTGTCTGCCTCCTCGCTGGGTGAAGCCACTCCGAGAACAGCACCCTCTGTTGACGGGCTGCAGTATAGGTCATAAATCCCGCCTCCTCCAGCAAAGCTTTTGGAGCTCTGGACAAACTTAGTAAATTTATTACACAGAACATAAATTTTTCTCCCCCTGCTTGTGGTGTTTACATGTAGTTACTGTAAGACTGGTTCGTGCTCAAGTCCTCTTTTTTTCTGTGAAGCTCCATTTTTAAAAGTTATTAGGGGGTTAATGTTTTTTTTTTATTGACACCTGATACAGCCTTTTGGCATTCAGGGATTGCGTAGCCTACCTGTGTGATACGCTGTTTGAGCCGAGCGACATCACAGTGACTCTCTGCAACTCTCCCGCCGAATGCGCACAACGCTACTGCGCAGCGCTGGTTTCAGGAAATGGAGAAAAATCGCGGAACTACTGAGAGCTATTTGGCTTCAAATTTGTATACTGGCAGAAGGAGGAACCAAGTTGTCCATAGTATATACAGTCTATGGTCAGCACAGGCACCATGAGAGCAGGAGTGATGAAACTCATCCTGCTACATTTGGTTAACTATACTCAGACATGACCGTCACTGAAAAAAACAAAAACACAGAAACATATTAACATCAGTCCAATACAGGTCTAACACCTAACGTCAGTATATCAGTCTGCAGCCTCATGGAGCTCTAACACATCACTTAGTAAAATCATTTAGATATTACGACCCCAGTTTAGCAGTTTTGCATGGACTGTTTTTCCTTCATTGAAGAGTGAAATTTGACTTACTACCGACTGTCTAAGCTTGAGGTACCGCATAAACAAGGGGTTTCATCCAAGCTATTCACTATATAGCACTCCATAAAATATAAAAAAAAACAAAAAACATGTAGAATATTATATTAATTCATTTGGCAAAATAAAACTCATTATACTAAAAAAATCACATCTTCTTATAACAAACTTATAACAAAGGAGGTTTAAAAACTATTAACTTTGAATGCATGGTTGATGTTTTCAGAGTTAATTGGATTCAATCATTTTTAGCTAACCCTGACTCCATATGGTTTGCTATCCCCAAAGGTATTTTGGGGGGACTGGATTTTCTTTTGAGATGTGATTTTGAAATATCCAAATTGCCTGTAAAATTTTCTGAATACCACAAACAAATTCTCCACTATTGGAAGATGGTGTTTACCCATAACTTTTCTCCACATGGCTCCACCTTATGGTATAACAGAGCTATTACATCTAACAGAAAAACTTAATTCATTCAAAGTTGGTATGAAAAAGATATCATTTTCATCACAGACATACTAGATGGTCATGGTCAGATTCTTAGCTTCCCTGAGTTCAAAACCAAGTATAACATTCAAAGTTGAAATAGAGAGTACCAAAAGATTTGAAAAGCAATACCTATTGCTTTACCAAATTTAATTCAAAATTACATGCATTACTCTAAAGCAGTGGTTCTCAAGTCCAGTCCTCGAGGCCCACTGTCCTGCATGTTTTGGATGTTTCCCTGCTCCAACACACCTGATTCAAATGATCAGCTCGTTATCAAGCTCTGTAATGGCTTAATAACGAGCTGATCATTTGAATCAGGTGTGTTGAAGCAGGGAAACATCCAAAACATGCAGGACAGTAATCTCAGTTTTTTCCTTTTTTAAAAGCCTGTAAGGTGAAGTGTTGTACCTGACAAGTTTAAAAAGGAAAAAACCGAGATCAATATTCATACGTAAGCCAAATGAACCTTTTTAATATGCAGGACAGTGGGCCTCGAGGACTGGACTTGAGAACCACTGCACTAAATGAATTGTTCATACAGCCTTCACATTATTTAGAGATTTAAATTCACAGATAAATGATAAAAAAACAGCTGAAAAACACCAAATATCAACTAAACAATCCAAATGAATTATAAACCTTTATCTAAGTAAAGTGATATTTTAGATTCTACAGATCAGTGTTCATACATACTGTACATAAGGAGAACATTGGAAAAATACTCAATGGCAAGAGTTGGCAAAAAGCCATTTATTGAAATAATAAAAAGAAACTAAAGATGAACATGTTTTTTTTTTTTTCAGTCAAGCAAAATGTAACAGTTCCCACGTCGAAAAACAGTCAACATTTAGTGTCTGCCACAATCCTGCCCAGTCTGGTCAGCAATCCTGTACCTGGGGCAGAAGACAGATCAGCAGGTTTTTGTTCAGATTCTTTTAAACACATAAACTGTCAGACAGAGAAAAACTAAAATCCAACACTTTCTTTTTTTTAAGAAAATCAAATATATACACTTTTTTTTCTTAAAGCATTTACACATAGCAGAAAATAAAACAAAGCAAGAAGCACAGAAGAACTCTATCTGTCAATGCAAAGATTAAAAAAAGCGTACACACACACACACACACACACACACACACACACACACACACACACACACACACACACACACACACACACACACACACACACACACACACACACACACACACACACACACACACACACACCATGTAGACAGAAATGTAGCATGATGAAGCTGCCAGAACAGAACTGTATTGTCTTTGTAAATGCTGACAGGGAGAAGCAGCAGGGTTTCTAATGAGAAACACAGATCAGGGTATCAGACCGGGACAAGTCTGAACTGCCTGGGCTCAGAGCAAAGATAGGGAGGAGGTAAAGAGTAAGGGTCTGTCTCCTGCTGGGCTAACTTCACTTCCACTTAAGTCCCATTTAGTTAACCTGACGATGATGGGGCTGAATCTCACAACTGTAAAATTGTTGTTTTATTAGATTTATAATCACTGGGCTTGTGACACAGATTGCTCATCATTTTTGAGATTCTTCTTCAAACTTAACAAAGTCCTCTGTTCTTGTACCCGATCTATTAAGTAGCAGGGGGAATTAACTTAAAGGCAGAAAATAGATGTGAAGAAACATTTCATGAATAGTATGCCTGTGTGATTGCAATTTCCAACTTTTTATGAGGAAGGCTAACATACATATCAGTGCCTTTTCCTGATCTCCAAAGAAAACCAGTCCACCACAGACATAATTAACACTTGTGTATTGTCATTTTTATGCCATATATATATATATATGTATATATATATATATATATATATATATATACACACCTGTCTTTTCTTTATTGTTTTATATGACCATTTACATTGTAGATTATCACTGAAGGCATCAATACTATGAATGAACACGTGGAATTTTGCATTTATAAAAAAAAGGGTGAAAAAACTGTAAACATGTTTGTATGTGAAGTAAAAACCATTTCAGGTGACTACCTCATGAAGCTAACTGAGAGAACAGCAAAAGTTTGCAGCGCTATCCAAAAAGCAAAGGGTGACTACTTTGAGGAATCTAAAATATAATACATGATTTCAGTTATTTCACACTTTTTTCTTAAGCACATGATTTCACATGTGTTCATTCATAGTTTTGATGCCTTCAGTGAGAATCTACAATTTAAATAGTAATGAGATTAAAGAAAATGCATTGAATGAGAAGGTGTGTCCAAACTTTTGGCCTGTACTGTATATGTATTCTTTTTTCTTAGTTTTTGTGTTTTTCTGATACAGCAGAAGTGAAGTAAACCCAGCAGGGTCTGAAGCAGACCTGAACCACAGATTTTAGGTGTGTAGAGGTCTGACTGATGCTCTGATAGCCGGCAGAGGCGCTGCACTCACACCCATATGGCTTCAGGCCTCGAGACATGTCAGTGATATGCAGACATGCAGACAGACAGATGTGAGACCAGGTGGGATGGACTCTAAAATGCATCCCCTTTCATTTTTATGAAACACACAACAGTAAATAAAATGGTTTCCAGACAGAGAAAGCACAGATGGGGCATCAACAAATGTAGCCTGAAGTTTTCTCTGAAGCATCACTGGAATTCCTCCTGTTGGGGGACGTGGTCTGCATTAGGTGAAAATAATATCATCATCACAAATCTAATGAGGCCTTTGCAGAGACACTGACAAATAAAATGAGCGCAGTCTCCCTGTAATACATCCAGGTAATGTGGACAGACAGCCTCAGAGGTATTGCTTTAGGTGAAGGTTCATAGACCCTGGCAGTCCACAAATCACAGACTTTTACATACGATGTTATAAAGGGAGAGTTTTGGTGTCCTGTGATATTACTGGTTGATGCGTCATTCATTTTATCTCAGATATTCACTAATCAACTCTGTAATGTTTTATATTTTATTTCTTCTTTTTTCTGGATGTCCACGTCATCTGATTTCAAACAAACACTTTAAATACTAAGAGATCCTCTGACTTATTAACTCTTTAATTTCAATAGTTTTTGAGTAACGCTTAGTATGACCCCATCACTTACAATGCACTATTGACACATTTATAAAGCTTTATAACAGTCTTTACAAGTGATTAAAAACATTTATAACAACTTGTAACGATGTCTATAAAGTATTATAAGCGGTGTACGAGCCAAAACTTGATTATAAAAAAAGTCAAAATCCAGTTTTAAGAAATCAGAAAACTATTGCTGAGTGATGAAGTTATACTTTTGCATCACAGCAATGTTCTTCAAGGAAACACATTACAGTAAAGTCTGGTGTAAAAGATTCGATACCTTTCTTATATAAAATGAGCTGTTTCCTATACAGCGGTGTGACCATTACACAAGCACAAACTGGTGAGAGAGGTATACTATTGGGGTACAGTCAAACTTCAACATGGCGCTCAAAGAGGCAATTGCAGTACCTCACAACTCTCATTTCTTTTTCTCATCACTGGACCTAATACTCTTCCGCACATTTTAACTGTTGAGAATTATCTATTAATTAAGAAGATTGAACTTTACTTTATAATCTTTCTTCAGTTCGGAACCACACCAAACTCTTAGCTGACACGTGTTTCATTATTGACATACAAAACACAGAGTGTCAGCTGGTCATTAAAACATTTCAGCTAATTACTTCACTTAAATATCATATAACAAGATGAAGAATCTGAGTCATGTGTGAGCCTTATTCAGTTCTGCTCATAGACACTGGTTTAAAGAAAAACTGCGTCTTTCACCATTTTCATGTCAGGAATCAACAACTCTTTTTTTTGTCCTGAGAAGGGAGACACCTCTGTGGATAAATTTAGAAAATAAATTTATGTCCAGCTGGTGCTCATGGAAAACTTTAAGAAACATGTCTTACTGATAAATCATAAGACTCATATGTTTGATCCCCATAAAAAACAACCAAATCTAACTTAACAGACAATAAAATAATGGATGACACTAATAATTTTAAGTTTTAAAAAGGAAATAAAAACATTTCCTTTCATTTATTTTCAGATTTGGGAGTGTTTTGGTGGTGGAAATAGCATCTCTGATCACAGGACACCAGGACCCTCAAGTGAAACATTTGATTGGTTGATGTGAACAGCTGGATGATATATTTCAGTAGAGTTATATGACAGTGTATCTTGAATTCAGAGTATGTATGACTGAGAGTCTATGTTTTATATAATATGTGCATCTGTCTAAATCACTCCTAGTAAACATCCAGCTCCTTTGTCACTCATCACACATCCCAAGGCCTTCATTTGAGCTCAGACTCAGCATAAGTTAGCTTATGATTTTGTGTTTCGTAACTTTCAATACACTTTTCACCGTTGTGAGCCATGATGTCGACCTGATCATTTCACCAGGTAACTTCACACAGTTTACCAGCATCTCTGATCGTCCAGAGTGATTTTTGACAGATAGAGTTCAGCATCTGTTTTGTCGAGATGTCAGGACTTTTTTTCAGATTTTGTTCAAACTCATCATCACTGTGACTAAGGCCTTCCTCAGAGTGCACATTTGACTTGTAAGCATTTTGAACTGTGAATGTTAATAGAGAATCTGTTTCAGTGAGGTGGGCTAAAAAAGCCAAACAGAGCCAAAAAACGGCAGCTAGCACACGCAGATAAGTCTGAAAATCAGACCTGATCCTTGATTTAATCCAGATGTGGTCATGGAAGGTAACATTTTTAGAAAAGTTTTACTTAGAACCATCATTACCTTGCACATCAGAGATGTGGGCGATGATCCAGAGTCTGAATATCTGTTAGTCAGGTCAAAATGCTCTGTGAGAAAGGCCCAGAACTTCATGGATTTGTTATTAAGACCTGGACAGGTCACAGTCTCTTAGCTACTCTTCTTGTTTTATCTGGCTGTAGCTAAAGGAAACTGCTCTCTGGCCCCTGAAGTGTTTACCCCGTTGGTATCCATTATTAAGAGTGATGCTGTCAAACTTTTGACAGGGCAAGAAACTGTAACCTTGATCAGATACGACCTTTCTGCTCCATGGTCTATTTTTGATCTGAGGAGTTTCTCTATCTGGAAACCTTTCCAAAGCAATCCCTGACACTGTCATAGAATCGCTGAAATGCGCCATTAGGAGGAACAGTCAGTACGTTTACATGCTGTTAAAAAAATGATTTGGTGTGTAAAAGTCCTTACACACCGGGCTGACACGAATATAGAACGTGAAAGTACGAAATATACGGAGGCGAATTTTGACGCGCCTGACTATACACTATACCCCTGACAAGCCCGATGCGATTTTGCGACTTTTCGCCTCCTTTGCCTCTGATTGGCTAAAAAAGCTGGAAACGTCATTACACACTAAAGCCAAATGATTAGCACTTATAGCCAATCAGAGGCGATAAGATAAGCACATGAAACTTTGGTAACAACCATTACCATACGTTAGCACAGATGAAAGTTAAAACAAAGACATTTAGCCAACTGTTAAAGCACACAAACTTTTGTCAAATGAGAGATCCGGCGCTATGACTCTCCACAAGTTGTCCTTCAGGTCGGTATCTATGTATTGTTTGTGTTTTTCATCAAAAAGCACTCTGTTCACCGACACATAAATAATTAGCCGGTCGGCCATGTTGGATATACCGGTGAATCTGACGTTGCAACAACACGCAATCTGATTGGTCAGAAGTGGACACACAGTATGTGAAACTTTAGAAAAATTGACCATGATCCGAAAAAATAAATGCCGCAATATTGCAGGACGGGAAAACCCCGCTGATGTGAACGCTTGTATTGACAGGATACGGGTTTGAAAAAAAATATTGAGGTCCGAAATAATCGCACAACAAAAACTGTCCCGGTGTGAAAGGACCTTTAGACTGACTTTAAATAGACTTTTAAAATACATAGAACTGAAATCACATGAAGTCAAATTTCTTAAAATTGGACAAACATTCCTGATAATGCAGCCTGGGATCAATTTGCTCTTACATGTATTCACCTTAATCAGAACAAACTGGCCTGAGCGATCTGAGCGTGCTCCATAGCTGTAGATATTTTAGTGTTTGGCGCACAACTAGTTAGCCTCTTGCTAATTTCACTGTTGATTTGCTTTGACTGTCTGCTTAGGAAAGCTTCAATTGCAGCACACATCCCCCATTACTGTAGAAAATCCCAATTGTATTAATTTACTGCAGTCGAGAATGCCATTCAGCGGTCAGCCTACAACAACAGCGCATTGCTGGATAAAACAGCAAGCTACTTCAGATAATGTGATGCACTAATAAACTCAGTGTTTTTAATTCAAGTGGCTCATTACAGTACAAATATAAACTTTCCTCCCCAGTTTAAATGAGGACCTAAATTTTGGATCAAAAGTGACAGCCCTGGTAGGTGACGCAAACAGAGGGAAGGTCCATAAGTAACAAGATGAAAGAAGGCATGGCGCCACCTACTGTATTGGAGATGGACATACTTTAGGAATACTTTAGGAATGGTTCTTAAAAACTAAGACTGTGGTCTAGTTAATCCCCTGATGAAGCTACAGCTGTAAGTGGACTGAACTGAGCATGTAAACGTACTAAGTGCAGTGTTTTTAAGGGAGGGCTACATGAGCAGTACTTATCGGACTGAACAAACCCTCACTTGGTTTGGCGTATCCAGGACTTAACAACACCTCCATGAAGACTCTGCAGTGAAGCAATGACTATAGGTGTCCTTCCATTATCGTAGTGCATTTTGCTCTTCTTGCTCAAGCAAGTTCACAGACTTTGTCTGTTAGAATTATACAGCGTCCTTAAAGAAACATTTATTGATGTTTTTTTTTTTTTTGAAAAGTCAATTACTCTCACAATTGTCCCCTGTTGGTCCAAAAACTGACTAAACATTTGATCATGACTGTCCGAGTTTCAACGTTGGTGTAGATCCAAACCTAGAGGGATTCAGGTTATTTCCTCATGCCCTCCATTGTTTCAAAATCAAAAATTGTCTGCTGTTTTCTCTACTTTTTGTCAGACTTTCACTTCCTTCCTCGTCCATCTCAAACACTGATAGAAATTGAGATTTCAGCCCAGAGGCACAGCTCATAAACCTGTGATGAACTGGTCCATCTCTCGTTCTTTACAGAAAGGGTGGTTTGTCTCTAACATACAGTCCACACAGTCAGTCCTCTGAGGAGCTGGTCCTAAACATGGGACACCTTCTGAGTCTCTCTCGCCTGTTTGATACTGTACAGCCACTTGATGACTCTAGCATTTCGCTCCACAGCTGAGATGCCGTACGGGACCCGCTCCCCTGCCTCTTCTTCCTCATCGTCTTCCCCGTCTGAGAGTCCTTCATTGGAGGATCGCCTCGACTGGTCGCAGTCAGAGGAGATCATGGAGGCTGACCGGAAGTTCAGACTGACAATGTCTGAATTGGCTCGAGCAAAGTTCTCTGGACCGACCGCCTCCAGCTCCTCAGGGTCAAGGCCGCAATAGTTAAAAAAGCGTTCCACGTCAGCTCCAGCCCGGGCGTACCGGTCGGACAAGTCTGATTTGGATCTGTGCAGCGATGACCGGCGTGCCACAGAAGTACCAAGCTCCAGCTCCAGGTTGGGTTCAGTTGAAGCATTTGAAGCATCTGCGAAATCACAAGGCAGCGACTGAGGGGTATTGTTGTCACAGAGCGAGGGGGATGGAGTCGGACGTGGGGGAGGTAGAGACAGGGAAAGTGCGGGAGGGGGGAGGGAAGCGGGGTTTGGTTTGGGTGGAAGGGGCGGGGCTGAGGAGCTGCTGGATCGGGCCGTGCGGAGTGGCTTGCCATTGCACAGTCGCAGGAGGTCGGAGGAGGAGTGAGAGGTGAGCAGAGGCGGTAGCGGGGAGCGAGATCGATCAGTAACTCCTCCCTCCCCTCCTCTCTCACCCAGGACTCGTCTGCTCAGGTTGAGGTTTCCTCCTTGTAGTGGACTGCGGCGACCTGTGCTATTGATTGGGGGGACCTTTAGAGAGTGGGAGAAGGATCGGAGGGAGTGGGATGTGCTGGGACTGGGCGCTGAGTCAGGTGGTTGTTCGTTTAGTGTCATCGTAGATCGGTAAGTTAGCGGCATCCTGTGAGAAGAAAAACAGGACACACATGAGACAGACACTCAGTGAAAATTTACAGTTGAGTTTGACAGTGTGGAGGAAAAAATAACAGGTTTATTAGGACACCATTAAACCTGCACTGACACACTTCACACAGTTGCTGCTATAGTTTTCTAAAGGTCCTTTCACACCGGGACTGTTTTTGTTGTGCGATTATTTCGGACTTCAATATTTTTTCGATCCTGTCAATACAAGCGTTCATATCAGTGACATTTTCCTGTCCAGCGATTTTGCAGCATTTATTCTTTCAGATCATGCTCGATTTTTCTACAGTTTCGCATACTGTGTGTCCACTTCTGACCAATCAGATTGCGTGTTGTTGCGACGTCTGATTCACCGGTATATCTAACATGGCCGACCGGCTGATTGTTCACATCGGATCTCTCATATGACGATAGTTTGTGTGCTTTAACAGTTTGCTAAACGTCTTTGTTTTAACTTTCATCTGTGCTAAGTAACTTTAGCTCGTAAGCTAACTTGTTCAGATACAACATACCATATGTATTTTCACTGTCTCAAACTCAATCGCGTTGCTGTTACAGCACCATTAGGTCTCGGTTGTTACCTTACGTTTATGGATTATAGTTTAATGTGCTTATCTGGTACTGGCCCCGACTCAGTACATGCTATCATGACAGACAGCCATCTCAACACTTATGTCTAATCAGAACTGAAAAACAGTCAGTCTGCTGTTGTGTCAGTCTTCTCCCTTCTACCCGGGATGCATCTTTTTCCCCCCAGAAAGTTGCAAAATCGCATCAGGCTTGATGTGTATAGTCAGGCGCGTCAAAATTCGCCCCTGAATATTTCGTAATTTCAAATTCTGTATTTGTGTCGGTGTAAGGACCTTAACAGTGGAATTGCAATTTCATCCCTGAACCTTGGATTCATTTTTTCCATTTAAAACATGGGCTGATAAACAGTAGATTGGAAACATTTTTAAATTCATTCAGTAAAATAATTTATTATGGAGCCGTGGGACAGAGTTGCAGTTATGATATAACCCTGAATCTGAGTTAGGACTGGGTGATTAAATGATCGTGATAAATTTCAGTTTGATCACCGTGATCAGCTGTGAGCTTATTTACTCAATGAAACATGGTGGAAATGAGGGTGACAACAGCAAATCAGAGTCAAGCTTTTACTGCTCACTTCTGTAAGTTGCCGAAGAAGTAAACAGGAGAAGTAAACAGAATGACTGAACGTGGAGCTAAACGTGGAGCTGAGAACAGCAAAGTAGATGTCAGCCATGACTTTGAGTCATCCTCCAAAGACGCCATTGTTGAGAAGAAAAGTAACCCAACATCGGTTGTGTGGCAGTGGTTTGGGTATCTCCAAAGTGATGTTGAGCAATTAAGCTGATGTGCAAGGTATGTCGGCGGTTGGTGCCCTCAAAAACCGGCAACACAAAAGATCTGTTCAATCTTTGGAGAAGTACTTCCCGAGCGATTCGGAAAGCATGAAAATGTGAGCAGAGTCTGTACAGCCTGTCACTGCCGACGGCACAAGTAGAATTATCAGTTTAGCTACAACTAGCGGTGCAGCCACCAGACCAAAGCAGCAAATCGTGTCATCTACGTTTACATCATCTAATCTTTACATTTTAAGGCGTCTTCATTATCCCTGGGTGGGTAATTTGTTGATTTTGTGTCTTGCATACCTGCAAAAACACTCAGGACTGTAAACTAGTTCACTGTATTATTAAGTATTTATCTACATTTGTTGTATTGTTGAGTTAAAATGTTTTTTTTATATTCTTCTAAGTTTATCTTATTCAATTAGCTTTATTTACTTTGTAAGTTAATAAAATGTCAAACTAATCTCTAGTTTCTTTAGTTTTTAGCTGTAAAACCGGTAGTTAAAAAAAAACAAAAAACTGATAATAATCGAGATGGGATGATATGACAAGATATATTGTGATCTTTTTTTTTTTTTCCAAATCGCCCAGTCCTAGTCTGAATACATCTACTTAAAGTGCCTTAACTGTCCTCTCCTCAAAGCCAGCAGGTTTATCACAAGTCCTAAGTGAACTAGCCACAGTTTGACATCCAAACAGTTGTTCATAACTTTCATCAACATGTTTTTAAAAGAACTGAAAAACACAAATGACCTGCATCAAGTGTGAGTGTTCACATCATGGGTCTCCAGTGACCACATGATCAGATCTCACTGTTCTGCCTCCAATGCAAATCAACCCACAGCCCCATTCACCCTGATCAGCCTTTATAAATACATTAAAGGGTCAGAAACATTTGCCTACACAGAGTAAAAACTGCACGCTCCCACATTCTGAAGTAGCAGAAGAGTTTAGCAGGTGATCACAGCCTAAAGTGATGGAAGTGTAAAATGAAACGCTGGTTTGATGATGCAGCATGGTGTTCCTTCAGTTCTGAATTATAATGCCTGCACAGCACACTGGGGTCTCTGTTAGCAAAGGAAAGAAAGAAAGAAAAATCCATACCATAATGACTGTCCTTATGCTAGGACTGATTTAGAGCTAGTTTTGACATCTCCAATAATAGGGGGCGCGGCTTGATTTAAGGGGTTGCAGTATTCAACTATTTTTGATACTATACAGTGATGCACGATGATTCAAAGGCACAATTTCATTAGTCAGCCAGGTGCTCTGTACACCTGTAGGCCCAAACAGTAAATATACCCCTGTTTGACAACTGCAACATTACTATGGACCATGATCTCACAACAACACTGACACTGTAGACTTTTCATGACCACATCACTGAATCTCTCACATGGCACAGGCAGTCATGTTCTGTTAAAGCCTGGTAAAGGCGTTTTTTCCTCTCCACTGTAACTTTATAAGTGTTGTAAATTGTTTTACTCATGGTTAAAGATGGGGTGGGAGTGGGCTCAGTCTTGTCCCATCTTTACACTGGCTCTTTGTAAATAGAGTCTGGTCTAGACCACACGCTTTGCTTTTTTTGTCAAGCATCTAGAGATAACATTTATTGTGAATTGGTGCTTTAAAAAAAAGATTGATTGAGAGTTTATGTGGGTGTTTAACCATTAAAAAATGAAACAAACCATCTCTTTTATTAAAAAAAATTCAAGATCTAATAAGGTCTTTAATTTAATTCTGATCAGTGAGTGAGTCATTTTTGTTCAGCCTGGTTCATTTTTCTCATTTGCCTCTTTGTGATCAGGTAAACCAACTATCTACATGTAACACTGAAATGTATCCTCCTCTTTCCAACTCTTCTCCTTCTCTACTGTAATAAATACAGCTAATATAAAGGCCTTTTCCACTTTCATGGGAACTTGAATTAGGTCGTGTTCACACCTAAAGGTCCGTTTCCTGATTCGAATCCAAGGCAAGACGATACATTTGTTTTGATTGTTTAACTGTTCCTGTTTGCGTTCTCAAAGGACAAACTCAATCGCTCCAGAAAACGGAACCAGAAGTCACGTGACCACGAATATCATTCGGTTATTGGTCATTAGTTAATGCAGGAATACAAACCCCGCTCTGCTGTCTTCACCTGTCATGGAGCATTGTCGGCTGATTTTGCTTTTGCTACTCATCTGGAGCGCGTATCAAAAGACGCTAGTCAATCATGTGTATGAACGGCTCATTAGCCAGTGAGCTCGAACTGCGGCATTAAATAATACATTAGGGAGTAGACGTGCTGCAAACAAATGACAGATAAAGACGAGATGGGGACAGGCATTAATGAGAGCCTGATACGATGCGTTTTCTCTCTGGTGTCAATCGGGACAAGTGAGGTGAGCGGACAACATTTATTTCACAACGAGCATTACAAATAGCCTAGATGACGTGTGTGGTGCGTTTCCTGTGATTGGAGTGGATGACATTCACACCAGAAATGAACCGGTCCAGAGTTCACTTGATAGCGGTCCGAGACCACCTCTTCAGGCGGACCAGAGTTCGTTTATTTGTTACGCACCAGAGTTCAAGGTCAGCGTTCACACCGATCCAAACGAACCACACCAAGGGGGTAAACGCTCCAGGGTTCGGTTCAACTGGACTAAACAAGGGAGGTGTGAACGCGCCCTTAAATAAATTGCCATACCATAGAGTTCTTTGTCATAGCTCTCAATTTTGTAAAGTAAGGAAAGGTTTTTGATCTAAAGACAAGAAAAGTTTTCAATCCCACAAACAACATCTTACCCTGATGGTGTCCAACTCCGGGTGATCCCTCCTGATGACCTCATTAGCACTGCACTTTTGGCTCCACCCCCTAGTCCTTCGGACCCTGCTCCTGAAGAGGATGAGGAGTTGAGCAGATTTTTTAGGATCTCCAGGTTTAAATTTTCCCGTTTGCTGCCACTGCTAGTTGCACAGGTGTCTGACTTGGCATTATTATTGGATGCTTTGAAGGGTATCCCCCCTCCATGCCCTCCTCCACCAATCCCAGAGCCTCTCTTAATGAGGGGATGACTAACAGGAGGCTTTGCCAGCACAGGTGGTTTGACAGGCTCCTGCTTGGCGTTGATGACTTCTTGACTCTTGACATACTTGGCCTTGTCAGCTTCCAGTCTCTCCACGGCACTGAGGCGCTTTGGGTTTGGCTCCACCTACAGAAAGATTAAACCAATTAATGTAGAGACCACAGCAATTATCCGCTCCATAAATGCACACCCAATGCATATCTTCAGCCAATATCAGGAAAGAAAGAATAGGTCACAAAACCCCGAAATCACAGCTATAAACTCTAACATTAAGCCTTATGAGCCTGTATTAAACCCAGAATTCGGCGCTGGAGTTTTTCTTTCCAGACCATCTTTGTCTTGACATTAATGCAGCTGGAAGGAGTTTTCATTTTCTGTTGATTTTGGCAGCCACTGTGGACAAAAGCGGTAGTGTTTTAGCACGTATTGTTATAAAGATAGTTATCTGTCACACATGTCAGGGCTCCAGAAACTAACTTTGTTTGAGGCACCTTACTTTGTAAACATATTAAAACTCGGGAAGTGACTCTGGGTCAGCCCGCAGCAGAGTGTGAGACAGACGTGGAACAGCAGGACTACTGAGGGTAGTGACACAGAGCTGCTCTGCCTGTCTGTCTCTGGTGTGGAGGAGCTTCTCACTCCGTGGTTGCAGCTGTAGTATGACACGGTGTCTGCAGGAGTCTTCTGCTGCAAGATGTTGTCACCATTTGTGTAGTGACAGTAATGTGCACGTTTTCAGTGCAAAGTAAAAAAATGTATGTGCCGTCTCTGGTCTGAGTGCCGTAAATTGTATCTTTCATGGTCCCGACCCGACCACTGGCTCCCGTTTTCCCAGTTTTCACAATTTAGAAACAACTTATTTTCACACAGATGGACTCATTCGCTGTTGCAAGTGACAAGGAGACATCAGCGGAAACAAAAGATTTTGTTAAATCTTGTTAAAAGTTCCCTAAAGCAGTGGTTCTCAAGTCCAGTCCTGGTGGCCCACTGTCCTGAATGTTTTGGATGTTTCCCTGCTCCAACACACCTGATTCAAATGATCAGCTCGTTAACAAGCTCTGTAATGGCTTACTAACGAGCTGATCATTTGAATCAGGTATGTTGGAGCAAAAAGCTAGATTGGTATGAATGAGAAAGGGCTAACTCAGAGCTGTATAATAATGTGTGTTCAATAACCATGAGTGCATACTGCATCATGAGCCTATTGGTAGGATTTTGCACTCCATTTGTTGGAGAGATAATGTAGAATGGAATTAACTAACAACAGAGACAAAGCAGTTGGGAGATGTTTCGCAATTCTTTTGCAGGCAACTCCAACGGCAGCTTGCATTATATGCGAGACTATTGTTATGAGGGGTGGTGGTGGTTAAGCAAAACATAAGACGGCCAAATTAAAAGTGTCAAAGAATATGATGATTTCAGCCAAACAAGAATGGACCTGAATCTAGGGATGGGAATCAAGAAATGGTTTGAACCAGTTTGAGCCATGTGCATTTGTGTTCCCCTAAAATTCCCTGGCTGTGCCGGTGCAACGTGAGGACCCGATGCTCGGAGAACAATAACGAGGAGAGACTCCACAAAGGTGCTGTACAGAGGAGACAGGACCTTATCAATGGATTCTGATATGTAAAGTATAAGTTTAGAAAGTGCTCTTGTTATTTAATCAGTGATAAAAATCCATAGAAATCCATAAAAATGTGCCTCAGGGGCAGCAACACACAGTTTAATGACGTTAATAATTATTTTTGTTCAGCCTCTGTCAGACTCTCCAGTCTGCTCTACATTACAAAGACGCAACAAATTAAAACTAAATACTTTCAGTAATAGGAGCAATGTACCCTATGTCATGGCAATAAAAAAACATGAGGCATGTATGAGATATTAATTTATCATCATGAGCAACTTATTGACTAATGATCTATTCAAACCTCAGCCACTGTCCACTATTCCGCCACCATAATTCTGCTCCAGACAGGAGTTTTCTGGACTGCTTTTATTCCAGTTTTGATGCTTCCAAAGAGAAAAATCCTTGTTAGTTTCCACCACAGATGTGAGGATATCCACTTTCAGCTCGGAAAAGTTTCGAATCTTTCTAATATTTCTCTTCTTCCATGTTTGACCTCAGAGGGCAAGGCTTCTGACCCATGTATATTTAAGGGTGTGGCATGTTAATGACGATCGGTTTCAGCCGCCGTATTTATCAAGACCCGATCATACATATGCTGGGATTGGTCAGATACGAACCCTTTCATAGATCTCACATGTGTCCTATTGTACTATGAATCCTGCGCTCAGATCTGAGCTTCTCCACCCCTACACCCCTGCTCGGTGCCTCAGGTCAGCTGATCAGCTGATCAGCTGCTCCCGGAGGTACCGAGGTCCAAACTGAAGCTCAGAGGGGATAGATCTTTTAATGTTGTGACCCCAAATTATGGAACAAGCTACCCCTCCAAATCCGACAAGCCTTCACACTGTCCATTTTTAAAACTCGTCTTAAAACCCATTTTTATTCATTGGCTTTCAACCCTGCATGAGACCCAGCTCCTGTTTTTGTGTTTTATGGTTTGTTTATAGTTATTTGTTTCTATGTTTTCAAACTAGTTTTTAAAAACATTGAAACTATATTTTAGTTTTCAATATCTACTTTTATTTTATCCATTGTTTTAATTGTTTTTTGATTGTTTTTTTATGTCTGTGTTGTTTTGTCTATTTATGTACAGCACTTTGTCCAGCTGTGGTTGTTTGTAAAGTGCTTTACAAATAAAGTTGAGTTGAGTGTCATTTCTTCACGTACAGATTTGTAGCTTGGATTGGTCAGAGTCTTATTGGAAGATGTGAGCCACAGTTAGCGGGATTGAGGTGCAGAATCAGAACCAGCATAACTATGAGGGATCCTACAATCCTAGAAATAAACTGTTTCTGGGATTCCTGCAGCTCAGGTGAAGATCCATGAAAAGATCCTCCACAAACACTGTTTTCAAGATAAGATGTTCCTTTAATAGTCCCACAGGGGGAAATTCCAAAAAGTTGATCTGTTATTGGATGTCTTATTTAGGGGATCGCTCTTTTGATCCAGTTTGAACAGCAGAGGTTAGACCCTGCAAGAGTAAACAGTAGAGCTGGATATGCACCACAGTATTTCCTATAACCTTTTCAAAATAAAACTCAAAACAGCCCAGCTGGTCCCCTAATGTAACAGTACCTGTCTCCTGAAGTAGTCAGGGCCTTTATTCAGGATGCGAAGGGGTACAGCTGAGCTGAATGGTGTTGCGGGGCCAGCGGCCTTGCTATCTGGCAGGGCTGGAGCCAGTGTCTCTGTCGGCATGGCAACAAGGCGACTGGGGTGGTCGGCCGTGGTGGCAGCGAGTGCTGGGGGGCTGACAGAGGGCGGGGGCAGCAGGAGACCCCCAAAACATGAAGACACAAGGTGGACAAGAGAGAGTTCAGAAAGAGATGAAGCCCCTGGCCCTCCTCATGGCCTGTGGGACCCTGTGGGACTGAGCGGGGGTCTGGGCTGGGGGCCGGGTGAAGGACTGTTGTTAGATGAACTCCGGCATCGCCTAAGGAAGATAATCTGTATTAGCCGCTCTAAAAGTCAGCATGGAGTGTAGTCTGCTGGTCCGTGGTGCTTAGGTTCTACTGACCTGTTCATCGACCATAATGGACAGACTGACAGATAGAAAGAGAGAGAAGGAGAGCAGTGACAGGACGGGAAGAAGGACAGAGATTATGAGTGTGTTTCAGTGCAGTGGTGTGGACGAATGCTTCCACAGGGCCGATGCAAACACAGAGGATGGTGGGAAAGAAAATCCTGGTCGCCTCTCCACCCTCGCTCCAGCTCTCTCTTCAACTGGCTGCACAAAAAGCAAAGAAAGAGAGACAGCCAATAGGGTTAGAGATAGGATATGACATCATGCACCTAGCAACAATAGCAGGAATATCGAGGACTAATAAACAGACACTCTCCCTCACACACAGCTCAGTGATGAAGTAAAGAAAAGAGAACTAAACACACAATATGTCTGATGGCTGACAAACACTTCCACCCGCTCTCTGTTTTAGAGTGTTTGAGGTCGAAATGACTCACAGGGACACAAGGTTTTGGAATAAAATGTACTCTAGATTACTTCAGTCAAAGGCTATAAAAGCTGCAGCAGAAAATCCTCACCAACAAATGTGCACTTTCAAAGTAAAAGAGTTTGTGTGTGGTGACATCACTGTATGAAGGATCCCTTTAAAAAGAAAGAAGCTGATATTGCAATAATTTTCTATTTTTTTTCAAATTTTTATCAAATCCACCACTCCCTATAAACAGTTCTATCCATATGAAGGTTCTGCTTAAAAAATAGATCACACACACATTACCATTCTGTGCAGCAATGTTGTTTTCATTGACGAACCCCTTTTTTTTCCACGACGAAGACGTGACGTTGACGAGCTAAACATAAGTCTTAGATGCCTAAATGTGACGAGACAAATGTGCGTTTACGTTGATGAGACAAAGACTAGACGAAAACGATGAAGAGAGTTGCAAAATTCATGAGCATTTTGTCAGTCAAACGCTAAACATATATTCACGTCATTGTCAACGAAAAAAACACTGATGTGCAGCAATACAAATGTTACAGACTCTGTACTGCAGCACATCTTATGATGACAGTTTAGCAACTTCTGGTATTGCTCAAAATAAGGCAAGTGAACGGGATAAGGAACCAAGCCACACGATAAAGCTGATGACTCATAATAAACAAACGAAACAAAAGGGTGGTGGCAAGCTATGAAAGTTGAAGCCACAATATTGGACAATTTTGAACCTTTTCAAAAAGCACAGTCGAGGGACAGACAAGAGCACTGCAACATTACTGCATCAACACATGACAAGATACAATCCTGGTCAGCTGTGAGCAACAAAGGCCTGCTGGAAGACAACAAATTGAATGTTAAAAATATCTCCTCATTTTAAATTCAATGTCTGTAAAAAGTTGTTGGAGGAACAACCAAACAGGTAGGAGATTGTTAAAGGAACAACTAAACAGATATAAAGTTGTTAGGGGAGATGTCAAAGCTGTAAAAAGCTGTGTTATACTAAAACAAACAGGTGGAGGAGCATCTCCGACTAATGAGGTGAATTTCCAACAGGTTAGGAACAAGACTGAGTGTAAAAATATTAGAATTAGACTTGTGAGTGGGTCTAAAAATCCTTTGTCTGTGACCACAGGTCATCACTACATCCATCAATGAGGTAAAGGTCCTTACACATTCACAAGGGCCGACACGAATATAGAACGTGAAATTACGAAATATTCAGAGGCGAATTTTGACGTGCCTGACTATACACATCAAGCCCGATGCGATTTTGTGACTTTACGGGGGGAAAAAGACGCATCCTGGGTAAGACTTTTCCGGGGGAAAGTCCCGCCTCCTTGGCCTCTGATTAGCTAGAAAAGCTGGAAACGTCATCACACGCTCAAGCCAAACGGTCAGCACTTATAGCCAATCAGAGGCGAAGAAGGGCGGGACCTTCCCTTAACAACCAGCGTCCCGGGTAGAAGTGAGAGGACAAAAATGGAGTCTACTTCAACTTCAAGTAATGGTGAATTGGTACTCCTTTTGCTTTCTCAAAAGAAAAATAAATGTAGCACATGGGTGCATCAAAAATTACAAAAAAGAAGAGAACTTGGTGAGTTTCACTGCTTGGTTCCGGAGCTGAAACTGTACCACGGTCGCTGATTGTTTTCAGTTCTGATTAGACACTAGTGTTGAGATGGCTTTCTGTCACGATAGCATGTACTGAGTCGGGGCCAGTAACAGATAAGAACATGAAACTATGGTAACAAGCGTTAGCTTACGTTAGCACAGATGAAAGTTAAATTAGAAGTTTAAAACTGTTAAAGCACACAAAACATCGTCATATCAGAAATTCGACGCTATGACTCTCCACATGTCCTTTAGGTTGTTATCCTTGTAATATTTGTGTCTTTTATCAAAATGCACTCTGTTTCCAACACGTAAACAATCAGCCGGTCGGATATGTTGGATATACCAGTGAATCTGACGTCGCAACAACACGCAATCTGATTGGTCAGAAACGGACACACAGTCTGTGAAACTTTAGAAAAATCAACCACGATCGGAAAAAAATAAATGCCGCAATATCGCAGAACGGGAAAACGTCGCTGATGCGAACGCTTGTATTGACAGTATACGGGTTCGAAAAAAAATATTGACGTCCGAAATAATCACACGATAAAAACGGTCCCAGTGTGAAAGGACCTTTAATCTGAGACTTGCAAAATGGAAATCCGATATTAACATGATCCACAAACACCAGTGACTTCTCTGGAACTGAGTCCATCTAAATGGACTGAAGGGGAAAAGGGGAACTGTGATGTGGTCTGAACAATCAAAGTCGGACATTCTTTTTGGAACTCATTGATGCTGCATCCTTCTTTTTAAAGACTAGAGGGGCCACCTGGCTAGGTCTTAGCTCCCAGTTCAAATCCAGCTTCCCTGATGGTATGTGGATCATCAGAGTCCATGTCATGGGTATCTTCCACATCTGTGAAGGCTCCATTCATGCTGAACAACATCTACAGGTTTAGGAGAAACATCTGCTACCTTTTAAGAAACAAAGATTTTACATTCAACCATGTTCTTTTCATTTTTAGCATCTGACATGTTGTCTTAGTTCCTGTTTTCATCAATGGAGCCCGAGTCTTTGAGGGGAGCATTGTAACAGCTGGTTCTTGTTAGAAACGGATGTTACATCAACAAATAGCTCTTCTTTGAAGAGATCCTCTAACTCTGCCTGTTGTAGTTCATGTTGTGTCTCCAGCAGTGGAGAGCAAACAATACAATATTAAGTCTTCAAACCCCCTGCAGCCCTTATTAAATATGAGCTACAGGAAGAAAAAAAAAAACATGCAGTATTTTTGTGATTTTTTTTTTATCCAGTACCATCCTGTAACCATATCTGATTCTTTTCTGAGGCAGAAACAACTCCAGGACTCTGTGGGAATAATGCATTGAGCGATTTCTGAACAGGACCATATGTTTCTAGTTCACCAAAAACACACAACAAAGATAAAGCACAAACACACGCACGCACACACACACACACACACACACACACACACACACACACACACACACACACACACACACACACACAGAGTGGAGGACTGATTTCATTTGGATTAGGAACATGTGTCCAGCTCATTTCCTGCAGAACCACACAAAGAAAGGAGAGGAGAGCAGATAAAAAATGTACTAACATACTCTCTTCATTTCTTCTCTCTGATCACCTGCAGGAAGAAAACTTTATATTGGTCTTTATGAGCAGATTTCATTTTACACACAGCACGCTGAAGCAGATGGTGAAGAGCTGCTGTGATTAGTCCACATTTCTCTTTCTGTCTCAGTCTGTTTCTTTATGATCACATGACAGTCATGAGAGAGTGAGGAGCTCTCAGTCTGGGTGCCTCTAGGCTGAGTCTCTCTCTGGAAACATCTTGCTGTTGTTAATTTTAATGTCTATTTTTATTGTGTTTGGAAGAAATCAGATGTGGCCCGAAGGATCACTCAGATCAATCATGTTTCAATCGCATGTACCCTCCCTTAAAGTCTGTACACATCCTCTATCTGTTGGTGTTAGCTGTTCAATCAAAAAAAGGAACTATTCTTGTTGTAAAAAGCTGAAGCTTAAATACGGCTGCCGTCTTGCACCGGTTGCACTACGTCCAACCTAATGTACCTGGAGCATGAAAAAAGACCCCTTAAGTCTATGGCTAAAGGTGGTGCAGCATGTCCCATACTTCTGAGGGAGCCCATAGAGATGGGACATGTTCAGTATCATCTTTACAGGCTCAGATAAGACACAGTGGGTAGATCATCACACAGAAGAACCAACACACAGAGTTAAATCAGTCTCCAGCTGTCTTATTTTATTTCATGTATTTAATTTAGGTGTTTATAAACTATGTTTTGTCCTAAATAGTTAGAATTTGTTTTCGTCATCTACTCAGTCTGGTTGTTTTTTCCCTTTTAAAAATTATGAAGGCAAGGCTTGCTAAGAAACACTTATTTACATATGTGCAATGGCTTTATCAGTATAAATACAAGTCATTAAAAAATGATCTATTGCAACAGTCCGACTGAAACTGGACTCTTTAAAAATACATTAGTCTGAGTGAAATCGCTCTAAATCAACTTCTCACAGTCAGACTAACACACTTGAATCATGAGGTTGGGGAGTGATTTTCTCTGTCATTTATACTAGGGCCCGACCGATTAAATCGGCCAATTTTAGCCCATTTGAGACTAATCGGTAATCGGCCAAAACTCACAGATTTTCGCCGATATTTTCAGAAATAAAATGCTTAGAAAATGTTCCGCCATTTGAAAGATCCCCCGACTTATCCTGTTGATGGCGCAGTGACCTCGTGACAATCTTCATCCACTAACTACCTCACAGCACAGCAGAGCGACGGATCTGAAGCTCAGGGAGGCACAGAAGAGAGTCGTCCGCCTCAATGGTAAATAAACCAGTTTGTGAAATACACAATAAGTCAACAAATTTCAGTTCAGCTCACTTCACGATGTTCCCCACTGTGCTGGTCTCAGTCATGCTGAGTTAACGGTGAAGCACCATGTAATATGCAAGCTAAAGTTAGAGTTAGCCACCTGCTATTAGCCTTGCTACACTGTTAGCCGTGCCAGTAACGGTAGAATAAACAACAGTACACATTACGTGATCTAGCTACTTCTCTTTATGGGGGAGCTACATGTCTCCAGATGAGACTGGACCAGAAATGTGTAATGTGAGTTAAGACACGGAGGCACCGATCGGCGGAGGGGTAGATGAAAACGCTTTTCTGGTCCAAGTTTGATTCATGATAAATACGTGGATTATTACTGAGATAATCAGTCGGTCTTCCTGTCAGCGTGAAGAATAGAAACCTACAGTATATCTCCAGTATATAGTATACTAGATTTCTACAGTATTTTTTTATTTTTTTTTTTATAACTTCGTAAAAAAATTAAAAAATTGGCAGAGTAATCGGACTAAAACAGGCCAGAGTTCTGCCCTACTGTTTGAACATGACCAATTTTGCTGGCTGTTTTGACACGAAATACATCAACTGGAGGTCGACCTTACAGCAATGACCTGAAAGAGGACATGTCTTCACCTACTGTAGCAGAGGCAAACATGCTTCTGTCAATAAATCAGTTCTTGCTCAGTGCAGGTAAACTGTGACAAGGACAACAATCCGGCTGAATCACCTGATCGAGCCAGAACCAAAGCTTATCTTCACTGTGCATGTTCACATACCGTCCTGTGATACACCACATGTAAACCGAAGGCAAAGAAAATAATCAGATAACCAGTCACCTGCATGACTTCTAGCAGGCCAAAATACAAGGGGTGCCCTAGAAGGAAAGCAGAGACACTGTGGATCAACCTCCCATATACAGACTGAGCTGAAACAGACTGTCAGGTGTTTGGTAAGTTTTTGTTTTTTACTGAACCTTTAAAACAGTAGAGAAGGGCTGAATAATCCAAACTCAATGAGGTGATCGAGATGTTTTGGCTTCAATTTTTGAGATGAACGTTTTGAGACAGTCTGTGGCTGTTTTAGCACAAACCATTTTTAGCTTCTCCGTTTCCCTCATTTTAGATCCCTCTACAGCGTATCACCTCTGGGCGTGCAGCCAAGAAGCAAGAGAAAAGATACACACACACGCATACGCACGCACGCACACACACACACACACACACACACACACACACACACACACACACACACACACACACACACACACACACACACACACACACACACACACACAAAAGGCCTCTTGCTCTCTCTGTTTCCTGTGTCGGCAGCATGTTGGGCAGAGGTTGCTTGACTCTTTATCACCACAGTCCCCTCACTGAGGTGGATTTTTTGTGTGTGAGTCATGGGTGTTGATACACTTAAGTCTCTTGCACTGACTGATAACAACATGGAATACCTATGAAATAATCAACACACTGTCAGATGAATCTTTGAATCGTTCTGCTATATTCACAGTATCTCGGCTGTAATGTCAGAGCAGTTAGTCCTCAGGTGTTTCTGACCACATTTATGGAGCTCTGTTTAAACCAGTGGTTCTCAAGTCCAGTCCTTGAGGTCCACTGTCCTGCATGTTTTGGATGTTTCCCTGCTCCAACACACCTGATTCAAATGATCAGCTCGTTATTAAGCCATTACAGAGCTTGATAACGAGCTGATCATTTGAATCAGGTGTGTTGGAGCAGGGAAACATCCAAAACATGCAGGACAGTGGGCCTCGAGGACTGGACTTGAGAACCACTGGTTTAAAGTGTGAGTGAGTCATTTCAGTGAGTCAGTCTACAGGCAACCACAGCCTACCAACTGGTTAAAACGGCCATTATTGATGCTACTCTTGTGATTCATGTGCTTGGATAGGGATACATGTTCAGTCAATCAATTATTATTTATTCAGCGCCAAATCACAGCAGCCGTTATCCCAAGACGCTTTCCAGAAGAGCAGGTCTAGACCACACTCATTGTTTGATGTTACCTTATGTTAATTAACTGTTATTTGTTTGCATGTAATCCCCTTTCCCCTCACTTACAAAACTAAACACTGAAGTTGCCTTCTTCCATCAGATGGCACTCATGCTACACCTTTTGATAAATTAAACAGTGGCATTGGCATTAACTCATAGGGGAGACCAGGGCTTGTTGTCACACTTTTTACACTTTAACATATTTCTTGGAATCAATACATCATATATAAACGTATGTACCAGATAAAAGACCAAAGTCTCAGGTATATATTTTGTATTCATGTCATTTTCATATCTTGTGTCAGTGCAGAGTTATAATCAATCAAACAAAGAGAGTGAACATGTGACATGTTGCCCCACCATCGGGTAAGTTGTCTCACTACACGGGGTAAGATGTCACAGTGGATTTTGCAGCTAATAAAACAAAATTATTGTTCTCATTTTTTACTTGAAAGTGAACATCAAAGTCAGGCACAGAAAATGTTTATCATTAAGTTAGAAAAGGTCGTTGAACATAGCCGTTGAACAAACATTGACATAAATTATTCAGCAACATGCTCTGGGGTTTGGAGATCTGTCTGACTGTATTTCGGCTGGGGTGAATGTTTTGCAGTACTGAGCCAAGGTATGGTAGTTGACGTTAAAGTCCTTTATTTTCCTCCAGATTGATTTATTAGCTAGGGTCACCTGTCTGACTGCACTCAGCATCACGTCAGGTACTGCAGTGCCATGTTTTGTTTTTCTTTTGAAATTGAAGAAGACCATGTCTTCTCGCTTTCTCCTCTCCTTTAAACCACTCTTTTTCTGTAAAAATATAGTCAAAATTTCAATGTGACAACTGCTGATAAACAGACTCTCTGGGCTCTATTTTCATGGTGGTGAGGCGACGAAGGGTGGCGGACCCCGCGCAGTGATATTTTCGTCTGGCGGAGCCCGGCGTACAGCCAGTTAGGTATTTTTGTGGACTGAGGCACACCGAGGTCCGCCAAGCTGGGCGTGGTGGCGTGGCAGGGGGAGGTGTCGACAGAATCAGCTGGCGCAGTGACATTTCTTGCTCGCCGGTGGCGTATAAAGTGCGCTGAAAGCTCGCCGGTTCAAACCTGGTCAGCTTTCAGTGCAGGCAGAGCACAGCTGGTCTAGTGGTATTTTGGTTGACCGGTGGCGTATCGGCACATTTCAGTGCAATAAATAATCAACAACAATTAATATTCTGAGTCAGCACATGCATTTAGATCTATATCGATATATTCTGATCTATATCTGATCTGATGAGCGCGTTTGGCACGCGTTTGGACACACAACCTGACCGAATGAACACAGCTGAAACCGCATTAAATTCAATTAAATATCTACTAAATAGAGACACTTGATGAAGTTAACAAGATATGAAATTCGTCTCCCTCCTTTTCTTTCTTCCTCTTATTTCTCACGCAGCTCGACCTGGACATGTCTCAGTGTCCTCTCCCTGTCCTGCTGCAGCTGCAGCTGCTGCGGGTGAACAGATGATATATTTCAGTGATCAGATGAGTTATTTACTTTAAGCCTACATACAAATATTATAATATTCAGTTTTGTGAGCCAAATTTATTTTATATGCCAACATCTATGAAAGAAAGAGCCAGGCCACGGAGCGCGATGCGTCATTTACGCACAGATGGTTCCGATTTTAATGCCGTTATTGGAGTTTATGATGTGATCTGTGCGCACAACCCACCTTTGTCACGTGAGGTTTAAATATATGCAACTTTATGTGAGTGTCTTTATTTGTGGAAAAGGGTGTTTGTCTTACTAGTGGGTCCAACATTACACACACCAAATCCATCTGTGCTCATATGAGAGAGTGTAGCACTGCAGCACTTACAGCTACACTTGTTGAGGGGCTGCCTTATGTCGCCATTGTGTGGCATTACTGTTTTCAGACATCTCTTGATCTCTTTGACTACTTCACAAAAATAGTAATACGCCTCGCCAGTGGCGAATTTAAAGTCGGGGAGAGGAGCCGATGTTATTGGTGAAAACAGGTCTCGGCTGTGTTAAACCCACTCCATGCCCTCTCTCCTCCCTCGCTACGACCTACGCCGCTGGGAGGAGCTGAGTTAGGAAGGGGGGATACTTAAGCCGGGCTGCGCCGCTCACCAGAATACCAAATTGTGCTTGGGAACGCCTTGTCGGCGCGGCGGACCTGACTTATGCCACGCCTGTGCCTTGTCTTCGGCGAAGCATGAAAATAGAGCCCATTATGTTAATTCTAATCCCTTTTAAACATGTGACAACTTTTCCCAAAATGACTGAGACATATTGCCCCAAACTTCCATGTTTGCTAATTCTAGCTCTAGCTTAAAGTTAGCTTAAAACAGAAAAACGACTAAGGTATGACAGGATGTCTTAATCTCTATGAATCACTGCTAGGATTTTATCTAGAAGAACCTTTTTTTAAAACACATAAAGTTTACAATTTTTTATTTGGGGTTGTGCGAAATGGTTAATTGGCGCTCATCTCAGCTCACAATGTGCTCTTCTCAGACAGGACACGACCCCTGACCATGTAAAGGAAGAAAACTAGTATTCCACTTCTATTCTCATGTGTATAACTCAAACTCATTGCAGCATATGGGAAAATTATTTCTGCAACACAACAAACCTCAGTTTTCACATGACAAAACATCATCTGATCAGCTGCCAGCAGTAATAGGGAGGCCTGCAACAGAGTCAGAGCATGCCATCCCTATAAACACAGACACTTGACTTATCAGCAGGCTAGAACGCACAGAAACACACTCTATGCTTTACTTTTTAGAGAGTTGTGCATTAACAGCGATGTGACACAGGCTTCAGACAGTAACTGATTAGCCTGCTGTGTAATCCCTCCTGATTGATTAGTTAAAAAAACATTGGTGTGTTTGTTTGGAGATCTAGGATGATTATATGTTGTTCTATCTGAATGAACTATAACCTTATATGGTTCACTGTGTGTTCTCCTTGATACCTACTCCTTTTGTACCTGTAGTGTGTACACAGACACAAAGACACACACACGTACAGTTGGTAAAATATACACACTTTCTCTAAAAAAAGATGTGGCCATGTCAAACTATAAACTTAATAATGGAAGGCCAGCCTGTCCCATTTGCTGTAAATTGACTCTGCTGTTGTTCTTCTTACTGGGTTGTTCTAAATTTTAACTTTGAATATAGCGATGTAGTAAAGACAAGAACGGCCATGGATTTATCTTTTTTTATTTACTGTTATCTCATGATAATGACTTATTATCTAAGTATCTCAACATAACAAAGATCATTTGGCGATGTATTTTGTCACTGCGGCCGTGATGTCTTTCCATCTCTGACTTTTTCTGTCAGTGGGACTGAATTGGCAAATGAAGAGGACAGCGTCATTTGCTTCGGTGCCGTTTTCTGTGACGGTTTATGTGGTGTAGGAAGAGACATGGACATACTGAGTCTGATGCATTCTTCGTTTTGTAGTGGATGGCATTTCAGGTGGTGAAATAAGTTTGTGGTACTGCTACCTTTGGTGGCTATGGTTTTGCGGCATACTTTGCAGATAACTGTATTTTTCCCCATGTCTTCCTGGCGAAACCCGAACCACTGCAGGATGATAGAGCCAGTGCTGTGTTTTTTCGGCACCAAGTCGTCAATCTCCATCCCTCCCTCCTTGTAGTAACTCGTAAACTTGCCTGGGGTCTCAACTTTGTTCGCTCTCTCCATGCTCGTCTCCCTCCTTTCCTTAAGAAACAACACGCATGTGCGCAGGAGAGTTGGGTGGGGGAGAGTGCTGCTTACTGTGAGAAGAGTGGCAGGAGAGTGAGAGGATCAAAACTCCAAAGATAGTTGCATACTGAAGCCTTAAAACATAAAGCCTACATGTCAATTTATATTGAGTATATTTGATATATCCCCCACCACTAATTTGATGCGTGATGACATAGTCCGCGAGAAGCGTGTTTTGGTTCAGAACTTTCCAGCAAAAGCACTCCAGAGTATGGCTGTATTTCATGTGAAAAGATGATACCGGGGCTACTTTTTACAAAATTGCAAATTTTGTCAAAAGGGGGAAATACTTCCAATATGAAGAAATATTTATCCACCCAGCATACAATTAATTTGTGTAACGTATTTGATACGCTACCAAGTGAAGGCAAGACCGCTATAGGCAAAAGCAGGAATGGAGCTAATGTCTCGGCATCATCTGCTTTAAATACTGAAGGTAATGTTTAACTCCTCCAAGTCCTGTCTGTTGTGTAGATGTTAGCGCCATGTTAACACCCTTTCACTATAGAAATACTCTACATCTTTTTAAATCACATTAAAATGATGATGACTGCCAGAGTCATGCTAGCTCAGAGGCTGCAGAGGGTAGCTCTCACACACCTTTGGCAACCCCTTTCATCGAGGCAGGGAAGAGTAAAATGACAGAGGTGAAGATAAACGAATGTCACAGCTGTGGTCAAAGGGTAGGTCAAATCACAAATTATTAGTGCATAGATATGCCATATCCTCTGTCCAACTGTGACAATATTAAAGAGTTAATGCAAACAAATCCATTTGTACTATCTTATCTCTCACTCAATGAGAATCAATGAGGAATAGTATCAGTACCGAAAATGGAATTGGAATCCCTAAATTGTTAACAATTTCCATCCCTAATCACGAGATAACATTGTATAAAAGGAAAGAAAAATCCATGGCTGTTCTCGTCTTCCATAGTGATAATTTTATTATTAGCATATATTTTGGCCATGTGAGGTGAAAATCTGATATAATGACAGCCCGAGTTCGTAGAAATTTCTGATGCCCTTCAGAAAAACACTCTTTTGATCATTTTTGAAATGCTGTATTATTAATTTAACAACAATCCTTCACATATTGCTCATGTGCTGCAAAAACTCAGTTTGTTCCATATGAAATATTCTGCTGGTACTGAGGAAGAGAAACAAACAGACACAGAGAGGGAAGAAAGCACAGACGTGTGCAGAGAGCAGGGGTTAGGAAGGGGGGTCGACCAGAATAAATAAGACTACTTTGGGAGTTATAAACACTATTTAAGGGTTCACTTAAAATGATTAGAAATAACCATGTAGGAAAAGAATTATGCACGGTGTGTACTTGTAATGAAATGCTCCTCATATTACTGATATATGCAGTTAAACCACAAAGCTTTTAATTATTTCAATAAACGCTTTTAACTGTTTGAAAACACTTTTTCTAAGTTGAAGGAACCTCAAAACTTGCCTTACTCTTACTACAATGATTACAATTTATATTGTGGCACATATGATATCTTATTGTGTTATATATCATCTCCTGGTACATATCGTGACACATACAGTATGGTGATGTGATATTAACATTACATATTGCATATCATGGAGCTGTAGGAAATACACGTCCCTTACAGACAAGGACATGCTTGCTGATGGTTGGAAATTATTGTTAACATAATGCTGATCTAAGAATGAATGTTCAACCTTGAAAGGGATCATTCATATAAGAGTCAGCTGTCACTGTTTGTTTCTGTTTACAGAGACTAAAGACTGCAGTTTAATTCACACACAGACAGACCTAACAGCTAAACAGAGCAGCACCATGAGCAAATCCTCTGTAAAGAGAGACTGTTTCTGAATCTGAAGTTATCTCTAAGGCTGCAAATCTGAAAATCAGTCACACACAGACAGTTTGAGCTGAAGAGAGAGGCGTCTGAAATTAGCCAACAGTTTTTCCTTTAATTGTTTTTCGGGATATTTGTTTGAATATTTAGACACTACAACAAGACAGTCTACAAAACCCAATTCCATTGAAGTTGGGAAATTGTGATAAATAAAAAAAGAAACAGAATACAATAATTTGCAAATCCTTTTCAACCTATATTCAATTGAATACACTACAAAGACAAGATATTTCATGTTCAAACACATTAGATTTATTTTTTTGCAAATAATCAACTCAGAATTTCATGGCTGCAACATGTGACAAAGTAGTTGGGACAGGGGCATGTTTACCACTGTGTTACATCATCTTTCCTTTTAACAACACTCAATAAACATTTGGGAACTGAGGAGACTAATTGTTGAAGCTTTGAAGGTGGAAATCTTTCCCATTCTTGCTTGATGTACAGCTTCAGTTGTTCAACAGTCCAGGGTCTCTGTTGTCTTATTTTACACTTCTTAATGTGCCACACATTTTCAATGGGAGACAGGTCTGGACTGCAGGCAGGCCAGTCGAGTACCCGCACTCTTTTATGACGAAGCCACGCTGTTGTAGCACGTGCAGAATGTGGCTTGGCATTGTCTTGCTGAAATAAGCAGGGGCGTCCATGATAAAGACGTTGCTTGAATGGCAGCATATGTTGCTCCAAAACCTGTATGTACCTCTCAGCATTAATGTTGCATTCACAGATGTGTAAGTTACCCATGCCTTGGGCACTAATGCACCCCCATACCATCACAGATGCTGGCTTTCGAACTTTGCGTTGATAACAGTCTGGATGGTTCTTCTTCTCTTTGGCCCGGAGGACACGACGTCCACTATTTCCAAAAACAATTTGAAATGTGGACTCATCAGACCACTGAACACTTTTCCACTTTGCATCAGTCCATCTTAGATGAGCTCGGGTCCAGAGAAGCCGGTAGTGTTTCTGGATGTTGTTGATAAACGGCATTCGCCTTGCATAGTAGAGTTTGAACTTGCACTTACAGATGTAGCGGCGAATTGTATTTATTGACAGATGTTTTCTGAAGTGTTCCTGAGCCCATGTGGTCCTTTACACATTGATGTCGGTTTTTGAAATAGTACCGCCGCCTGGGGGATCAAGGGTTGGGGGCATTCAATGTTGGTTTCTGGCCGTGTCGCTTACGTGCAGTGATTTCTCCGGATTCTCTGAACCTTTTGATGATATTATGGACCGTAGATGTTGAAATCCCTAAATTCCTTGCAATTGTACTTTGAGAAACATTGTTCTTAAACTATTCGACTATTTGCTCATGCAGTTGTTCACAAAGTGGTGAACCGCGCCTCATCCTTGCTTGTGAATGACTGAGAATTTTTGGGGAAGCTGCTTTTATACCCAATCATGGCACCCACCTGTTCCCAATTAGTCTGCTCACCTGTGGGATGTTCCAAGTAGGTGTTTGATGAGCATTCCTCAGATTTCTCAGTATTTTTTGCCACCTTCCCCAACTTCTTTGTCACGTGTTGCTGCCATCAAATTCTGAGTTAATTATTATTTGCAAAAAAACCAATAAAGTTTATCAGTTTGAACATTAAATATCTTGTCTTTGTAGTATACTCAATTGAATAAAGGTTGAAAAGGATTTGCAAATCATTGTATTCTGTTTTTATTTACAATTCACACATCTTCCCAACTTCATTGGAATTGGGTTTTGTACAACTACCGAATGACTGTGTTGTGGTCACAAATGAGAGTGCTGCTTGCAGTCAGTGATCTTGTTATCTACTCTTTTCATTGTCATTATGCCAACACAGGGCTCTTTAAATTGACTGTTTACTCACTGGGATTACATAATTAAGTTCAGGGTTATCCGTTTTATCATGTTTTATATGTACGTTTCAGTTCATAGAAACAGGTTAAAGAAAAAGACAGAGACAAGATTCACCATAAGCACTCATCAATCATGGGTTGTAGGTGCTCTAGAGAAAGGGAGAAGCCTTTTTCACATTTATACCATAGACTGTATAAAGAATGGACAGAGTCTGCCTCCTCGCTGGGTGAAGCCACTCCGAGAACAGCACCCTCTGTTGATGGGCTGCAGTATAGATCATAAATCCCTCTCTGCCAGCAAAGCTTATGGAACTGTGGACAAACTTTAGAAATTTATTACACAGAACATAATTTTTTCTCCCCCCTGCTTGTGATGTTGACATGTAGTTATTGTCGGACTGGTTTGTGCTCAAGTCCTCTTTTTTCTGTGAAGCTCCGTTTTTAAAAGTTATTAGGGGGGTCATGTTTGCTATGATTGACACCTGATACAGCCTATGGGCGTTCAGGGATTGCGTAGCTCTCCCGGGGGATACACTGTTTGAGCCGAGCGTCATCACAGCGACTCTCAGCGACTGAGTGCCCGAATGCGCGCATTGCTACTTTCAGGAAATGAAGAAAAATCCTGGAAATACAGAGAGCTATTTGGCTTCAAATCCGTATACAGGCTGTAGGCGGAACCAAGTTGTCCATAGTATATACAGTTTATGATTTATGACATATATGACATATATGACATATACACACATGAAAAAAGAATAACTTTACCAGTATGGAGCAGTCCTATTGGCTGGCACATCAGTCTTGAACTGGAGCTTATTGGTTGGTCCTGCCTTCTAGACTTTTAGTGCTTGAGTTAGACACCTCCCCTTTCTCCTCTAGGGGCTGCAGGTTGTCAGCAGTTTTCACAGCTGTAACTAAAAAAGAAAAAAACAAAAACCCAAATTGTGAGACAAATCATTCAAAGCACCCATAAGAGCCTCTGAATGATAATCAGCTAGTCAGCTTATCTTGTTACTTACTGACATTTCTTTGTTATTAAAATAAACAATGATTTAAAAAAATATATTATCAAAGCCATTTACATTACAGCACAGGGCAACAGGAAAGCATTCAAAACAAGTCAGCAATTACTCCAGGCAGAGATGGACAAAATGAAAGATTTATAACAATTTCTTTTTTTGTCTGTTTGTGTTCAAAATTTTAGAGCATGGTACATGTCCTCACTGTTTAAGGATTTCTCAGAGTATCTCGCTCATTTTACACAAATATCCTTCAGAAATAATCAATTACAGTAAGGTCGTCAATATTTTTTTCGAACCTGTATCCTGTCAACACAAGCGTTTACATCAGTGACGTTTTCCCCATCCTGCGATATTGTGGCATTTATTTTTTCGTATCACGGTCACAGTTTTGCATACTGTGTATCCACTTCTGACCAATCAGATTGCGTGTTGTTGCGACGTCACATTCACTGGTATATTCATCATGGCCGACCAGCTGATTGTTTACATGTTGGAGAACAGAGTGCTTTTTGATAAAAGACACAAACATTACAAAGATAACAACCTGAAGGACAACTTGTGGAGAGTCATAGCGCTGTATGTCTCATATGATGATAGTTTGTGTGCTTTAACGGTTTGCTAAACGTCTTTGTTATACCTTTCATCTGTGCTAATTACCTTTAGCTTGTAAGCTAACCTGTTCAGATACAACATACCATATGTATTTTCACTGTCTCAAACTCAATCGCGTTGTTGTCACAGCACTATCTCGGTCGTTACCTTTATGTTTATGGATTATAGTTTAATGTGCTTATCTGGTAGTGGCCCAGACTCAGTACATGCTATCATGACAGACAACCATCTCAACACTTGTGTCTAATCAGAACTGAAAAACAGTCAGTCTGCTGTTCTGTCAGTCTTCTTGCTTCCACCTGGAATGCCTCCAGGATTTCATTTTTTGTGTTTGAGTCAATCAATGTCTGTCACCCTCCAAGCCTTTCACTCGGCACTGCACAACACTGAGCCCTCTGAGTGTCTCATTCAACTGCAGTTCTCTTGTCCAGTCACTTTGCTCCTGTATAGTGAGGCAAATCCTGGTCCTAATCTTCATCAAATCTCCCTTTCTTTCTTGCTGATAGCATTACTTGACCCTGCAGTGAAAATGTGCCATGATTTGATATTATTGACTCTAAATACTATCTGTGTGCAGGAGCTCAGTGGTCCAGATGGCCACTCAGTGGGAGCTGGAGTCGCACCAAATGACCTGCTAGCTGCACCACAGCAGCACAGCAGAGGTTTTGCTGCCGTACGCTCAGCAGCTGAACTCTGTGCAGCAGCCTGAATCCTTTGAGTCAATTCTACATCAATGTGTTATCTTTACAAAAGCAGATTATAATGAGTCAGTACTCAGTTCTCCTGCTGCTGGTTCTGTCTGCTGCCTCTGACACAGTAAACCACCAAATCCCCCTCTCCACACTCTCCTCACTTGGTTTCTTATGTTCTGCCCTCCAGTGGTTCAAGTCCTACCTCACAGGGAGATCTTTAGAGTATCATGGAGGGGAGACGTTTCCAATTTGCATGGCTTACCAACAGGGGTGCCTCAAGGCTCAGTGCCTGGTTCCCTCCTTTTTTTAATGTACATCACTTGAATTTTACCACTCCCACAGCTTCATCCATTACTGTTTTGCATTTGATACTCAGCTCTTCTTGTCTTTTCCACATGATGACACAACTGTCTCATCTCTGATCTCATCCTGCCTTGCTGATAACTCTAAATAGGTGAGGAAACGTCACCTACAGCTCAACCTGTCCAAGATTGAGCTCATTATTATCCCAGCCAGTCCCACTGTGAACCCACAGATCAATATCCACTTTGGATGATCATGACCTTATATCTTCTAAGTCTACCCGAATTCATGATTGATGACCAGCTAACCTTTAGGGTTCATGTTGCCTCAATTGCTCGGTCCTGCTGATTTGCCCTCTATAACATCAAGAGGATCAGACCCTACCTGAAAAAACATGCAACACAGCTCCTCAGGCTCTTGTAATATCACATTGATTACTGCAACTCCTTACTGGCAGACCTCCCTGCATGCACAGTTAAACCTCTGCAAATAATCCAAAACACAGGAGCACCTAAGACAGCTCATGTCACTCCTCTCTTCATCTCCCATCACTGGCTTCCAGTTGCAGCACACATCAAATTCAAAACTCTGATCATTGCTTAGAAAGTAATAACGAAAACTGCCTCTGTTTCCCTGGAATCCCTCATCCAGGTCTACACCCCTTCTCAACCACAATGCTGCACAACATACAGCCCCTAAATCACTAGGTGGACTCTTCTCTTGTTTCTAAATTGTGAAATGTATTACCCAACTCCATTCAATCCGAAAGTCCCTGTCTACTTTAAAAAGACAGCTAAAGACCAGCTTTTTAGAGAACACTATGCACTTAGCTGGACCATTCTCCACTGTTGTCCCCAGTGGTTGAATCAGTCTTCCAGCTACAATTGACTTGCACTGCCCTGCTCTACTTTAGGAATTTTGGGGATTTCTGTTCAGCGCTTAAGTGACCCAGCACTTGGTACATTGGTAATTTTGTGGTAAAGACAAGTTAATTGATGGTGATGATGAAAGATCTTAAGTTGAATGATTGCTTCATTGTTGATGTTCCTTGCCTTGAATACTGCTTGGTAGTACCTGTGTCCAAATGGACCTGAAGCAACTTGTTCCTCTTACTGATCTTTTTTTTTTCCTGTCTAGATCCTTGCTTGAGTTGTTCTTGTTCTTGTATGTCTACACTTTGGATAAAAGCGTCTGCTAAATGACACTGTAACCTTGTAATGACAAATGTTGACAGCAAGAAGACCAAGTTGTAGGAGAGCAGTAGCTTCAGAGATATCGGTAATATCGCGAGCACTTCTCCTCCACTTGCTACAGCGGATTGGATCCGGTGGGTGGTGTATGCTTGAGTATTTGATCCTCCTGTCGGACCAGAATGGAGCGGAGCCGTTCCGGATCCTGCGGAATCCCTGGGTTAAATCACTGATCTTAAATCCGCTGAAACAGTTCCTCCTTAATCAGAAACAATCAGGCACTTTCACAACAAAATTGACATTTTCACACAAGGAACAGCAGCATAACTACATTCATAATCAAAAACTGTGGATATTATACTGCTGAGAATGTAGTGATGACATATTTGTACGCTTCATATCAAAGACAGTGGGATGTTACTTATTTCAGCTGGATCCCATAGCTGCATTTTGTAATGCATGCATAATGGATACTGTTCAGTCCCCTCTGTGCCTAAGAGCATCCTTGAGTGGGTACATGAACTTTGTCTAATCCAATGTTGACATGCCAGAGGATGAGGGTATTATTATTTAATGTGGGCAGTTCCTTTACACATGTAAAGGGGGCATAAATGAGACTTTAAAACAATCATTTAAACCTGTCAGTGGCAAAAACAATAACTGTTGAGAGATGTTTTTTTAATTGGACCACTTTTCCCCCGCAGAAAAATATCTACACTACAAGATACTTAACAAACTTGACTCTAAAAAAGCTTCCCGTGACATGGACTCTGATGATTCCTGTATCATAAGAGAAGTCGGGTGGTCTCTTTCCTCTTAAGAGCTGGGTGTCCGTGATTTCCACAACGAAGGTCAAATTTCTATATATCTGTATACAGGGCTTTATTTATTGTGAGATGTTTCTCCAGATGTTTTTTTGTGATTGACACATTTTCTTCTGGGTTTTGTTGACCTTGGAGGATGTAGCTTCCATGATATCCAAAGAGACTCTAAGGGCACGTTCACACCACCCTCGTTTAGTCCGGTTGAACCGAACCCTGGAGCGTTTACCCCCTTGGTGCTGTTCGTTTGGGTCGGTGTGAACGCTGACCTCGAACTCTGGTGCGGACCAAATAAACAAACTCTGGTCCACCTGAAGAGGTGGTCTCCGACCACTATCAAGTGAACTCTGAAGCGGTTCATTTCTGGTGTGAACATCATCCACACCAATCACAGGAAACGGTGGTAGGCTCTCATTAATGCCTGTCGCCGTCTTGTCTTTATCCATCTGTTGTTTGCAGCACGTCTACTCTGGAATGTATTAATTAATGCCACAGTTCACGCTCGCTGGCTAACGAGCCGCTCATACGTGCGATCGACTGGCATGTTTTGATACGCGCTCCAGATGAGTAGCAAAAGCAAAATCAGCCTACGATGCTCCATGACAGTTTCAGACAGCAGAGCGGGGTTTGTATTCCGGCATAAACTAATAACCAATAACCAAACGATATTCGCGGTCACGTGACTTCCCGTTCCGTTTTCTGGAGCGATTGAGTTTGTCCTTTGTGAACGCAAACCGGACCAGTTAAACAATCAAAACAAATGTATCGTCTTGCCTTGGATTTGAATCAGGAAACAGACCTTTAGGTGTGAACACGACCTAAAACTTTCATTGATGAGACCATCTGACCTTATCAATGCCAGGTGTTTGGTTGTCCCCTTTCCTACTTTTTTGAAAGGTTTCCTGGGATCAAATGAAAAATAAGAATATGTTTTCACAGAATAATACTTTTGTCAATGTAGACATTTGATTTGTCATCTTTGCACAATTTAAATAATTTGGAAACCTTGAAAATCTGTTTTTATGAATATAAACGCAGTGTCTCAACCTTTTTGGAATTGGGTTTGTAAAACAGTAAGACAAACACGGTTGATGGTTGATTAAGCCTGATCTGTACAAGCCTCAATATCAATTCTTGTTCTCCTATCACCAGAGCTGTCATGGCTTTAAATTTGCGGTTGATCTATAGCTCAAGTCTTGGTGGACTTGATTTCTAGAATTGCTTTCTTTTTTTAAATGCCAGAAACCCTTCTGTAATTTTCAATAAAAAAAACATTGCTCCATTTCCCCTGACAATTGAATTACCTGTAGGTGTCCTGGATTTGTAATAGAGAGAATGCATAGTTTGTCTCTTGCCAATCTGCCATGTTCTGAAAGTAAAGTGGAAGTTCACTGTTTAAAGAGGAACCTAAAACAAAAGGACTCGTGAATCAGATGGTCCCTGCTGGTTTGACATAGCATGAACACAATCTCCTGGATATAAACGGGCGCAACATGATGTTTTCCACATGCAAGTGTGCAAAGTTAGAGTTGGGCAACAAAGGACAACAACAGCCCACCAACACACATCTCATGCCTGTCCCAAAGACCTTGCTAATTCTTAAACAGCAAGAAGAAAATCTAAATCCTCCATTTGATTAAGGCAGACCCACAAACTGACATGCTGTCAGTGAGAGGTTTCTGCACAGAAAAGAAAACAGTATCTGACTTCAGAGCATGCTAACTCTTTTTCTGCTAAAGAATCAGTCAATTTCTTCTGACAGAGAACCAGTCAAAGTACTTATAGAGATGTTTGTGTGATTGTTTAAAAATCATTACTTTAAAACCTTTTTTTTGAAGAATTAAATGTGTCATGAAACAGCCTGCTTAAACCATCTATCATATGTTGCAGTATATACAGTAGTTGCTGGCTCTGAAAACAATGAGAGGAATGTGACCGCATTTGCAGTTTACTTTGATATTTTTGGTTTTCTTTAATTCAGTTGCACTCAAATCTTAACTGTTTTTTTTTTCAGGTACACCAATGATCCACATCCAAACTTACTAAAGGGTTAAATCACTGATATTTATACCTTCTATCTTTGGTGGATTTTAAAGGACTAATCTGCCTTGTCTTTTTTTTTTTTTTTTTCTTTAAAGGAGTCAAGCTGACCTCCACAAGCTTCAAAACCATTCGTCCAAAGAGAAACGCGGTTCAGCCCGACCTGTCAGACCATTACTGTCACCAAGACGGGAGAAAGGGCAGGTGTCAGAGCTATGTGTGCGTGTGTGTGCCTGTGTATGTGGTGGCAGCTTTTCCAGCTCACTGATAATGGAGGTCTGGCTCCTCCAGCCTGACTCAGCAGAATCAAACACGTTATATTACACGTGTGCGGCTGGACCTACAGAGTCTGGGACCAGCACAAGGCCACTGCAGCTTTTAATGTCTACTCCCTCGATCAATACACAGTGAAAGTTTTCTCAGCAGCTTTAAATCAACCTTGTGAAGATAAAAAAAACTCTCAAACAGTTGATGAAATCCTCCTGTGTTTCATGTCGGCAAGAGAGCGCAGCCACCAATTCCTCACCTTCATCTTATCCTGTCCTCCTCTCCGTCATCTTAGCTCGCTCTGTTTCTCCTCTAATTTGCCCTCCTTTTCCTCCCACTCATTCTCAGCAAGCACTGAGGTGGACAGACTGCTGCAGGCAGGAGCTCACAGCCAGGACCCCACCAACAGTGTCTAAGCCAACCAACACCGGTAGTTCTTCAATGTCCTTGGATGAAGCAGCAACACAAAGATACTCAAGCTGATTTATCAGGTCTACAGAAATATATGTTGAATTATTTTAAACTTAAAAAATATTTCAAGCACATCAATAAGGAATATTTTATATATAAAAATATCTAAGTCTGATAAAATCATATGGTTAAATCCCCTGTACAGTATCTACAGCTCAAATTCAAAACAGATAACTTGGAGTAAAAAGCCAATTTTCTCTGGGCGACTGTGTTAAAGCCCACCCTCTGTGGTGAGTGAGCTGCTCTCGGCTTGCTTCTGGCTCTGTGTAATTTTAGCCTCAGTCTCTTTGTAGGGAGCTGCTGACACTGTCTTCAGCCCTGCGTTTTTACTAGCCTCCCGAATCCTTCGCTGGTGAGCATGGAAAATGTCTGGAAGTCTTTGGTGATATTCAGAGTAATGGTGGGCAAATAGTCTCACAACTACACTACAGGCCAAAAATTTTGGAAACAAGATCAGATTTGTACAAAAAAAAGACCATAGTTTCATTAATATAATTTGCAACACAATAAACATGACTATTGTGTAAAGAGTATCTTCTAAGAAGTTTCTTTAACCTCCTCTGGCTTTAACAACAGCTTGGCATATACGAGGCATCCGTTCCACAAGTTTTTTAAGGTATGTTCCAGGGATTGCATTTCAAGCTTTCTTAAGTTCATTAAAAGGAGACTGCTGATTCGTGGGACGCGCTTTTCTGACTGATAGATCCAATACATCCCACACAAGCTCTATTGGAGAAAGGTCAGGAGACTGAGAGGGCCAAATCATCTTTTGAAGAACACCTCCCTCTTCCTTTTTTTGTCTAGGTAACCCTGACAGAGCTTGGCAGAATACTTAGGGTCATTGTCTTGCTGCAAAACAAACTTATGAGCCACCAGTCTGAGTCCAGATGGAACAGCATGGTGTTGGAGGATGGAGTGGTACTGTTCCTTCTTCATGATACCCTTTACTTCAAACAAATCTTCAACTTCATCATCTGCAAAACATCCATGGAACTACCACCTCCTAGCTTAATTGTGGGTGTAACACATGGTGCTTTCAGATGTTCACCAGTTTGTCTGCAGACATAGACTCTGCGTTTTGAACCAAACAGGTCAAACTTGCTTTCATCGGTCCAGAGAACTTGTTCCTAGTCATCATTGGTCAAATTATTGTGAGCTTTTGCCCACTCATATCTCTTTTTCTTGTTCTGTGGATGAAGTAGTGTTTTTTTGCAGATACACAACCCTTCAGACCAGCCTTTCTCAAACGTCATTTCACGGTTGTCAGAGATATGGGTTTCGACCTTGTCATGTTGATTTCCTCCCTTATTTTTGGTGCTGTCTTTTGCCGATCTCTTTTACTGGTGACAATGCTATGTTTATCCTCTGCTTTTGTAGTAACTCTCTTTCATCCAGGCCTTTTTTCTATCATCATAACTTCCAGGTTCCTCTAGTCTCTTCAGAGTGTAGTGGACTCCTTTGTTAGACACCATTAGGCGTTTTGCAATTTCTCTTTCTGTGTACCCTTCTTTCCTCAATGTATGAATCTGTACTTTTGTTTCTTTACTCAGTTGCTTCTTTCTAGCCATTTCTGCAGTAGTTTGATGCAGTTGAGATTTATTAGGATTTTTGTATGCAGACTCTCAAAGGCCCAAAAGTTTAAGTGAATAATCCAATTGTGGTTTGTTTTTTTGCTTTTGCACTTAAGTTGTGACTCTTGCAAATGTTTTCAACCCTAAAACTAAGCCCTTATTATCTTTTGCTGACATATATTTAGCAATGGTCTGTTAACATCAATGTATGTCTAAAGGTAAATGGAGTAAAATGGTGCATTTCCATGAAAGCAACATCTGATCATGGAGTAAATACATCCCAAAATACATACAACTCATGCTGGATTTAAAAAAAAAAAGCATTGTGAACAAAAACTTGAAGTTACTCCCAACTGTTCAGCCTGTAATGGCTGAATGGCGAATAGATGGCGCAGCGATCTCATGACAATCGTCATCCACTATTTACCTCACAGCACAGCAGAGTGACGGATCTGAAGCAGGCAGCTCAGGGACGCACGGAGGAGAGTGGTCCACCTCAACGATAAATAAACCAGTTTGTGAAATACACACTAAGTCAACAAGTTTCAGTTCAACCCACTTCATGATGTTCCCCACTGTGCTGGTCTCGGGCACGCCGAGTTAACGGTGAATCACCATGTAATATGCAAGTTAAAGTTAGAGTTAGCCACTTGCACCACTCGGCGGCCGGAGCACAAAATCAATATATTGTGGCTGACAGATCCAAAATCAGCAACGGTGGTGTATCTTATAACAGGCAATGCCTGTAGTAGTCCAGTAAAAGTTTAAAATACTGATAAAACAGTCACAGTTCATAGGGTACTGTCAAGTATTTACTCCACATCCTCTTTGTTTATTCAAAATGTCGCTTTGGGGCTCTTTTATTCTTTGTTTTGGTGTTGGGAAACTCCTAAGTGTTTTATCATGATCAGGTTGACACACACTGCAGTCTTTGCAGCAGATAAATGTGACTACAGAGGATCTTTAGAAAGTGTGAAACCAGAGCTGCACCTTTGGAAACAGTCTGTATCTGCTATAGACTTACTTACTTAATCCTCTTCGTTCCCTGTGGAACATGAGGCCGTGACTATCTGCTTTCATCTGGTCCGATCCTGTGCAGCATGTTGTGCCTTGCCCCATGTTAGATTTGCCATCTTCAGTTCCGAGGTCACAGTTCTCCGTCATCTTGTCCTTGGCCTCCCTTGCTTCATCTTCCCAGGTGGAGTCCATGTCAAGGATACTTTGGGGATGCAGTCCTGGTCCATTCGGAGGACATGTCCGAGCCGTCTGAGCAGTGATGTTTTATTTCCAGCACCACGTTGCGGCAGTTTGTCTTGTTATACAGGTCCTCATTGGAAATCTTATTTGACCAAAGGATTCTACATATCTTCCGGAGACATCCGTTGTGGAAGGCATTGATCTTTTTCATGTCGCTCTCAACCCTCTCCAGCACTCCGAGCCATAAAGCAGGACTGATTTAACATCGCTGTTGTACAGCTGAAGTTTGGTCTTAAGGCTATACTGCTTAGATGGTCTGAAGGCTGGCAAAGGTGCTGTGAGCTTTCCCCAGTCTTCCCATACATGTAAACTCCTCAACATAATCAAGAGGTTTACTGTCCACAGTGATTGGTGCGTGTGGTGTTGAATTTATGCACATCATTTGGGTTTTGGAGGTGTTCATATTCAGGCCGATCTGTTTGGCAAATCTATCCATCCGGTTAGTCTTCTCTTGCAGGTGAGTGTGGTTGGTGGAAAGAGCGGCAAGGTCATCAGCATAATCAAGATCCTCTAGCTGGGTGAAAAGAGTCCACTGTATGCCTCTGGGCTTGTCCGAGATGGTTCTTTGCATGGTCCAGTTGATGGCAATCAGGAAGAGTATGGGGAAGATGATACATACCTGGCGTACACCAGATTTCACAGGGAACCTTTCAGTGAGGTTGCCATTAACAATAACACTACATCCGTATTGATGGTAGAACATCTTTATCAATGCAGTCATCTTTGTGGGAACTCCATAGGACTCTACGATCTTCCATAAGGTGTCACGGTGTAAGCTGTCGAAGGCTTTCTGGAAGTCTATGAAGTTGATGTACAACGGACTGTTCCACTCCAGGCATTGCTCAATGATGTTCCTTATTGTAAATATCTGATCTCTTCCTTTCCTGAACCCTGCCTGTTCCTGTCTCAGTTTGGTGTCAATTGCAGTGTCGATTCGGCCCAACAAGATTCTGCAGAAGACCTTAGATGGTATGGGCAGCAATGTTATGCCTCTCCAGTTGTTGTAGTTTTGGAGATTGCCTTTCTTTGGGATTTTGGTAATCAGGCCTCTGGCCCAGTCCTCAGGAATGACATTTTTGTCCCAGATGTTCTTAAAAAGGTCATCTCAGCGTGAATGGAGTCTACGCCTGCAGCTTTCCCATTCTTTGTTGCTTTGATGGCACTGTTGACTTCTGTTGCAGTTGGGGGGCTGGTGTTGATGTTAAGTATGTTATCTGCAGGTGCTGGGGTAGCGGGATGTTCTGGCTCAGGGCAGTTGAGGACTTCACTAAAGTGTTGCATTCACCTTGCTGCCTGTTCATTCTCTGTTAGGAGGTTGTTCCTGCCTTTGTCTTTGACAGCTTTGACACCAACTTTGGAGTTCATGTCACCCATGATCAGCAACATATCATGCAGTGGGACCTTGGAGACGGTCGGTTGTAGCTCTTCATACCAGTCATCCTTGTCCTCTTTCTCAGCTTTATTTGTTGGTGCATAACATTGTATAATGGTTAGATTACAATGTTTAGAATTGAAGTGAGCTCTGATGGTTCTGTCACTTACAGGCTCCCATTCTAACAAAGCCTTTGCTTTGGAGATTATTAGAGCCACACCATGACTGTGTTGTCTTTATGCCCTGAGTGGAGTATAACTGATCCATCATTGATTGTGTGGCGTCCAGATCTGGTCCAATAACATTCGCTGATCCCCAGAATATCCAGCTTGTATCTTCTCATCTCACTGACAACCTGGGCAAGTTTAGATGTTTCGTACATGGTGCGTACATTCCATGCTCCAAGTCGGATCTTTGTTTTGGGCCAGAGTAGACATGCCTTCGCACTCCTGACTTCCTGTTGAAGGCTTTCATCAGTAGTGGTCACTCTGCCAATGGGTTGGCTAGGGTCTACTATGGGGCCCATGGTGGTTGTTAAAGCATTAGTCATGGTTTCTGTAACAAAGTGGTGTTTTACGGGGTGGGGTTGTTAGCCCCACGCCGAACCCCCAACCTGGAGGGCCAGGTGCTGCTTTTCGTCCGGCCTCTACTCGAAAACCTGCCCGGCATTGTTGAACCTGCTGAGGGTATGAGCCCCCTCTGGTATAGCCTTCAGAGTCACGAAGGCATGCAAGCCTCCCCACCAGGACAAGGTAGCAGAACAGGGGAAGGAACAGTGGAAACAGATGCCATGAAAGGACCAATCAGTATCCAGTTTCACTTTCTCTTTCCTGAAAAATCAGGGTGTTTTTTTTTTTTTTTTCCCCCATGATATAGAGGTGACCTCTCTCTTTCTGTCCTCTTGGATCATAATGCTGCATTGGACACGATTAACCGTAACATCCTGTTATAGAGACCTGAGCGCTTTACTGGGATTAAACCAATCAGTCTACCAATCACTTAACCAAACCCGAAACATCATTTAAGACCTAGTGACCTAGACCTCATGACTTGAAAAAGTGGGTTTTCGTGAGTTTTTGCTGCAGAGGGTACCAGGCCTTTATAAGAAGCAGGCTTGTATTGGGCTTTAATATTTTAATTGTTCTTATCCTTTCTTTTTTTATATATATATTCTTCTGCAATAAGTTAGTATAATAGAGCTCTTCAGAAACCCCGTTACAGACTGTAACAGTGCAGCAGAGACAAAGAAAGAAGACTGAAAACAACAAAGAGAACTACATATGGGCATAAGTGCAGACATAAATTCCAAACAGGATATCTAGTTAGACGAATACAGTTTGGCATTTCTCAGTTTAACACATGCAGTTGAATGTTGTGTTCAAAGCTGACATGAATAAAATGATTAATTTACTGAAATCACAGTTTGATGCTTGATCTGCATAAATTACCCACTTCATTTGTGTAACATACCCCAAGAGTGCTCAAACAGAGAGGTGGGATTTTATTCATGTCACTTAAGTCTGTTTCCATCAAACGTGGTTGAAGCGGACTGTATTGGAAGGATTTGTTGTGTTTGCACATTAGATAATCTGAACTCCTCACTCACTTTTCTCCAAACAAGATATTTATTATTCCAGTCTAACTGTACAAAAACAGTTGAACCCCAGAGCTAAAGTAGCCGCATACCATCATGATTCATTTGTCCTCCATTTTCCAGGTGAATGAACCCCTACTGGTCAGTAGTTGACAAACTTTACCAGGGAATCTCCATGTTGATTGGCTACAGAGATTCAAGAGCTCAGATTTTTCAGCTCTTGGATAAGCAAATGAAGTGAGTAGATAGCTGAACACCACACAAGTCTGCATAGTTCACGTGTATAATACAAAAAGTGCCCAGGTCTTATTCACTTGTAATGGGCTTGACACCAGAGAGGCCTGGTTTCAGATGGAAAAATTGAGGATTTTGGGTAGTCCTACTTAGTTTATTTTTAGTGTTATCTTGCTGGCCTCTTAAATATTGTAATTCATCAACCACTATTTAAAGAAACATGGTTTCATGACCTTCTGAATTTCAAGGACAAAACTTACCGAAGAAAATTAATAGAACCACTCTTTTCTTTAGACATGATAACTTAACATTTAACAATGCTCCACAGAAACATCATCTATGACAATGTTGGACCAGCAGCAGTCAACCTTCACCACTAATTTCCACACTGACTATTGTACAAATAAATTCAACCTTAAAGTAATTTCTGCTTTCCCTGCCTTTCACTCTCTCAGAGCTCTATGAGAAACATCTGGAAAACACAACAAATCCACTGTACTACATCCAGAGAGTTGGACTTACCACGAGAGCAGTTCTTGGAGTTCCACAATGCAACCAAGCATTTGACAAGCTGGCGAATGAGGAAGCAAATAATCACAGTACACATTGTTGACCATGGCAACAGTAGATCCTTCTTCCCTCACAATAATGGGAAAGTTGGCACACCCTTTATAGAATATCATGCGCTAAAGTTTTATAAGCTGACATGCAGGGCTTCACGAGTTATGTCCAAAGAGTTGTCAGAAATCCAGGATGAAAACAGAGTTTCCAGGAGCAGAGCCGGAGCACCAAGGAAATCCTGGATAAGGTCATGAGCACATGAGCGGAGTTGAAACCTACCTATGCTAATGACTTTAGCACAGATCACATCTTACAGACAGATTATCACAACACTTGTCAAGGACAGCCTCTAACTCACAAGACTACCTCAGGAAAACCAACTCCCTCTTCAGACAAAGAGATTAGTCAAAATGAATTTTTGAAGATCATCTCTTCTCACACTGAAAAGAGTGAGCTTTCTGATCTATACAACCTACAGGACTCAGGGACAGATAGTACTTGAGAATCCTTGTGTCAAATCTCTTTATGGAGAAAATCTTAAGCCTGAGGGTGAAGGAGGATGTACAAACATTTGGGGGAAATTCTCTGACTAGCTCTGAATACTCTGTAAACCTGGCTCAGTATCAGTTTTTCCTTTGTTTACAATAGTGAAGCTCACACTCAAGTAAGGCTGCTTTCACAACTGGAGGAGTTTTTATTCCAGTTCAGGTGACAAATGAGCGATCAATGTCTTTTTCCTTCGGGTCTTTTCGTGGTCACTTTGTGATAATGAAAGTCAGTCAAAGCTCACACCATTGCAGGGTTGTTTTTCTGTGATCATGCCACTGCCTCTTTTTCCTACAGCATTGCAGATGCCATGCAAACTGGTCACACTCAGCACTACTTCCAGCTCCATGACACAAACATATGTCAGCCAGATAACCCACCACAAAATGAGTTAGGGTCAACTTAGAGGTCAAATGTTTATCATCATTTCATTAGTCACAAAAACACAGCTGTGAATGAACACATGAACCAGAGGAGCTTCCTTCACTTCATCTCATCGGCAACCACAAAACTCAGTTTTTTACTGATTTTTACTGAACGCTGGAAGTTTTTGCATCATTATACACAGAGTCAAAATAACATCACAGCTGTTAGCATTTAGTTTAGTTTTCTGCCATTCAGATTTTACTCCAGAGCTGTCATTATGCATCACCAACACATCTTAGGGAATCACCACAAAATCTGCTACTTATCTTTCTGACATTTTAAAAGCATTGAAACTGCTTCTGCTGACAATGTAAAGGAGAAAATTGAGAGGCATAGAGCAGAAAATGAAAGTAAACTCCTGATTCTCTCCAAACTTGTGGAAATGTTCAACAAGTATGTATTCAGTATGTAGGCATAATTTGTGGCTAAGCTATAAGCTCCCTGTCCTGGCATCCAGGCTATGTCCACACTCTTATACAGGTATTTCAGTGTTTCCCCTAGCTTTTTTGCTTTGGCAGGGCAGGGGTGTGGGGTAGGTGACATTAACATACGTCATCTGGTGTGACATGTACGTAGACATACATCATACGAGGTGACGTTAACAAACGTCACCTTGTATGACATATGTACGTAGACATACGTCATATGCGTCGATGTATGTTAACGTCACCTCATATGACGTATGTCTATATCAGGCGACATTAAAATACGTCACCTTGTACGTTTATGTTCGCCACTTTCAGAGGTGCGGTGTGTGCCTCTGAACTACGTGGCCCAGCATGTCAGCACGTGTTACTGTTGTGAGATGGAGAGAGCAACGAGCAGAGAGAGCAGTGAGCAGAGAGCCCCGCTACTCGCAGAGGAGAGAAAGATGTATTTTTCATTATTTCATTATTTGATTGCGAGCTTTAGAGTCTGAAATTGCGCAAATTATATTTTAAAGGCCATTTTGATAAAAATAAAAATTAAGTGTATATATTAATTAGGGCCCGACCAATATGGATTTTTTGGGGCCGATGTGATACCGATTATTAGGAAGGAAAAATTCTGATTAACGATTAATTGGCCGATTTTATGAATTTTTTATGAAGTTTTAGAATTTTGTTAATGTAAGTAATGTATCAACATATTTACTTATTTTTTTAACAAATGGCTGCTTTTGAGCCTTTCAAACACTTCTCGGTAACACTAACCTCAGTAATATTTCACGTATTTATCATGAATCAAACTTGAACCAGAATAGCGTTTCGAACTTCTGGGTTGGGATCTCGTTGTCAGGGCGGGGTGAAATCCTTTCACCACGGTAAAATGATTAAGTTCCATTTCCTTATGAATGTGCAATTCAACAAAACGGTACAAGGCAGATGTGAACAAATCTGCAGCCTGTTATTTTGGTGTATATGCAGCACATTCAAACAACAGTTAACATGCACAGGTTAGGATAAAGACACCAGTGTTTCCTGAGATCGTCCTCAGATCTCTTTGTTTGAAGTGAAGGACATCTCAGAGGGTTACCCAGTGCCCGTTCAAAACAGGGTTGCATAATATTACTGTAAAATATCAGTTTCAGCACAAACACTTAAATAGCTTAGCTGATCAGCAAATAAAAACATTTCTGAAAGCTGACGCATTTAAGCAGTAGAATAAGAGTTATAAGATGATCCCTGCTTTTCACCTTTTAGAGATGAAACTTGTTTTACCATAAGAGAACACAACTTCTCTGATTCTGGATAAGCTGAAAAACAGAAAAAACATTTGAAACAACATGATCTTTATACACTGAGTATTTTGCAGAGGGCTGACCTGGGGCCTGTTCTACGAAGCAGGATTACGGCTTAGCGAGGTAACTTTGAGGGTTTCCTGTTCTACGACGCGGGTTCACTTCTTAGCGAGGTGAGTCTCCATGGAAACGTTAGCTGAAAGGCTAACCTGCTCCGGGGCAGGTTATGTTCCAGATTGAACTCACCGAGTATAAAAACCCCGCCCACTGACCAATGAGCTCTCTCGAAAAATGGCTTGTCCGTTCTTGGAGGATCCTATAGACCTCAGTGCTCGTATTGTCTGAAGAGCACCCGGCGCGCGAGAGTTTCCAGGGACCTAACGGACCCACTTACTTTTCCGGATGACCACCTTTATGAAAGGCTCATATGGCCTACATATCACACAAAAAAAGTAAATACGATAGAAATGAACAAATGAATGAATACATCTTGGAAATGAATGGGCATGGGCTGTGTGATCACAGACAACATCTCAGTACTATTTAGTAGCAGCGCTGCGCATGCCCCTAGTAATAACCCCCGTAAATACTGTTGTTCAGGACTGCTTACTTGTGCTTGCTACCCACTGTAATAACCATTGTTCTAGCCTACATGCAACATTTTTGTTTTCATTCATGAAACGCTTAAATCAGGGACATTTTCGGGACAGCTTTAGCCGGGGACAGATCATCCAATTCAGGGACTGTCCCCGGAAATCAGGGACGTCTGGTCACCTTAGTTAAAAGCGCATGTTGAACAGTGCTATTTCAGGGTGATAATGGCATCAGAGATTAATTTTCTGCCAGCATTCCTTCCGTGCTTTTGCAGCGGCAACGGTGTTGCTTTTGAGGTTTATGATAGATTTGAATTCTTCATACTTTCTCATGATCGTCTCCTGTTCCTTGTTTGTAAAGTCCACAGTCCTTCGCTCTCCAGCCTGCTCTGAAGCTCCAGACTGGTCCATGTTCGTGATTGGTCAGATGCGGCGGGCTCCGCCTTACATGCGTGCACATGCTCATAGCAAAGCTGGATCCACTTACGAGGTTGTTAACCAGCGTCGTAAGACCGTTTAGCGAGACCGCTGGCTACTGCACTAAGTCGAGCGAGGTAGCTCCAAGGCTACCTCGCTAGGTCGAACTTGCTTCATAGAACAGGCCCCTGATGTCGCAGAGCAAGTACATTTTTTAAGTAAGGTCGTGTCATTCTGTTTCCAGAGCTAATATTTTACACACAACAGTTTTACGTTGTATACAACCACGCAAACCCTAAAGGATCAAATACTCACCCCTAAATTAAAACAAAACAAAACACCAACAGCAACAACAACAAAACACTTTTCCGGATGTATTTTGCAGAAAATAACCCAGTCCTACATGAGTGTGAATCTGAATACAAAACACTTTACTGAATTATTTTTTTGAAGGAGCATTAAATCATCATTTTTTGGTAGAATCCAGTTGATTGTCTTGTTTTATGTCCGTTTATTATTAAATTTCCCCTCTGGGATTAATAAAAGTTCTCCTATTATCAAAAAAGAAATAGAAATAAAAAAAATAGACTGTCACAACTAAAGTAACAGGTAACTAGTACATTTTACTGTACATGTTATTATGCATGTGTCACAGGTGACTGTAAAACCGTATATCCTGTTGGAGACAGAGAATAGATGTCTGATTTATTTTTCAGTGTTGTTTTATCTTGTTTGTTTTTTATTCTCTACTGTACCCATCAGTTCTCTCTGTGATGCAGGCATTTTGGTGAAAATAGGAAAATCTGGTTTCTTGCTGCTTTGCTGTCAACATCATAAAAGAGTGTGGACTTCTTTGTTTTTGTTTTTTAGGGGGTGGGATAATCACACTTTTTTATGTTATTAAAGGTAACAAACATCTTGGATTCAGTATGATAATTTATTTGACAATAAATACCACTGCATGTGGAAAGCCAGAATATACCGGCTAACGTAAACCCGGCTTTCTGCAGCCCAGCTACATAGTTAAGTCTCATGCGACATTGTGAGACTTGAAATGTGTGATCGTTAAATTCAGCTCATGTAAGTAAACATCCTACAGTCTGACCAATAAGCCCTCTGGACTCTCTGGGTTTGTTTCCTTCTCACACCTGAAAGACTATCAGAGGATAAAAGTTGATCATATTAACACTTTGTCATGTTTTTGTCACACGGTAGGACAGAAACAACAGCATAGAGCCTGACAGTCTGTGTAGTCCTGAGGTCTGCTCCAAAATCAATGGACCTGCTAAGCACTGCTAACCAGATCAGGGCCGACGCAAAGGTTAATCCCGGCCAGGGTTTGAGAGCCACAGATAGATAATTGGCCTGCTGAACTCTGTGTTGGTGGCCTCAATCCAGTAACCACATACACACACAAACACAGGAGGGACTTTCTATTAACTGGACTTACACTGTAACTCCCTCTTCTGCCAGTTTGGAAATTCAAATCAACTGAAACGACACAGTCTAAAGTTGTCTGTCTAATGTTACTGTCTAATGTTTTATTACTGTCTAATCCCTTTTTTTAATGCACTGATTGTAAAGGCACTTTTTAATTTCGTTGTGCTTGTTACAATGACAATAAAATTCGATCTATGAGGGCCAGACCAATTTATCGGCGAGCCAATTAAATCGGCCAATTTTAGCCCGTTTGAGACTAATCCGTAATCGGCCAAAACTCGATTTTTGCCAATATTTTCAACAATAAAATGCAGAGAATAAGATTTGGTTTCACTTCGAAAATGTTCTGCCATTTGAAAAGTTCCCCAACTTATCCTGTAGATGGCACAGCAACCTAATGACAATCTTCATCTTTTCTGTTCCAAGTTTGATCAGTCGGTCTTCCTGTCGGCATGAAGAGCAGTAGCCTACAGTATATCTACAGAATAATATATACTGTAGATATCTACGGTATATGTTTTTTAGAACTTTTAAAAAAAAAAAATTAAAATTAATCGGTAATTGGATTTTTTTCCCCCCTAATAATCGGTACCGGCATCAGCCCCCCAAAAATCCATATCTGTTGGGCCCTACTATCTATCTATCTATCTATCTATCTATCTATCTATCTATCTAGAGGCAAAGGTGGATCCCCAAAGCGTTTCTAGGGAAAAACACCCCTTTTTATTTGATAGAAACCTATGTACTTAAAAAAAAAAAGTGTGGCATTGTGCCAACAAATTTTTCTCAATCATGGTATATGGTAAAACCTTGCTGTCATGCTAATCTTGCACGTTTATAAGTAAATGTTGATTAATGCACACTACCATACTGACCTGAACTTAAGTTTTTTGGAAATACATCTGAAAAAAGTGGGATTGTCTTATATTGGGGTATGTACTTGATAGGTTTAATGCTCTTGCCTTTCTATTGTTGCATTTACAATATCAAGTCTGAAAAAGGCTAACTATAAAACCCACTCATTTTGTGGGACTAACAGCTTTGACAGAATTTTAGAGACTGTCCAAAACCAATCCCTCAAAAACAAGGTAATGTGAAATTATCTTCATTTTGGTATAAAAGTGTTGTTTTGTTTTTAGCTGGCTATGCTAATGGCAGGCTGCCATCTTTGTTTGGTCTGTTAACCAATCAGAGGCTGTATCTGAAATCAACTGAGAGCTGCCTAAAACACAACTATTTTAATCTGGGACCTCCCATACCCAGGTTGTTTATCATTTTCAAAAAGATGATATGGGGAATTTTTGGGGGATGCGACTGTTTATCTTAGTGCCTTGTATGTATATAAAGATTGAGGTGGTTTAACTGTATTGTCAAAAAACCCCAGTGACATGAAGGTTATAATTAGGATCATCTCTGGACAGTTTTTAAACAATGGGTGGCACTAAGGGGGAATACACTTGTCAGAAAGTACCACATCCTGTACTTTCCCTCTGATGGCAAAGTTTGATTTATTTGAGTGACAGTGAATACGTGTCAGATGGTTCTGATATGAACCATTAAAAAAATAAGCAGCACACACACCTTCAACCCAAAATGACAGTAAAAAGTCAGCCTGTTCATTGTAAATATTTAAAAAAGTGAGATCCCAACTCCTGTGCACTCCCACTGCAGCTGATTTAGTTAAGGGGTATGTAAATCTGAAGCTCATCGTCTCTGCAGCCTTGGTACCCTCTCAGTTCAGCAGATGTTAGAGAATAAAAACACTGTTACATAAGGGTATTACCTCACTGTGAATGCCACTGACATGCTCAGATGAACATATACATTACAGTGATGCCTGTCGAGGAATCGCAGCATGTGAATGATCCTGCAGCACCGTCTCCACTCGGATTAGGATTTACCTCCTGATCGAGTTCACGTGGATCAAAACTGAGTTCACTTAAGTCCATGTGATGGCTTGCAGGCTTATAATATAAAGCTTTTTCGGATGTAAACATTCACTCGGCATTATCAGGAAAAAAAGGACTCAATAAAAGTACTTGATATGGTACTTTTACATGCAAACCACGTGACTCAACATTTTTTTACTATCACGGGTATGTATTATGTAATGAAAGTAATCAGAAAGAAACAGAAGAAATCATAGCAGCTAAAGTCCAGGAGACAGAAGTAAATCTATGGGACTCTTTTAACAACACAGTCTGACCATGCTGTTTATGCAGATGATCAACGATACTTTAATACTTTGTTTCTGCTGCTTAAAATTACACAAGATCTGTTATTTTACATTCAATAGTGGTGGTTGACTGATATCAGTTTTTTCAAACACCAATAATGAGAGAGCTGATATATGACACTGATATGACAGTGAGTGTGTGTGTGTGTGTTGTTGTTGTTTTTGCTTCTCTTTGGCATAAAAAAAAAAACACAATTGCTCCGTAAAATACTGCTGCAAGTGACTTTTGGATTTAAGTCAACAAGTTTCAGTTCAACCCATTTCACGATGTTCCCCGCTGTGCAGGTCTTGTTCACGCCGAGTTAACGGTGAAGCACAATGTAATATGCAGGCTAAAGTTAGAGTTAGCCATCAGCTATTGGCCTTGCTACACTGTTAGCCATGCCAGTAACGGTAGAATAAACAACTACGTTACTTGATCGAGCTACTTCTGTTACTGAGGCAGCTGGATGTCTCCAGATGAGTTTGATCAGTTGGTCTTCCTGTCAACGTCAGCCTACAGTAAATCTACAGTATATAATATACTGTAGATATCTACAGTATAAATAAATGTTTTATAACTTAATAAAAAATTTTTAAAAATCGTCTGATTAATCAGCATTTAGATTTTTTTCCCTCCTTATAATCAGTATCAGCATTGGCCCCAAAAAATCCATATTGGTCGGGCCCTAATGTGTGTGTGTAAATATATATATATATATATATATATATATATATATATATAAATTGTTTCTTTGGAAAGATAAAGGTGATATCCCACTTGTGGTGACCGATGCTGATTTGATGCAGAATATGTCAAAAATGCCATTATCCATCAATAATCCACCAAATGAGGAATTGGTCCATCTCTGTTCAGTATTATTGAAAAGCACTAAAACCTATGAGTGTTGTTTCCTTGAATTCTTTCAAAAGTCTTAAAAAGGTCTTTATTTTAAGCCTGGGAAATTAAGTATTAATGATCCTAAATTTATCATAGTGTCTTGTAGGCTTTATAAGTTCAGATCATATTTTTAGAGCTAATGAGAGAATTAACACCCAGTGGTCAAGCATTGGTGCTACCATCCATAGAAGTTATTTAAAGCTTGAGTGAGGAACATTTGATTTGTGTTGATTTGGAGCCCCCTGTGGATAAAGTGATCTTGTTAAGTTCTTGTTTGCTTTTCAAGGTCATCAAGGGGCATCAATATTAATTTCAGTCCATTTCAATACCAACTAAAAACACCTCACAGACACTAGAAGTTTTTTGATCTGACAATGTTTTGGTCATTTATTTGTGGACCACAATTCCAACTCATCCTCATCCTTCTCCTCAGAAACTGGCTCTGGATCAGAACTGGTTTTGACTTGTTTGAGGCATCAACATCATTTGCCTTTATTCTTAAATGATGCAGTCAGTGCCAGTGATCACCATGAAAAGTGATCATAGTGGACAGAAGCAGAGCAAAATGCTGTCATCCACAAAATATTGGTTTGTTGAAAATATCAGATCTTGGCATCAGTTAGAATAATCAGACTGAGTTATCAGAATAAGACCAGTCATCAAAGTACCAGATATTTTGGTTAAATCTGTGCAATAAAAACCACAAGTGAAGTGAGCAGGATGCAAAAAGATGTTGTAGTCATCTTTTACAATAATCTTTGTTTGGGCTGAGCCTGACGCAACAGCGGAGTAACAATATGAACTGTGTGTGTGTGTGTTTGTGTGCCCATGTGAAGGTAGTAAGGCAGGCTTTTATCCCTGTGAGGTCACCACTTAGTGTAGTAATGCAAGACGAGCTGCACCTAGACAGAGAGCGTGCTCCGCCAACACACTATTCATTATTCATGTCCACTTTAAACACAGACACACAGACACACACATATACACACAGCAATCTGAAACATTACAAACCGCACACATACTCATGAGCAGCTTTGACATTCAATTGGTTGTCCCCCACACAACCTCTCCGGCTCACACTCATTGTTCCAGGGGCCCTCAAACTAATCCTGGAAAATGTGACGGTGGTGTTGTGATGTAAGCTCCAGAGACAAAAAAGAGTGATTGGACTCTGAGTGATGGTTATATTCACTTCAGAGTGGACTCAAGAGTTTGTTTACCACAATAGAAATCAAAATAACAGGAAAACAGAGATCCTAATATTCGTTAGAAGTAGATTTTTTATTTAAAATATAATATAAATCCATGCATGTCAAGGTGAACCAGTTACCCGACATTTAATCACCTGATCACAAAAAAATGTGACAAAAACCAGCTTACACTGTACAGACAACAGTCAGACCACCATAAGCAGAGAGTAATCAGTGCATTCAGACTAAAGCAGTGGCCCAGGTAAAGAGGTCTAGAGCTGAAGAAAGTAAAGAGAAAAATCAGAGAATTAAATTTACTTCACAACATCTCATATTTTTCTGAGTTTTTTGAACATGGTGTCTACTGTCACTGATACCTGCCACTAGTCAGGGAGTCCTAAAACCTGACTGGTAGGAATGTAAGCTAGCAGACTAGCCTGGTAGTAAAAAACTTGAAGCAAGTCAATATCAGACTCATCCTGCATCTTAAATACTGATACAAAACCTCTAATAAACAGGTGAATTGGTAAATGATAAATGCAGTGACCAGCAGTTATAAAGGTGTTTCATTTGTGTGCATATTACAGTTAACAGATAAATCACATTGGGGCTACTGGCCAACATCAATTCCCACTTTGTTCATAGTAGCCCTGAAGCATCAGAGATTGTGGCCAGTAAACAGGGCACACTTCTACTTCAAATTTGGGAACAGAATAACATTTATAGTGAGTCCTCTTGGATAAACACAACCAATCTGAATGGTTTGAATTAGAAATGTTTAAAGGACTCGGTCTCTGACCTGCTTCTGATCCATTGGGTATCAAGTGTAAAAAAAGTATTGTTCACTGTCAATTATCATTTTGATATCAACTGTTATAATAAACTTGGTGTCAATGTATAATTTCAGTTTGTGATAACACTAGTTTTGGTTTGTTTTTTCCCAGTGAGAAGAAATGGCAATATAGAGGTCAGACTAGGCCTGGGCGATTTGACAAAAAATGATCATGATATATTTTGTCGAATTGTCCAATCTTGATTATTATCACAATTTTTTTTTTTAACTGCCGGTTTTAAAGCATCTGTACTAAAAACTGAAGAAACTAGAGATTAGTTCAACATTTTATTAACATACAAAGTAAATAAAGAATAAGATACACTTAGAAAAATATAAAAAAAATTAACTCAACAGTACAACAAATGTAAATAAATACTAAATAATACAGCGAACTAGTTTACAGTCCTGAGTGTTTTGCAGGTATGTAAGACCCAATATAAACAAATCGCCCCCTCAGGGATTAAAGACGCCTCAAAATGTAAACATTAGATAATGTAAACGTAGATGATACGATTGACTGCTGCTTTGGTCTAGTGGCTGCACTGCTAGTTGTAGCTAAACTGCTAATGCTACTCGTGCCGTCAGCAGTAACAGGCTGTGCAGACTCCGCTCGCATTTTCATGCTTTACACATAATCAATTCGGGAAGAACTTCTTCAAATGATTAAACAGATGTTGTGTTGCTGGTTTTTGAGGGCGCCGACACAACCTTGCACATCAGCTTAACTTTGGAGATACCCAAACCACTGCCACACAACCAACGTTGAATAACTTCTCAACAATAACATCTTTGGAGGATGACTCAAAGTCACGACTGACATCAGTTTTGCTGTCCTCAGCCCCCGCATTTACCTCCACGTTCAGTCATTCTCTTTACTTCTCCTGTTGACTTCTGCAGTGACTTACAGAAGTGAGCAGGAAAAGCTTGACTCCGATTGGCTGTTGTGACACACATTTCCGCTATGTTTGATCGAGTTAATATGTTCACAGCTGATCAGCGTGATTGAACCTAAATTTATCACGATCATATAATCACCTAGTCCTTGGTCAGACTCTACGTTGAACACTCCCCTGCTTGCCCTGGCCCTCAAAAATAAGAAGCTCCTTTGATGCATGACAAGTCTGATCTTCTGTCCGTCAAGATCTCAACATCAGAAACATCTATCCATAAAAAATCATCAGTGCACAACAACATTATCTTTTCTTGTCTTTCAACTAGTGCATTTTGTGAAGCCACTTGCTGAATATTGAAACGTATTTGTTGTTTACATTGTTTGTTCATTATGTGATACTGCAAGGACATGGTGGCATATTATAGCGACTTCCTTAGAAGGGGACCTGCTGTTACATAGGTCAAAATCAACATTAAATCCTGTGTGTGGGTTAACGTGGAAAGTATAGTGTCTCAGTACAACCATGTGGGCTTCCGTCTTTTCATTCTGTTGGACCTATATTCTTCTCCTCTGAGAATTTTTAACTTTAAGATTTTGAGACACTCGACCTGTCAGAGCAAACACTGACTCTGTTTCTTGGTTTTAACAAAGAAATTAAAAATGTAAGTTACCATCACACCCTGACTGTCACACTGTGCTGCAGTACCTGCCAAAATCTACAGAATAAACAGCAGAGCAACAAAGTCAACCAATCACTGCAGTGGAAAATTAATTTGATTCAGATCCACCGAAGAAGACAAAGTCAAACACGCACAGAGCCTGGGAGGAGCAAACAAGCTTACCACTGCCAAAGTCATTCGAAAAGACAACACAACAGACCTCTACCAGACAGGATCATGTGTGGTTATCTGTAAGACAAGGTCATAGTCTGTCTTTAAAGGAACATGACGATAAAAATGAGACCTACAGGTACGTAACACAGACTGTGTGTGTGTGTGTGTGTGTGTGTGTGTGTGTGTGTGTGTGTGTGTGGGAGAAGGAGGAGGAGGAGGAGGAGTGGAGTGTCACACTAATCCTGCATCACAACAACAAGCTACAAGCTGGAGACTGCAGTCGAGTAATCTGAGGGTTCATCGGTAAATCTGCTCATGGAGTTTAATCAATATTGGTACAAGTGAAATATCCACTGTCCTGCTAAACTGATGGTGTCTTTGCAGATGTTTGTTATGTCTGAGGACATGCATTACATTTTAGTACCAACCTGTCCCAGCTCAGTGAACAAAATGATGGAAATACTAACAGCAGAGGGGACAGATGTTCAGCTGAGCTCTGCAGCCGGACAGAGCAGGAGGTGGAGATGACACACAAACACCTTCTCAGAAGATTAAAAACAGTTTCAGGGTGATTTTTCAGTTGTCTGTTAGGGGAACAAAAAGTCTGGTTTTGAGACTTTCTGATTTGCATTAGCTTTCTCTCTTTGACTTTTAGTCAGAAACAAAGATCGTCGTTGATATTTCCAAAGACTTTGGCAAGCTTTTTTTCCCCCAACATGTTACAGTCTGAGCACACCTGACTTAATAGTGGGGCCCGACCGATTTATCGGCGAGCTGATTAAATCGGCCAATTTTAGCCCTTTGGAGACTAAAAGGTTATCGTCCAAAACTTGCCGATTTTCGCCAATATAAAATGCAGAAAAAAAGATTCAGTTTCGACAATGTTGATCCACTAATTACTTTACAGCACAGCAGAGTGACGGATCTGAAGCAGGAAGCTCAGGGACGTACGGAGGAGAATGGTCCACAGATAAAAGGTCTGGATGTGCCCCTGCAGAGGAAACAGATGCCGACATGAAGATGTTTCTCTGCTGGTTCTTAGAGCTGATAAAGAAACTTAGCCAAACTTTGACATCTGCCATAGAAAGATGATAAAAGGGGAGGTTAACAGAAAGCCAGGGCGTCATAAGGGCAAGTGCAACCAGCGAGCTCACACAGCAGTAAGCAGTGGTAAGGTCCTTACACACTGGGGCCAACACAAATCAAGACACATCAATTTTGCGACTTTGCGGGGGGAAAAAGAACATGAAACTATGGTAACAACCGTTAGCTTACGTTAGCACAGATGAAAGTTAAAACAAAGACGTTTAGCAAACTGTTAAAGCACACAAACTATTGCCATATGAGAGATCAGATGCTATGACTCTCCCAGGCAAATAATTTGCCTTAAAGTTTTTTAATAATGTAGTTAGTAATTTGAGGAATCATTGTAGCCCTAGAATTAATGACACATACAGAGGATCCTTAATGTACACATCAATTCACCATGAGCTTTTGACTGTACATCTTTAAACATTTAGATATCCCTCCTATTGTCCTAATAAAGCCTTACATTGACCCTTGTCTCACCGCTTTCTATCTTCAGGGTAATTCAGCTTCAGACAGAAACTTCATTCGTGATGAACACTGGAGGGTAAGTTTTGGGCCTGTTGCGTTTAACACTTGAAATTCTGTGTTTAGTGATGAAGTTTGACAATAATCATGCAGAGATTAGACTGACAAATCATTCAGATATTCTTTTCAATCACCTCTAAAATTGTAAACTTTGAGAGAGTAGCTGTAGTGGATATAAAGATTTATTTTAAGTCTATGACTGCAAATTACTGCAACACTATAACTTAACTCCTGTCCTTTTCAACTCCTAGAAAGATATTATTCATGCTGGAGAAATATTAGAGTCTTTGGCGGTTCACTAAGTGTGCTTTTTACCCAGCAAGTGTAACAATGTTCATACTTTCAAGTTCATCTGAAAACTCAAATTCCTCTCCATGTTCCAGGACTGTGCGGTCCTGGTCCTAATGCTGAAGCTCCAGGCTGAGCCAGGAAAAACCCTGCACACTGTTTGTGTTTGCAGAGACAGAATTATCCAGCATTACTCATCAGGACTGCAGACAGAGACAGTGCACCGTCAGCAAGGCTCTCACTGCAGCCCTAATGTCAAATTCCTAGACTCCATATTTGGGTCGAAGGGCTGCAGAGACCAAAACTCTGCAGACTAAACTGGAAGCATGCTCCCAAGAGGGTCTACAACATGGACGCTGTGAGGATAGATAAGGAAGAGTTAACTTTTATTCAGCGTTTTCATTGGGAACATTAACTAACATAACTCAAGTTTTTAACTTTATTCACCATATTTTGGCAAACAGAACCAAGAACACAAAGGTATATAAAGTAAGTACATTGAAACTATTGTTATTAAAGTTTATGTAAAGTTTCTTGATATTTAAAATCTGGTGGGCTCAGATATCTACCAATTTACTAATGTTATGAAAATTTGTCCACCAAGAGGGCCCTGCTGTTTCTAGGATGTGGCAAGCACAGACGGGATCTTGAAAGTGGACAACAAGAAAGAAAGAAGTCCTCGTCCAGTGTGGAGGATTTTTAAATCTGCTGAAATGAGGGTGTGAGTCAATAATTATTGACCTTTTCCCCCGTTTTTGAAGTTTTATAAGATCATTGTCTAATAATTTAAACAGTCTCTTGTCTTTCTCTGCCTCACACTTCTTCAATCTGCAGTGCCTGACACAGTCTCTGCAAGAGAGGCAGAGGTCCTTATGCCAATCCCTCCTGTTAATGTGACTATGGCTGTAGCAATACACTCATTTCACAATACAATATGATACGATACTTGATATTCAGCCCATGATACGATATATTTCATGATATTCGGCCAACGTGCGTTACCTTGTCTAGCTGGTGACGTTTTAGGTGCACTTTTAGGTTGGTTGTACTTCCAGAATATTTTACGTTTGTGTGACACAACTTGCAAACCGCCAAACTTATCTAAATCGACGCTTTCCTTCTTCCTTTTAAAACTGCAGTGCTCTCACACATCTGTTTTTAAGTAGGGATGGACTGAAATGAAAATTCTTGGCCAAACCTAAAATGAGGAAACCATGGATGAAAACTGAAACACAGAAAGAAATTATTATGCTTATTATTTGTACCATTGCATTTATGGCTATGACTGTGTAAAATCAAGGCATTGCAACTGTATAAATGTATTTCAATTAATATGAAACAAAAAATTGATATTAATTTATATTCGATTTATATCCCAGAATTGATAAAATTGCTCAGCCCTAAATGTGACCAGGGACAAGCAACGATTAACGGTGTGAGATGGTAAGATGTGATCCCGCTCATATCACGGTTTCAAAGTCATGGTCAGCTGGTCTAATGTTGTTGTCATTCTGCACATTCTTGTGAATAGCTGAACAACACTTATTCTTGCTGGTATCTTGTTGGCCTGAACAGAGGAGCCTTTACAAAGGAAGGCTCACCAGGTTACTCCAAGTTTGTTCAAATAAGAGTTTTGACACAGTGGAAATATCTAATCTATGGCTGTCTGCAGCTCTAATTCAGACGGTAGCTTTCTGATGACATCTTACAACATTTCACATTGATGTTGGGGTGTGTGACAGGACAATATTAGATTGTGAAGGTTATGAACATGTCCACTATTTATAAATCTATATAAACTGTAGAATCCACATATCTCTTTGTCATCTATTGCAGCTCCATGCTTACCCTTGCTGACATTTATCAAGAAAAGACCAAACACTTTGTCGACCATGAGCTAAACAAATGACATATCCATCACAGAGAGTGAATCCTGTACATAATCAAAATACACATGCTGAGTGTGAAAATACTGGGATAACATTTGAAAGGTTTTCCTCTTTGAGCGGTGTGTGTTTCTGGGCCAGATTGTACACTCAGTACACTGCAAAGATAGTCAACACTAAAACAAAGTCTCATTGTGTTTACTAAAAAAAATCACAATAAAATATTTTTTTACTCTTCTTTATCATTTGAATCTTTCATAAAAATGTGTGTAAAAATAAACAAAGAAGTATATAGCTTTAGGGTCCTTACACACCGGGAACGACACAAATATATGACACAAAATTACGAAATATTCTGAAGCAAATTTTGACGCGCCTGACTATGCAGCGCTATTTTTGCGACTTTCCGGGGGAAAAAAAGACGCGTCCGGGGTAGAAGCAAGAAGACTGACACAACAGCAGACTGAGTGTTTTTCAGTTCTGATTAGACACTAGTGTTGAGATGACTGTCTGTCATGATAGCATGTACTGAGTAGGGGCCTATACCAAGACCTAATGGTGCTGTGACAGCAACGCTGTGATTGAGTTTGAGACAGTGAAAATACATATGGTATGTTGTATCTGAACAGGTTAGCTTACGAGCTAAAGTTACTTGGCACGGATGAAAGTTAAAACAAAGACGTTTAGCAAACTGTTAAAGCACACAAACTATCGTCATATGAGAGATCCGACGCTATGACTCTCCACAAGTTGTCCTTCAGGTTGTTATCTTTGTAATATTTTTGTTTTTTATCAGAAAGCACTCTGTTCTCCAACATGTAAACAATCAGCCAGTTGGCCATGTTGGATACACCAGTGAATCTTGAGTTGCAACAACACGAAATCTGATTGGTCAGAAGTGGACACACAGTATGCAAAACTTTAGAAAATGCGACCGTGATACGAAAAAATAAATGCCGCAATATCGCAGGACAGGAAAACTTTGCTGATGTGAAAGCTTGTATTGACAGGATACGGGTTCAAAAAAAATATTGACGTCCGAAATAATCGCACGAAAAAAATGCTCCCGGTGTAAAAGGACCTTTACATGGTTAAGTATCATATGGGGCTTTTTATAACAGAGATTTAATTGGGGTCTGCAGCTGTCATATATATATGTCAATGTACAGTCCACAGTCATATTTAATATAGTGTTATGCCTCTAGTTTAAATCTCCCCAATTTAGGCAGTGTAGGAAGTAAAGGTAATGGAGCTCAGCAGCTCATTTTTCCACAGGCCACCCTGCAGGTTAATCCCTCCATGCTCAGCGCCTGACACAGCTTTTGGATGAACACCAAATTCATCATTTTTTCCAAAAGGTGTCACTGACAGCAGAGATTCGTTTTGACACAGGAAGCCTGAAACTCAATAAATGTGCAAATGAAAATAGAGCCTAAGATTTCCTTAAATTAGCACTTGTCTTCAGCTCACACCATGAATGGACTAGTTCTGCAGAGTAAATCATTCAAACTGGGAGCATTGGAAATGATTCTAGATGTGTTTGAACATCCAGAGTCATGTAAAACAGTAAAGCCCACTGTAGTCTGAGCCAACTTTACTCTGACCAAATAAAAACTCCAGAAAGACCTTTTACTGCTGTCTCCTTTGTCTCTAAGAAACTGAAATCCCATCTGAGCTGTAGCCTGGCTCATGACCGGAAACCAACCATCCAAGAGATAAAGTGGTGAGTATTGGTGGTGAGGTGTCATAGATGATCTATTAAACATTCTTCATTCACAAAGTGCACCAAACATGAGGCCTTAAACACAGTTGCTGTACTTGAACCAGAGCTCATCTGCTTACCACTGTGACCCACCAACACAAACATCAACTGTCCACAGCACATCCTTGCTCTTTTTTATGACTTCCAAGTCAGCTGTCATTGACTGAATTGGGCACAACAACACAGCATTCGCAACCCCTGGCTAAAATGTAAGCAGTGTGGAAATATTTCAATATGCGGGTGGACCTGCAGCTGCATGAAATATTCCTCCAGGCAAAAAGTGTAGTTTAGATTCAGTTGCAGTGGATTGCAGTTGAGGTAATGAAAACTACAGAGACCATCAACCCAGGCATGCCCATAATTCTTTGTTGCTTTACTCACTGCCTCAGATGTAGTTAAACAAATAATCATAATAATAATAACAGGTACTGGCATTATTGGGGAAACACGGAGACGATGTAGAAGTTGAGTTTGCTTCTTCAGCTTTTGAATCTGGCATGGCTAAGGATTTCTGTCCAGGAGTGATGAGGAGAAAAGGTGAACAACCCAAAAAAGTAATAATATGCATCGAAAGATGGGTATCAACCTGTGTTCTGTCAAGGATGAAGGTCTGCATTTTAAATATAATGAAAATCAATGTGTGAGCTCATGAGTTCTTCTATCAAGTCTGAGAGTCTTTCAGTGAGTCTCTGAACTCCGCCATGCTGTAGGTTCCTGTAGATCACTGTGGTGAAGGAGGACCTGCCTGCTTTATGGCCTCTTCACTTATGAACATCATCTTTTGTCTGTCCATCTCTCTCTTTCTTTATCTCCCTCTCTCCCCTCTCTAAATCTGATGAAATCTCAGCAGATGACTGCCTTACATGAGTCTGGTTGATGGGTCCCATGGCTTTAAACTTCACATGACGAAAAAACATCCATCCTCTAACAAACTTTCAGGGTGATATCTAATTCCAAACCAAAGGGTATTAAAGCTCATAAAAAAGAACACTGGTGGTCAGTTGTTAATAAAGATGGATAAATTTGACTAAATACCTCTGACTTCTTTTGGGCTGACTAGGGATGTAATGATATGAAAATTTAACATCACGATTATTGTGACCAAAATTATCACGGTATTGTTGAAATATATTCAAAATGTTTAAAAAGTACTTATACACTCCCTGAAATCATTTAACACAATTTTATTTTGAAAAAACAATCAATATTACACACAGAATGAACTTTTCCTCAACCTTAAATTACAGGGGAATGATAAGCTTAAAATATTAAAGATGGGGCCTTAAAAGAGCCAGAGGTAATCAACACTAGTACTAGTAATAACAAAGTACAAAGTAATGTGCCAGTGGCGTAAACATTAACATAATAACAAATAAATCAAATTGAAATAAAATGACATTCCTTATTGTGCAAATTGTAAGAATCTTCAGTGCTAAAAAAGATCTACTCTTACAAATATAAAACAGAGCAACACTACTATATGAAACAATACAACCACATGTAAACAACATGTCAAGTGCAGGTGTTTAAAATAACATAAATGAACCACACCGATTGTCTGTTTTCTCCCCCATAAGCTGCTGCTGCTGCTGAATTTGTTCACTACTTGAGATTGAAATGTAAAAATGTCAGCATATTTATTTTCCTGGTTTGAGTGGTGATTTGCGAGGGGAAACGATTTGCCCGCTGGCACTGAATAGCCTCTTGGACGGCACGCTGGTTGCTGGGATGCACAAAAGCTTCCTGGCAAACCTCGCAACTCTTTGTAGAAGCTGAAATACGCCCAGACTTCGGACTTTGTTTTCTTTGACAGTGGAAAAATCTCTGCAACATAGTCGGCAGAACTGCCCTCCGCCATGTTTACAAGTTGTATACCACGCAATGTGCATGCGGTTTTAATGGTACCGTATTTTTCGCACTATAAGGCGCACTTGAAATCCTTTTGGCTTGTCACGGCACTGCAGCTACCGTAGCCTCGCAGAGTTATTGACTGTTTTGTTTGTCTTGATGCACTTTATAATCCAGTGCGCCTTATAATCCGGTGCGCCTTATATATAAAAATAGACGCGAATAGACACGTTAATTGTTGGTGCACCTTATAATCACGTGCGCCTTATGGTGCGGAAAATACGGTAATTAGAATTTTAAAACAATTAGTCTCCTCAGTTCCAAAACATTTATTGAGTGTTGTTAAAAGGAAAGGGGATGTAACACAGTGGTAAACATGCCCCTCTCCTAACTACTTTGTCATGTGTTGCAGCCATGAACTTCTGAGTTATTATTATTTGCAAAAAATAAAAATTAAATAAAGTTTATGAGTTTGAACATTAAATATCTTGTCTTTGTAGTGTATTCAATTGAATATAGGTTGAGAAGGATTTGCAAATCATTGTATTCTGTTTTTATTTACGTTTATCACAATTTCCAAACTTCAATGATATTGGGTTTTGTAAAACAGATTAGTTTATATGTGATATTTTCATTCATACCAGCGAGACTTAGTTAAATGAAAGAAGCTGAGGACGTCTCCTGGTTAATGTGTTTACTTTGTGCAGCTGATACTTAACATCAAAAACTCAGATCAGGGGATCAGGGGCTAAAAAAGCTGATGGGAACACTACATTATTTTGGATGAGGGTAGACTAAAATCTGCAGTGTCATGAATGAGGTGATGCAGTGGAAGCTTTCTAAATCCTTGTTTTTAAGGCTTGTGTTCTCCTTGTTTATCCCCAATGATAATGTTTTATTTTAGTTGATGCTTTTAATGTCGCCATCTGGGGGGGGGGGGGGAGCCACTGCCTCAAATGATTCAGTGTGATTCCTCTTTAGTCAACAAGCTCTCCAAAGGCTGGACACGTTCAACACCCTGACACACAACAATCCCTCCTTACACCAGTCAGGTTGAAGCTTTAATCTGCTGTAACTACAGATCAGGAGCAGTTGGTGAGTACAGATTGGACATGGATCAGGAGATGAACATACGCAGTTGACACGAACTACACCTGCGTGCGTGTGTACGTGCGCGCGCGCTGGTGGTGGTGCAATGCAATGCCGTACCCCCACCACCACAGCAGCACAGCCATGGATGTATTAACGTTACAGCATGGATTGTGTGTGTGTGTGTGTGTGTGTGTGTGTGTGTGTGTGTGTGTGTGTGAGCTGGAGGCTAAGTTAGCTCTGTGACGCCACACAGAAAATCAAACAGCTGTTTTCAAACACAGAGACCCTCATTCCCCCCTCTGTCGCTCAGTAAAACGTTAACCTCCGGTGGATTTGCAGCAGATAATGCCTGAATGACAGCACGCCGAACAATAGCCATATCATCGACATGCCTAGAGATGAAGGAAAAACTGGTCATGCGACGCGTCAAAAGCGTCACTCAGTTTCCAGTGAGTGCAGGTAAAACAGGCGGACAGGTGAGCGTCAGAGCAGAGTCAGGTGAGCGGTCTTACCTGCATTTCCAGCTCTAGAAAACAAAGGATGCTGCTGCGGTATCTCCCCGTTAGGTCGCTGCGTCTGTTCGGCCTGACAGCATCCTGTTCCCAGCCAGCAGATCACCATCGTTCAACGATAGCCATACATTCACATCCGGTTAATGCTTTCACAATAAAGCTCAAATAGCGGTAAAAAAAACATTTCCAGTTGTGTAAAGATAATATTACAACTAGAGGCTGAAGGTCCTTACACACCGGGGCCGACGCGAATATAGAACGCGAAAATACGAAATATTCTGAGGTGAATTTTGATGCGCCTGACTCTACACATCAAGCCTGATGCGATTTTGCAACTTTCAGGGGGGAAAAAGATGCATCCTGGGAAAGACTCTTCCCGGGGAAAGTCCCGCCTCCTTTGCCTCTGATTGGCTAGAAAAGCTGGAAACGTCATCACATGCTCAAGCTAAACAGTCATCACTTATAGCCAATCAGAGGCGACACAACAGCATTTTTCAGTTCTGATTAGACACTAGTGTTGAGATGGCTGTCTGTCATGATAGCATGTATTGAGTTGGGACCACTACCAGATAAGCACATTAAACTATAATCCGTAAATGTAAAGTAACAACCGAGACCTAATGGTGCTGCTGTGGCTAACAACCATTAGCTTACGTTAGCACAAATGAAAGTTAAAACGAAGACGTTTAGCAAACTGTTAAAGCACCCAAACCATCGTCATATGAGAGATCTGACGCTATGACTCTCCACAAGTTGTCCTTCAGGTCGTTATCTTTGTAATATTTGTGTCTCTTATCAAAAAGCACTTTGGTCTCCCACACGTAAACAATCAGCCAGTCGGCCATGTTGGATATACCAGTGAATCTGACATTGCAACAACATGCAATCTGATTGGTCAAAAGTGGACACACAGTATGCGAAACTTTAGAAAAATGGACCGTGATCCAAAAATATTAATGCCGCAATAATGCAGGATAGGAAAACCTTGCTGATGTGAACACTTGTATTGACAGGATACGGGTTCGAAAAAAAAGATTGACGTCCGAAATAATCGCACAAACAATAACGGTCCCGGCGTGAGGACCTTTGTTCCAACAGGTTAGTAATATGATTGGTATAAAAAGGACATTCAAAGAGTCTGAGTCTCTCAGAGGGAAAGATGGAGGGTCATCAATCTGCGAGAAACTGATCTTTGGGCCCTCAGGCAGTACTTTGTTAAAAACAGACAGGAGTACCTGGTAGAAATCACTACATGGACTCAAAATCACTTTCAAAAACCATTGTCTGTGAATACAATCAGTCGCTGCATCCACAAATGCATTACTCTTTTGTAACAACATCATGGCTCCTGCTGCAAAACTGGTCAAATAATTAAACACAACTCTAGCTTTAAGACAACAGCCAAACTAAAGTAACCTAAATGAAAATAAGACTCAATAAACTTGTTGAAAAATGATGCAAAATTATTTTCTACGAGCTCTCATTCAGGAACAGTTGCTGACCAGGTGGGTTAAAAAAAGAAAAAAGAAATCGGTTTGTGCTTTATTTTGAAAGTTAAAAACATACGTTTCCGCTCAGCTCGGCTAGCCTGACGGAAATTCAAACGGCTGAGTCTCTGCATTGAAACGGATAGATGAGGCTGAACGGGAGAGCACACCGAGGCTGACTGTGTTTCTAACGTATTTTACACCGACTGTCAGCATTTACACTCTCAGTTCAGCGTTTTAGTCACATTAAGATCTGTGGTCAGCCCAGTGACTCTCTGCGTTACTTTGAAATATAGGTAAACCATTTTTTGGCAGCCAGACCTCCCCTGCGGAGATGAATAGAGCGATCCAGTCGTTAAAGGGCCAGTGCGTTTTTTTTTTGTTTTTTTTTTGACAGCTGCTCAGACCACGTTGAAGCTTTTCATCTGTTATGACAGAGGACATTTTTCCTCATAGTTATTCCAGGAACAGCCCAGAACCAACCTTTGTGTTATTTGATTATCTTTATTTTAGTCTTAAGAATGAGTGAGGATCAAAAAAAAATACTGGATCCCCCAGCTGATGACCATTTACAGAAAATCCAATAGATATTTAACAGCTGCACATTTTAAGTTCTGTACCTTCAGGTCAGGCAATCAAGACCCATTTTGACTTTTCAGAGGGAAATTCAAAGAAGAAAAAAAGTGAATAATGCGAGTTATTCTCTGCAGACATTACATGGGTGTGGCCTCTACCCCGCCCCTTTAAGAGGCATTCTTCACTTCTTTAAAAAAGCAAGATTTGAGTTAATGTTGGTTACTTTTCTAACAATCTGTTTATATGTATGTATGTATATATATATGTATATATATATATATATATATATATATATATATATATATATATATATATATATCAGTGGCGGCTGCTGGTCTTTCAAGGAGGGGAAGCTCATTTTTCTGGCCTACATCATTATTGTATTTGTTTATTAGTATGTAACGGAACAGAGTCGCCAAACACAACGGCAGTCATTTTTAACAAAGATAACAGTCGCTGAGGATCGGTAAGGTCTCCGGAGCAGTTAAGAACAACGGAATGAATAACTTGGAAAATGCTCTGGTAGATGTTTTATTCTTCAAGATCGCTGATTCGCTTGTTTAGCTGTCAATCAAAAAAGGATTTCGCCTCAGACAGCTCATCCAATCATGGGTGCAGAAGCTTGGAGTCCGGGAGAAAGTCGGGACCGCCCTCTCGCCATAGAACTCCAGTGAAGCTGGGCTTCCGATGGGCGGGACAAAGCCCAGCATTTATCCAATGAGCGTCTAGTTTCGCTGCTGGAACAACCCACTTTAAGCTTCCACATTGAAGTCAGCAGAAGCCCAGCGTCCGGCTGTTTAAAGCGCTGAGGCGCTACGAGGATGAATGAGAACAAAGTTATGCCGGTTACCTATAATTATCAGCTTCTTATCACAGTGTCTGAACAAAAGATGAAGGCTTTCTAGTGCGTATTTAGTTAATGAAATGTACACACAGCAGTACGTATTTCACCACTTTTTCTTTTTTTTGAGGGGTGACATTTTAAGGGAAGCCGAGCTTCCCTTGCAGTCTTAGAGCAATCGCCACTGATATATATATATATATATATACGGTATATATATATATACCACTGTACACTGTACAGTGGTGGTACGGTATATGTAAAGCAAGGCAGAATGAATGAAAACACCGCTGGAGCTCTCCGGCTTCTTTTTCAACTTCCACCTCCTCTTCAGACTCGGGGTCTAAAATATGGTTTAATACCTGCCATTTTTAGCCTTTAGCATAAGGTGACCAGACGTCCCCGATTTCCGGGGACAGTCCCCGAATTGGATGACCTGTCCCCGGCAAAAGCTGTCCCCGAAAATGTCCCAGATTTAAGCGTTTCATGAATGAGAACAAAAATGTTGCGTGTGGGCTCGAACAACGGTTATTACAGTAGCCAAATGGGTAGGAAGCACAAGTAAGCAGTCCTGAACAACAGTTCTTACGGGGTTATTACAAGGGGCATGCGCTGCTACTAAATAGTACCGAGATTTTGTCTGTGATCACACAGCCCCTGCACCCTCCCCGCCGCCACAACGAATATCACCGGATATCATTACAGACATCTGGGCAACTTACTTTAGCACACATTAGCAAAATGGATAAACCGAAATCCGAACCTCCACTGCTGAGCCTATCAGAGCACAGCAGGCTTCACAGCAGCGATCCAATCAGAGCAAAGCTCATTACCATAAATGTTAATTAGCCAAAACCAGTTGGTTTTCCTGTAAGGTTTTTAGGCGTACTAAAACAAACCATCAAATAGCTTTTCAGCTAAAATTATGTTGCAAACATGATCAGAGGAAATCAAGGATTATGAAAAAATGATTAAAATGGGTATGAAATTTTGATGGCAGGTCCCCTTTAAGTACTAAACAACTGTAAAAAGTACTGAAGGACTATTTATTTATGTCCCTTGACTAACAAAGGAACACTTTGGCCCAATCGTGTTAATTTAGCAGATGTGCATCTTTCAGAGATAATCCAAAACTAACAGAGAAGTTAGTTGCAGCTGTGTCCATGTTCGTCCACACCCTATAGTTAGTTGGTGATTGAATGAGCTGAACCCAACTGATATGGTACTTTACAGGTACATTACAGAAAACTGATGTCTGATTCTGGACTCTCTCTCTCTCTCTCTCTCTCTCTCTCTCTCTTTCTCTCTCTCTTATAAAATGTGAAAGTGTAACTGACTTCACTCTGAAATCAATAACTGTTTGAACACACACAGGAGGAGAGACACAAACATGACGGGGTGGTGGACAGCAGACGAGGATGGAAAGGTTGAGGCTCAAAAGGTTGCCTGACCTTTTGTGATGTGTGTGGTGGATGTAAATTATTTTAGGACTAATGGACACAAAATTAGATTATTTGGTTCTCTATTGAGCTTTGATGTCTGTCTGTGTTTCTGCCTATAAATATTTGCTGCCATTACATTTTGACTGTTCAGTGTTACTCTCATAATATAGACTCAGGTATTTGGCTTAAAACCCATCTGACCCAAGCTCTATCACATCATGTTCACTCCTCGAGGAGAGTTTCAATCTTTTGTTGGATGTAAGATACACTAAGGACTTTTTTTTTGGCCTTACAGCACACAGAAAACACATCATAGAAAATCTGAAGTCTTTTTGTTGATGCACTTTACATGAATAACAGTAACTAGACCTGCACAGACATCTTGTCAGGAACTGTATTTTAGTATTGCTATAATATCAAAGGCACCATGAGGAGTTTTAAACTGTCTAAGAAACACACTAATGATGAGACCATCAGCAACAAGACTGATGACTTCACTGCTGTAATTTTTTTATCTTCAAAACTGCCATGAAGGGGTCAGTATCAGACCAGATCTCTGACAACAGACTGAGCTTATTTGGACTTTCTCCTCAGCAAATACAAAAGTCTCTTTCTGTGTTATCTGCTGAAGCTGATATTAAAAACTCTGCACACATCACTGTGCCAACACCATAACCACAGGCTTTGCACGCTTAACATTATAAACAACTGAGATGCAGAAATATCAAAATTAACAATATATCACAGACCTGATTAGCTGATCGCAAT